TTTTGACCCCTACTTCAATATGACCGCCGGCGGGGTGACGACACGTTTTTTCTAATTCGAACAAATAGGAATCAGATAGCAAAACCGAAGTTTGGAAGCCGAGATTTCGGATGTGTATTTCCTGCTTTAGTTAATACGATTATATTATATTAAAACTAAAGAAAACATTTATTCACACGAAATAAATACAACTTAATCATGAGACCAAAAACTAGAAAAAAAAAAATCGTAGTTTCTGTTTTACAGTTAGAAATTTGAAATTAGTAGAGGTGCAAATATCCCACACGCTGAGGTAACTATAAGATCGCATGCTGTGAGAAAGAACCAGACGCATTTCCGGTGGTCTCTTTACCATTATTAGTCTATAGTCCTTGAATTTTATAGAATGCCTCGTGCATTGTTGCCACTCCAAAACTTTACTTAAAAAATTAAATTTAACTAAAACTTAGGTTTCTGTATTCTTTCTTAGTTTGATCTAGCAGCGGCCATGAAGACAATTATTCTCTCATTAACGACAAAAAAGACAACGCGAACTCTATTACCAACACTTGTCAGACATGACCTACGCAAAGCGCATTTTTATGACATGAGAGAGTGGAGTCATTTTCATTTATTTACGAAATTTAAGGACAGTAAGGGGATACAAACACTTTTCTTGTCTTCTAGAGACGGATATACTTTTTTTCGTTTTTTAAGCGCTTTGTTCAATCGACTCGTCGCATCTCTATTTTTTGTCTTTGTCGGATGAAGATAGACTCAACGCAACCAATTTCTTTAATTGTTTGTAATTTGATCGTCGCCACATCAAAAGTAATTATAGTGTGGTAGGTAATTCCCAAACGAACTTTCATTGTTGTCAACGGAGCATTTTTTATTACGCGCTTAAATGAGAAAGTGAAAATCATCGTGTTTCACCTGTTTTACCACATTTTGCACTCTCATACTCGATATAGACGACAAATCAGGTATTAAAGTTTTCCAGTCACTAGAAATAATTAATAAATGTATTCCAGTTTTCATAATTGTGTATTCAATTAGTTAATACAGAATGTCTATAAATAATTGTCAAAGTAGGCGTCGAGTTACGTCATTTTGTCGAAACACTGATTACGATTAAATTGTTAAATTGACGTACATGTCAATGTTTAATGTTAGTGTCGTTGTAAAGTAAGCGGCAAAATTGAAAAATTGAAATTTCAAGCGGTAGATTGATGGAACAATCATTTGTGTACACTTGTTTTAATGAGTTGGTGTATATCATTTACTCGGAAAGCACGTCGTATACACAGCGTCAATCATCGACGTGAGGTTCTAGGAAGAAATAAAGTTATGACCAGAACAAAAGGTAATTATGGCTGTACATTTACACATTTAGCGCAAAGCAGTAACTGTTCTTATCTTCCTTATAAATGTACAATTAAGCATGGAGAAGTTTCACTTTATGAGAATTTTTTTTAAACAAGTATCATTCTCATTTCAGAAGTAGTTAAAGTGTTGTAAATCGTTAATCGAAAGGGTGATTGCTAAGATTGATTTAAAACAACACGTACGCGTTTACAAGAAATAATGCGCGTTAAAAGAAGGAATGAGAGTCGGTCATGGCTTTAAAACTGCAGTTGGCACTCCTGTTTCATAAACGTCGTGTGACGTTATGGACGAATTGAGGTTAAATTTATTGCAACGTTAATACACTTACTTAACTCAATGTGCCAATTAATTTTTTGGTAATTAATTACAGTGGTAAAATGAACATACACAGAAATAATCATAAATATTACATCAAAACAATTTTTGGAAATGCAAACGATTACCATCAAATTTATTGACTACCTGGCTTGGAGAATTTGTATGTATCTTACATCGATCGAGAGGTTTATTGGCGCCATATAAAGTTTATGTCCACTAACATGCAACAGTTGACTGTATACTACATAAAATGAAAAGTATTCTATTTTTTTTTCGCAGTTTATGATATCACGTGACTGTCAACAATAGAAAACAGAATGTTGCAGCAGTAACCTTAATATGAAAACAAACAATTATTTGTTAAACTATCAACGTAGGCGTTATAAAGAACAATAATATATACTACAATAAAAACTGTCAGTGGAATTAAATTCTAAACGCGACTCTGTAATTACTCTTAAATCATATCACTTAAGACATCTAAAACTCGAAAATATTCTTTATGTCATTAACAAATAATGTGAATAGAGCAAGTTTTAAATGCTATCCTTGAGGAACACTCGATGGAGAAATTGTCAGAAATGACAACGAATTACGTAACAAAATAGAAAATCCACTAACGTAAAATCCGTTTCTCGACGATTCATAATGTAATTAGTATGAATCAATAAAGTTGCAGCGTTAAATCGAATAAATTCGTGCTTCTCGTCGTTAACAATATGTTTGTATAAGGTCGTAATTCGTACTGTCGCCTGTCACTCTTTCTAAATATAGGTTTACTGTAACCACTTTTACGTATAAAAGGAAAAACCCAAGATGGTGAGCGATCAAAAATAATGACGATCGACAACGTCGGAGTATGAACACTTTCTGGATAAAGAGTGGATGTACATTATCGCGATCTGAACGACCTCACGGATTGATACAATGGCATACTTTATTATAGTAGACTGCATTATTATGAAAACTTCAACTTGTTTAAATTTTGGGAGATATTGTTATCTTTGTAATAACCGTAAAGAACAAATTCTATATTTTTGTCTTCCACATCCTGTGTTTAAAATAACAATTAAAAATTAACATTTTTACAAATATAATTTATGACGATTATGCCTTTGGAATATAATAAGACCTCGAAATATACTACATCATTGCGTAGCGTCATAGCGCAGAATTACCAACCCAGATATCAAAACCACAGCCAATTTTAATTCCCGTTGTTTTCGATCGCACAATGCCAACACTTGCGGTGGTAAATTTTGGTTCTATTTTTTTGAATTTTGAATTTCCAACAGTTAGACAAACAAAAGTCGATGGAATTTATAAAGCGTAGATTTAAAATATCACTCTTGGTATAGTGATGATGCAAAAATTTTGAAGCTGCAATTATTACATCCTTAATAGTATAGCTTGTGTAAAATTAAGCGGAAATTGACACACAAATCCGTGGTTGATAACGAAAGACTCAAGTAGATTTTGCGCAAAGAAGTTAATTAAAAAGAATTCAATACCACTTGTCAATTTCCACATCACTGTCAAACTGATGGCTTAGTTTTTTAAGTTTTGTTACGCAGTAAAGAGGTTTTATAAACACAGTAAATCTCATAAAAGAAACGTACACAAGCCTGAGGAAAAATGAAGAAGCAGTAAGTAAATCGTTACCTTCTCGCCTGTTTATCTCTCCCTTGTTTTTTCTTTATAAAAACAGTGATAAAAGTGTTTGCATTCTGTCTTGTTTGCGAAATATTTGTTTATTTATTAATTAAGAATGTCACGTGATTTAATAAGTGCAGTGTTTCACGTCGATAATTGTCCCCTTTATTGTTATGAGCATTTTAAGTAAATATGTTTCACTAAAAAATTTTTATTACCTTATTTATTTTAATTATTGTTACTAGTATGCTTGATGACGGGAATGCGTGGTGGATTAAGGAAAACGTAAGTTAGAAAATTGGAAGATGTTACAACATTCACACACAATGCTTGCACCAACAATAATATTGTAAAGAGCTTTATAATTTAAAAATTTTAAACCTATAGTTTTTTCACACCAAATTTGATCCAAACAAATCATATAATAAAAAGTGTACAAAAACACGACGAACTCTAAATACGAAAGCACACAATTTATATCACTTTGTATATAGTAAGTAAGACTGAGTACATTTAATGTATCATATAAAAAAAAATCAGGTAGCAACCGTTGAAATTTGATGTTAAAAGAATATGTTGGTAGCACCAACGCGTTCCTTGTTAAGTTTGACAGTTACGATCAAATAATTGTCAAATAAAATATCAAAAAGTTGTAATATCAACATCATTATTTTAAAAATTAATTTCAGAGCCTACTAGACGACATTTTTTTCAATCATATGGAACTGAATCCTTTTAATATTTCTATTTAACTTGAAATTTCCCTATACAACAATGCGTTTCGGTGTATTTTAACAAATGTCATCCATGAAATTTATGACGTTCCTGAACAGATTTTTGCAGATTTTCTATCGAATAATCTGTTTTTCGTACAGGTCGTAATCCACTTAGAGATTCAGCTGACTTTGTGTCACGCCCAATTTGGCACCCCCTATATTAAATTTAGTAGTAAATGACATTGCTTGTTTATATTACGTTCACCAACTTTTATTAGTACATGAATATACATATTTATGCGGTTCTTTTGCAGACACTGTTTTATGTTTAAGTAAAATTACTAACTAGTAGCGCTGTCAATAGACATTGCATTAGCGAAATCTATCTTGTGAACACCTTTATGGGAATAATCTGTATATAACGGTTGATCAGTCAACATAATAAGTTTCATTTGTTCAGGTTTTATGGCTTCCAAGATCAAAGAGGTAAATGATTATGTTTTGTTCGTTTGTTTAATAATTTTACGATGATTGTTCGGTGAGCTTTAAAAATGAATAATCGTCCGGAAATTCCTTTGGCCTTTCAAATTATACGACCGTCAGCATGATTTCTTCCATTCCCAGTTTCTATACAAGTCATCAAAAACTTGAAAACTATATCATAACCTAGCTGTTACGTGAAATTTCCCGGCAATTACATAATTGTAATAACAGAAAGCGAAATGCTCAATATTAGTCGTGTCGTAACAACGCGATGCGGCGGTTGTGTGTGATGGGCATTTTCACGAATGTAGTTGTCGGTTAGTAAATATAGTAAGTGGCGCAATTGTCCCATTGTTCGATTGAATTGTTTTCTCGTATGGTACTGTCACATTTACCATAAGTGTAAATGCCGCCCCTCCCTTAATTATTATTTTTAATAATTGGTTGTTTTTATTGTTTCAGATTGCGACTGGTCAAGCGCCACCCCAGTCGCCTGGCAAATAAAATGCTAGACTCATGGAAAAAACAATTTTCGTTGAAACAGTTATCCTTGCAGCACGATAAACCGATCACCTTCGTGGTTTCGCAAGTAAGTAGCTCGCTGATTCTATAACAAAATAACAAAATGATGAAATTCCAGTGGCAAAGGGAGCCGAAGCCGAGCATCGTTTATCTCGTTTACAGATGGGCGATAGCGATAATATTCTTCGTTACTTTCGTGATATCAATCATCGACTTGAAGCACCCAGACGCTTCGTCTTCATTTAGAGCGAAATGGTTAATTTACTTGACAAATTGGGGCTACACTATGTGCACGCTACAAGCTCTCCTCGCCGCTATTATGCTGTCAATTTGCGTGTTGGCACCTTATTTGCACAGCAAACCCAACCTGGAAAGCTCGGCCCTCAAACTCCATAAATTCTACTGGGTGACCAACGTCGTAGGCACCGATATCGCCTTCGGGGTCACGTCGCTATACTGGTCCTTGATTTACGACGGTACGGGATCGAAATGGGACGCGGGACGCCACTATCTTTCCTGAATTCTATTTGCAGGAGAGACAGAATTATCGTTTGGAAGAATAGTGGCGTCCCTGGACTTTTCGTTTCGAAACTAATCGTGGTGTTGCAGAAAAGTCGATGGATCTGGACGCGATGAACTTCTTTGTTCACGCTAATAATTCGATCTTGATGATGATAGATCTCTTCGTTGTGGCGCATCCGATTCGGCTGCTCCACTGCTGCTACCCCATTGTGTTTGGAATATGTTACGCACTATTTAGTGTCATTTTTTACGCAGCGGGTGGCATCAGCAGGTGAGTTGGAGTGATGATCGAATTTACGTCTTAGTTAATCGGTGTTCCAGAGAGGGGAAAGTTTTCATCTATAACATCTTGGACTGGAGTAAGCCCGGAATTACGAGTGCAGTTTGCATAGCTGTCCTTGGTTTTCTTGTGATCGTGCATATTATCTGTTGGGCACTACATAAGTTAAGGTTGTGGATAAGTTCCAAGTATTTGATAAAAGAGGACAAAGGTTTGAAGGAAGGAGAGATCGAACCATCTAAAGCTGCGTACGTCAACGAAGGTTTAGCAAGTGATATGGTGTGATAAGCAAGAGATATTTTATTTTGAGATTTTCTAGTTCCTTGAGTCATTGTGAGAAACCAGGGCATGTAGTTAGTAACAAAACACCTATGTAACAGAAATTGTAAGATATTTTTTACCTGTTGTAATTATTGCTAGCAATAATAAAAGAGATTTGTTGCGAATTGTTGGATTGTTGGGTGCAGTGTGTGGCGAAGGTTCCGCGGCGACGTGGGTGAACCAGATTGGTTAATTAGAATGTCGTTTTTACAAGTTAACGGTAGGTTGGGAAGAAATACCTGTTTTAATTAAAAAAAGGCAAATGGTTAGAATGCAAAAATCATGTGACCGTGGTGCTAGTGGCAGAGACAGCGAGCGTCGAGAGGCCAAGAAGCCGGTTGGCAGTGTTGGCAGTCGAACAATCAGACAAGCAAGAAAGAGTCAACACGGGCAACTCGGTCAACATCAACACTCGAGAGCGAGGCGTCGCCTCGCCGCCCGTTGCCGTATCTGTTCGCCGCGTTGCTCTTCCTCGAGGTTTCGAATTTGCAGCAGTCGCGAGTCGCGAGTGCTGTGCGACAAAGAAGCGCCGAAGCGCGTAGTTGTGCAGCGTTTATGTGAGAACCGCAGAGCGCAGACGGAGGTGCAATCTGCGAGTTGACCTCTGTCCGAAGCGGCGATTGGAAGCGTTTTGGTGCGACCGCCGCAGCTGCGGAGGTGATATCGCGAATCCGTGGCCGGAGGAGGAAGAGGAGGAACCGGAGCAAGGGCAACGGCAGTGCCGGTCGGGGAGCGGTAGGCGGTTGGCCGTTGTCGCTGTCGGACCGACGCAGACCGTAGAGGCGCTGCAACCGGTGCCTTAGCAACAGCATTGACAGTCGAGATGCAGCGCCCAGAACCGGAGTGCTCCAGTGACCATTGATGCGGAGTGCATGTGCGGGCCGCGATCTCGTCTCGCGGCGCATTCTTGAACCGTCCGGAGCAGACGCCGCGGCCGCCGCCGCCGCCGCCGCCCGGACGGACATGATGGTCTATCCCGACCCCCAGTGGAGCTGCTCGGCCACGGCACCCATGCTCCAGCTGTACGACGACGTCGGATACCGAGGTGAGTACGCGGAGACTTCGACGACCGGTCGGGCGTCAAACGCTCCACACATGCATTCGCGACCACAAAAAACACCACGATTCGGCATAAACCGTAACTCGTACCATTAAATCTTTAAAAACTGGCTCCGTGCAGACACGCTCATGCCTCAGATGGCCCGCTCGACCGCTCATGCCTCTACAAATATGTCAACGACATTCGCGATCCCGATCACAAGAACCAGATCATTATCTCGCATATGACATCCCGTTACTCACAATCGACTATTAATCTACTCGTTTTCTAGTAAACGTCGTCGAAGCCTTGCAAGAGTTTTGGCAGATGAAGCATGCCCGCGGCGCCGACCTCCGCAACGGGGCCCTCGTCATATACGAATCCGTACCCTCCAACGCCCAACCCTACGTCTGCTACGTCACCCTTCCTGGAGGCTCCTGCTTCGGCAGCTTCCAGGTTAGTCGCACCGACACCATCTAACCGCAGACAAACAATAAATGGATACTACAAACACTCAATCCACTTAATTTCCCACAACCCAACTTCCCCACCCTGCTACTAATAACTCGCTACTACAATACAGACCATACAAAAATAGAATACATGTCTTTCAATAACCCGACGTTTACCTAAAGAGAAGCAACCTATCCTGGCTCGGCCCGGCTCGTGAAATCAGGTTATAAAGCAACATATTTATGCAGCGAGTCACTAGGATCCAATTAGACATCTTTGACATCGGGAAACCCACAATGACTCGAGTCCCTCACGAATGCCATCGTCGTTACGGGTCGACTGCACGCTCTAAAAGGGACAACCTTTGCGATATATCTTCTTTAGGCACTACTTTTGTTCGTTCTTATTTGTTTTCATACAACCACGGTTCGGCACTCCAGTCCGACTCCGGGCATTCTTTGCAATTCTTTCAATGCTCCCTCAGGTGTACTACAGCCCTCTCGTGCTCATTCTAGAACTGTCCGACCAAAGCTGAGGCCCGCCGCAGCGCAGCGAAGATCGCACTGATGAACTCCGTTTTCAACGAGCATCCGTCCCGTCGCATTTCGGACGACTTCATCGAGAAGGCAGTCGCCGAGGCTCGGAATTCCTTCAAGGGGGATCCCGAAGAGGCGGACAACCCGAACACCGGGATAGGCGCGTTCCGGTTCATGCTGGAGTCGAACAAGGGACGCACCATGCTGGAGTTCCAAGAATTGATGACTGTGTTTCAGCTGTTGCATTGGAACGGCAGCTTGAAGGCCATGAGAGAGCGGCAGTGCAGCCGACAAGAAGTGGTGGCGCATTACTCCAACAGGGCTTTAGACGACGACATGCGATCCCAGATGGCCTTAGACTGGATCGCTCGGGAGCAGGAGTGCGCCGGATCTCTCCGTCGCGAGCTGAACCAAGCCGAACGGGAACTGGAATCGGCGAGACTTGCAGGACGCGAGTTACGTTTCCCCAAAGAGAAAAAGGACATCCTCATCCTTGCTCATACCCAAGTCAACGTCAGTTAATCGCTTCGCTTGCGTTTTGTACGTTATATGTTAAGTTTTTTGTGAGACTGTTTTTGTTATGATAAGTAAATTATTGAATGTTTCATGTTGATATTGTAAAATAGGACTTCTCAACTCGTCAAGTATCCTTTGAAGATCTCTTGCTTTTTGATATTTAGGCCGGTTCTAAGTATGCGGCGGGAGACCGACTGACGATTTTAAGTGCGTCTCCGGCATTTAAAATTACGCACGCAAAAACCTGATTCCATTTTGGGGATTTCACATTCGAGGTACAGGGCGCTTGTTTTTCGATTTCGCGGAGCTTCGGACTTACCCATTTTCCATTTCATTTATAACAAATCGTAATTATGCGAGGACCATGTTTCGTCAATAATTCACTTAATGGGAACTGGTTTTTGATTTTTTTTTTAATTATGTTTAGCTATTGCTGAATTTACAAGCTATCATTTTGACTGATTATTGCTGTTGCCTCTATATAGTGCTAACTATTTTATTATTTTAATTATTCAAATAAACTTTTTAATCATACCAGATGTTTCACTTACGACGTGCCATTCCTGTTCTACTGCTGAAACGATTTTCCCAGACGGGTCAACGACCATTTAAAAGCCAGTAGTAATCTATGGATAATAATCAATTTGACTGAACACCCACTTTTTAAATTAAATTATGACCCAAAGATGTTCTATGGCTACCATCTAACGACTCGAATAGATGCTCTTGATACACCGTCAGAGAACACTTAACGCTAAAAAAAGTTTTAACAATAGTCGGAACACGCTATGACAAATGTGTTGTGTTCAAACATAAAACCATTATTTAAAGCTGTTATCAGCAGACATCCATCATTATTATCGCAGTAATTACTGCTAATTGGAAGATGTTTTCGCGCCTTACTGATTCGAAATCGACACACTAACTATGAATTTATTACTCTCTGATTAAAAGTGTAACGTGGGGTATGTAGTCCAAACGACGTAGTGTACTGTTGGTTGCATTGAACGTAATTTTCATACGTGTCTGTCAGTTTGGTGTATACTTGGTTGCATAGACACTACGGTAACGCCCTCATACGTCACTTGACTTATAACAAGCTCGAGATGATCCGCCCCCTACGATCTTGTTATCGCAATTAAATACCGTCAATCGTCCGAACGTCGTTAAATGCTAAATGGTAAAATAATTCGGAGGGTTGATGTTTGTTGAATATTACTCGCGTAAATTGTTGATTTTGTTGGGTGTCTTTAGTTGTTATGTGATTTTCGGTGCGTGATTCGAAGAGGGAGTAATAAACGAATGACGGTTGTGATTGTTTATATTCGCCAAGAATTAATCAGAGTAATGTGCCCTTACTTATTCGGCTAGTGATAACTAATTTTCGGTCATTTGGCATGATCATAGCAGAACAATGACCGTCGACTTCAACGATTATTTTTGGGTGAGTGTCACAACAGTATAACCTATCTCAGGAAGTTGTATTGACGTCCGTTTCTAATCTAATTAAGATTATTAAACCCGAAATTTAATGTCCACAGGGCGAGAAGAACAATGGATTCGATGTTCTATACCATAACATGAAGTATGGCCTAGTAGCAAGCAAAGATTTCGCTGAATTACTTCGAGAGCGGTAAGTGCCCGAACCTTTTTGACCGTCAATTTAATCACGCTCTTGACACCAGGTCAAACATTGAAGAAAACAACTCTAAATTACTTAGCAAATTCGCTAAACAGGCAGGAAGTTGTTGTAATCAAGGCACTTTCGCTCCATTATGGCAAGTCTTAAAAACATCAGCCGAGCGGCTGTCCGCTTTACACATGCAAATGGTGCAGAAAGTCACGGATTTGGTTAAAGAAGTTAACAAATATTCGGAAGAATTGCATAAAAAACACAAAACCGTAATTCAAAAATCTCTAAAGTTAATTCAAAATTTCACGCTTCGGTTATAGGTGAAGGAAGACGAATCCGGGACTCTCGAATCTGTACAGTCAATGCAAAATGTCACTCTTATGGTACAAAAATGTAAAGACACTTATACCCAAAGGGGTATAGAATTAGAAAAGTTAAGAAAAGACAATGCTAGCCCTAAAGAAATAGAAAAGGCCGAATTAAAGTTGAAAAAAGCTCAGGAAGAGTACAAGTCATATGTCGAAAAATATACCGTTATTAAAGAAGATTTCGAGAAGAAAATGTCAGTCACTTGTAAAAATTTTCAAGAGCTTGAAGTTGCACATCTGGTCCACATGAAAGAGTTCCTCAATTCATATGCTGAAGTCGTAGAATGGACACACGAACAAATGGGAAAAGTACACAAAGAATTCAAACAACAGTGCGTTGAACTGACGGTGGATCAGTTGCTGGACCAATTCGTTCGCAACAAATCCACCGGACTAGAGAGACCAGGTAAATGTGAACCATAATTTTGTAAAACGTGCCGTTTACCCACGGAAGCTTGAATGTGAGAAAGAATGCCTCAGCCGAACGACTGTCAAAAACTATTGTCTACGTAGAAAGACATTACGTCATTATTTTGAAAGGTCATCGTTTTCTCAATACAGTTACACGTAATTTGTCTTACGTAATTCAAACTGAAATTTTTCTGACAATTGCTGAAACGGGGTTATTCTAATTATAGGAAGTCGATTTGTTGATCATTTTGTATCCAACAATAATCAGTTTCGAGGCAACGTGATTGCACGCTTTGTTGGAAAGTATCACTATAATCTTAACCTAAAATTAGTACTCAGGAAACAGTAATCTTTAAAAAAATGCTGTAGAGTGTGTGTCCATTGTGGAGCAACTATTGTTGCCCCAAAAACAAGAACAGGACATTTCAAAAATGATTTGAAGGGTACTAGTGTATGTACATATATTTATGTATTTTAGCACACCTTATGGACCAGGTTTTTTGGAAATTTCGTGTTTTTGTGAGTAGACTGAGTAATTTGCTCACGATTGCTTGGTGCATAATTAAATTTGTGATCGAATGTCTGATATATGACGCAATCTCATTAACAGGATTTAATTTGAAAAAATATTTCAGGCGATATAAATATTCTAAGAAAAATTCTTTCTTCATGAAAGGTGTTGTTTCTTGAAAATCGCGTTACAAGGAAAAAAGGGGTAATCTCGGACGAGTTTCTTGAAGATCGTAATTAACGATTTTTGGGGCGATTGAACTAGAAAATTCGCGAAATTCCTCATGTCAATATACGCATGCGTGGCAAGTTCGTCGATATATTGTTATATAATGAAAGTTTTTGTGTAAATTATCATTGCGAATGAAATTTGCAATTCATACGGTTTCATGCTTTCCACTTTTAGCCGTAACGTATTTTGTGACTGGTTGAAGCCAATAAAGCTTTTAAAGAACTGTTTGTTATGCGTTCGTTTGAAAGAAGATTGACGTTTTACTGGGCGCCCACAGCATTTATTTATATGTTTGACGTATAGATGAAAGTCACGAGCTTCGTTCGCTCCGTCCTTCCAGTTGCGTCCTTTTCGTGGTGTATAAATTGAAACCCGTCGAGGACTTCATGCTGACTCATTTCGTGCGTAAACAGGCCACTAAATAAATTATTGTGGTTATTATTTTATTAGGTCGCATTGTTATACGATAATGTTAAGCAGTGTCCTTTTAAGCCGCTTACACGAGCCGATTATCCATGCGATAAGGTTTGTAGTATGTGTTTATCCCGTCGCCTTGTGGTGTTCGCTGGATAACGTGTGGTTTTGTTGAAGGTATAGTTGATATAGAGGAGGCGCTGATGTCGCCGACCCAGGACTCTGAGAGCTCGAAGCCAGCAAAGCGTGAAGGTAATGGCAATAGCGACCAGACCGTGCCAACACATGCCAAAACATCCCGCCGTACAACTTCCCTTCTCAATCTCTTCATGTCTAACTCCCAGGGTACGTGTCAGTTTCCTGGTCGCTGTAGCACTATTAACCCGGGCAAGGGCTGTGTTTTCAGGATCACGCGAGAGCCGAGCCGGCCCATGCAGCGCGCCTTCGAGCCCTACGAGCCCAGAAGGGGACCAACAGCTGACTCGACACCCCCACCGTGGATCAAAGTGTAACTCAACTTCTTTTTACTAGATGTCCTGCATGTCTGGCGTCGGCTCGAGCTGTTTTATGACGGTGGCGGTTATTTTGTCATCTTTCACAGATTCTATGCTTGCTACCACTCTCACTGTGCTGTTGGGCTTTTAGCAGGTAGCAGACCCGGATTTTCTTACGTACCCTGAACCACCTGCACGTTTATTGTTAAATCAGGCTGTGTTGGCAGGGCATAGCACGCTACAGACATACATATTCCCTCACCATTGCTTACACGACTCATATACATCTCATTATTCATACTCTGACCGTTATTATGTTCTACTCACGATGGCATATTGTAGGGTTTTTACGTAGTAGGCGCGAAAAAGCGAAACAAAAGAAATCGAAAAAGAAAGTCAAAGACAATGTTGATACTCAAAGCAATAAAGAAGAAAAGTCTGATATGTAAGTTGACTTTGCGTTGTTAAAACTTGTAATGACGTTGGTACGTAGGGAAGAAAAAGACGAATCTCAAAGAACTACCACGGCTGTGGAACCAGGAGCACCCGAAGTAGACGAAGATGGTTACGTTATACCACCGAATGTTCCTCATAGTTGGAACAACGAAAAAGGAAGCTTCTATTCGTCCTCAGATTCTGATACCGGTAATTCAAACTAGAGACCCATAACAACAACGAAAAACCAAACGTTTTTTTAGACGATGAACGTGAACGCAAAATCCACGTCGAAATAAAACCGCTAAATAATGGATCTGCACCTATGTCCGCTTCAGTAGATGAATTAAGAGCCACTGTAGAAAATATATATTTATCCCCTGTAGGAAGTACCTATGGCAGACGCGGTTCCAATTTAGATAATCAAGATTTAGCAATGAAACGTTCACAGTCGGTCTCCCAACAACTTGGTAAACCAAGTAGTGACTTATTAGGTCTAAATTTTGTGCAAAGCCCTAACGCTTCTAATTCTTCTACACCTACCAGTTCACATCCTTACGCACCCTTGCAGAGCCCGTCTCAGTTAGCCTTAAATTCTCCGACTCTTTCAGTTTCATCCAAATATGCAGGTAATTACGAATCGGGTGAAACCAGACACTATTCACCCAAGCCTTTCCAGATCTAGGTGATTTATTATCCGAAGACGGTGAAGTTCCATCAGGTGGTGTTACAAAACAACCACTACGACAAACCCCAACTCCCACGTCTGGGTATATGTCTATTCCCAGACCGCCGTCTCGTCGTTCAGATCCTCGACACATGAATCAAAGTAATATTTCAAGAGCTGATAGCATTAATAGCTTGGAGTTTCGCACTGCTTGTGTTCCTGTGGGAGTCTCTAGAGGACCCTCGCCGCTTACCATCGGAATGGCCGATACTATTCCCTTGGCCGTCGCTTTCCATGAGATTGTTCACTCGTACTTCCGAGGGGCCGACGAAACCAGGTACACAAAACACCTCTAGCCTAAAACGCGCCAAAAACAACTACCGTGTTTGCGGCGGTACACTATTTTTTCGAATTTGTGTTGGAAAAACGGGCCGATCTTTAGGCTAGGGATTTTGTAGGAGTTCGGTTCGACACCAAAAGGTGTATTCCCGCAGGTGTCAAGTGAAGATGTCTGGCGAAATGATGCTATCTTTCCCGGCTGGCATAGTTACAATTCTTGCAAATAATCCAAATCCGGCGAAGTTGGTATTCCGGGTAAAGAATACCCAAAGACTTACCAGTATTTTACCAAATAAGCAATTAGTGGCCATGTAAGGACTCGTTTCTTGTTTCTTCTAATCTTCAATTGCTTCTTACAGTGATAACGGACAATCAGCAACTGATAATTTAGTCTTGGAATTTAATATGTCTGCTTTAAGTGCTTTGTTGAAGAAGCAATCGGAACAGAATCCTAGCGCCTCCTATTTCAATGTAGATATTTTGAAGTATCAAGTAAGTACCATTGAAGGTAGTTGAAAGTACCCGTTCGTGTTCGGAAGAGTACTTTTTTCGGTAACAATGTGACTTGTCCACAGATAAAACCTAAGCCAGGGGCAAATTCGTGCCCCTTTCAACTTGTGGCCTATTGGAAGTGTACAAGCTCGCATACAGATTTAAAAGTGGATTACAAATATAATTCACACTCGATGAGTTCCCCAACGCCATTATTGAACGTTACTGTGGCAGTTCCTGTGGACGGTGGTGTCAAAAATCACCACTTAAAACCTGCGGCTCAGTGGTCGGTAGGTAATTAATGAAATAGCCGATTTTGACCGATTGGGTTACAGGGCGCCCGATACGAATAGGGTTATATGGAAATTCACGGAACTGTCACAACACTCGGATAATCATGGCGTCGGATCATTATTAGGTCGGTTTGATCTTGAAAATGGTCCGACAACACCTGCTACTATTTCGGCTGCGTTCAATTGCGAAGGTACGACGTTATCGGGGATAGAATTTCAGTTGGTAGGATCTGGGTATCGATTGTCTCTAGTCAAGCGACGGTTTATTTCTGGTAAATATATATGCGATGGCGATTTAAAATATAGTTCAGGTACTGGAACGCCGTCTACTGGATCTGCTGCTGCAAGTACCGTTTCTTCGACCGGCGATCCTAATTGCTAGCATTCCCACATATCACATGTGCAATACGGTTCGTATATAATCTTTAAATTTGTACGTCAACTATTTTTATTTATGACTATTTCCATGTTACATAGCATATATTATATATAGTTTATGAAGCTATTTTATAATCAATAAAGATTTTGTAAAGGAGTATTGATTTTGTCTTACAATAGTACACAATACCTTTTGAAAGTTGTTGTTTGACGGAAAGGAAAGGAAGGGAAGGGTAGAGAGAATAGAATAAAAGTCTTGGATAACAGAAACTTTTATATAACTCTTTACTGTATGATTAATAATAAATAATATAAGTGCGTTCGATGTCACTAAATTAACCAGAGAGTTGGCAAGCAAACGCATCTACACAAAATATATGAATATATGTCAACCATAGATAGTTTTCGTCTGACTTCCTTGTGGCAGAAAACACGAGTGCACTGATTAGAGATCACAAATTTTTGTATAATGGGGACGTCCATGATTTACTGAACGAAATCGATTTTTCTGGCACCTTGACGGATTAGTAAACGGATGGCATGGAACATAAGCAGTTGTTGATTATTACAAAGGTAAAGCTGGGCAAACGGCTTAAATAAGGTTCAGCAAATGGCGCGATTGGCCGTGGTATATATTCATCGTTACGTTGTCCATAGAAAACATACACCACGGAATTTATTACAAAACCGTGTTGCCATTACGAGCACCGACAGTTTCTGGCTACTACCCTGTTGAAGGAACGAGCAAAATTGCTCACTGGCACGAGTCTGAGATGGAACCGTCGTACGACTATGCAGGTGCTAAAGGACCGACGAAGTCGGTCCGTACGATGCTCTACCGTTGATTGGAGGTCTCTCAGCTGAAACATAAATCACGAAGTGACTAAAAGGGACCCTCGGCTGACTTTCACAACGTAATCTGGCAAGACCAAAGATCGATTATCCTTCCAGAACACATCGAAAGTCGTAAATGGAGACGCGGGGATTAAAAAGTAATATATTTTTTTCGTCGAGGCCACCCTGCGGCGACCTTTTAATTCGAACGTTTGTTTCGAGTAAATAGAATTGTGTTGTTAAGTTGGTTATTTTTGACACGAAATCGATAGGATTATCGGGGTCGGGGAGTGGACAGCTATAAAACTCCCCCAAAGGGAAAATGTAATCGACCGATTGCGCAATAAGTAAGATTTGGGCGATCGTCGAGAAATACTTGCCTGTGCAGCGATGACTCTGCCCTGGCCCGAGTTCATGCTTTCACTGCTAAATCCATACCTAAAGCAACATAACCAAATCGAATACGGTAAGCAGAAATCGGGTCCGAGTTTACGACATGCCTTGTTCCTTATTTTGATCAGTTAAAGTCGGTGGAGCAGACTGGGCAATGGGAGGGGGTACATCGGGAGGAGTCCAAGCCTTTACTTCGCTATGAGGACGACTACTAATGTCCCCTGAAACAAAATACTTCCTCCGTTAATTAATCATGTCTGGCCGGACGCTTCGAGCTCGTTTTTACCCTCCCTGACGTTTTGCGTGACCGTAAAAGTTTTTCCGGTGTCGAGTGGCACAGTCCAGTTGACGGGATCAGGAGAACGCATCAGAATTTGTTCGGGAGATTTAACCCTAGTGGGTTCCGGAGGCGATTTCACCACTGGTTCGTAATCGATTATTTCGGGCCCTTCGACCGCGGTCGTATTCTTCGCATCTGAATCGTTAGTAGTTTCGGCTTTCGGCGGTTCCGCTATTGATACACAATTATATAATTGAGGAGATTGCCGAACTGATCCTAGTTAAAACAGAATGCGTGTGCCAAGGGTCGTGCCTTTATTCTTACCTCCTGTACTTCCTTTTTCTAACTGTTTAGAGCCTAGCTTTTGCTTAGAGAAGTCATTAGTGATTTGAGATTTTGAAATAGCTTTGGCCAATCTGTCGTCTTCGTTTTTAGAGGTAACCGAACTAGGTTTAGATCGGGATGAGGCAGTGGTGTTCAAGGATGCTAAAACACCGGAAATTTGTTACTAATAGTACAGTCACCACAAGCTGTGCAATCGTTCATTTTCACACAGTTGCAAAAGCAATAAACTGCAGTGAAAGATCATCTTATCATGATGTTTCCATGCACTCGCTCGAACATAAGATGTGCTTCCAAAGCGTTGCACACACCACGAAAAAAATAAAAAAAAATAAATTTATGTGAGGACCGATTGAATTTTGCACGTTAAAAGCATTTAAATATTGCAGAGTGAAATGAGCCAAGCCAAACATCACGAGTCTTGGCACACACTGACGATTTAATCACATGCTGAAGCTTACAAGGTCGAGGTCTTTTGATGCTAGCTTGATTTGCCGAAGATTTTCTTTCTTTTACTGTGGCAGACCTTGACTGACGCTTTGGAGATCGCTTCTCGGTAGTATCTGTTATAGGACCAACAGACTGTGACCGTACTGTAACGAAAAATATAGCATATATCTGTAACAGTGTCAAAACACCGTCAACTTACGATTCTTGGGACCTCCCTTCGAAGAAGCCTTTTGGTTATGGCGCTTCAAGGATGATGATTTCAGCGGAGAATTCTTTTTGGGGCTGTTCTTCTGGGATCCTCTAGAGTCGTCATCTTTTCGTGGGATGGTCGGTTCGAGTTTTTCTCTAGTCGGAGATAGAATCAAACCGTCAAGCTCTGGAGAAAATTCGGGCGTAAACGACGACTTTTCACGAGGGATTTTAATAAGTGATACCTGAACCTCCGGTTGTTCTTTCTAGATGATGTCTGATCATGTCGCGCATAATCCTGGCAGAGTTTTCTGCGTTACGAGCTGCCTTCGACGGAGAAGTTTTGTTGTTATTATCTACTTCCTTCTCTTCTTTTGTATAGGACTTGTGTGTCATGGAAGCGAGAGATAAGGCTGATAGAGAACTTCTCCGTGAAACTTGATCCCAAAGTTCAACTTGCTTATTGTATATATCAGAAAGCCTGTCTGGAGCAAGTTCGCTACCCCAACCGCGGTGCTGTCACAAATATTCACATGGAATAAATAGTTTTCATCATGTGCAAAGTTGATTTTAATCAACGTAGTGTGTACAAGTGGTATGCACAAGAATATACCCTCGCCCTACTAAATCAGTGATCGTATTTACAGACGCTTTCCAAATACAACAAGTTGACAAATTGGGATTGATAGTTCGTTCGATCGATCGATCATTCGTGAAAATAACACATTTTTTACGATGAACGTTCGCTCCTGCCCTCTTAATTATAGCTGCGAAATGAAAAAGAAAAACGAGCACAGTTCCGTTAGTTTGCGGCTGTTTATTGAGCGTAACAAGCAATTTCGCTATATTAGAGCTGCATCGCTTTAATTCTGTCAACTTCCTCAAATTAAAGAGTAAATTGCTAAATATGCAAAAGAACTTTCTAATAGACAGGCGAATTTGAAAACAGCGAAGCGAATGAGAAAGGGTTGTAAAATAATTTCGGCCTCATTTATAATTCATTTGTGTGAATATTGCGTGGAATACGAATTAGCCACGGTCGTACGCCGAGGAAAATCGAAAAATATTTGCTGTAGGTGCTGATTTTTTGAGTGTGACGTGGAAAAAACGTTTCGGATAGAAGATGACAGGAGAGATGGGTCCATTACGCTTAGTATCATACCTTGTATTCTCCCGCTTTCTTGCGCAGTTCTACGACCTCTCTGTACCAAGAATCGTTCTTTTCGAATTGAGGCGGCAGCGAATTTTGGCCTCCCGAATCATCGGCGTCCTCGGCGGAGCCGCCGCGTTTGGTGAACCGCCCCTCGGAGTACTCGTACTGGGAGAAGGGTCTAAACTTCTTCTTGTACTCGGTATTGAATTCATCCTTGAATATGTGAGTCTTGTCTTCACGAGTATTTCTTTCATCGACTAATGGTTCGAGTTCACTGGCTGATAGTGCATTATGGTGGTTTAGGGTGTAAGTAATGCGGGAAGAGGATAGTTTGATGCTTACCATCCTTATTTTCCAAATCGATGCGTTTTTTGTGCACCATAGCATTGGTGGCTGGTTTAAGGGCTCCCATAGATTGGGATTTACGAGGTGCCGAAGAATCGGCGGCATCTCTACGTGAAGTATGCCCTTGAGGCCAAGCGAATTGTAGTCTGTATTCAGTGCTAATTTTGGAAATGGCCTTCCGGAGAAGTCCGGTTTCGCGTCCCTGTAAATAAATGTTATGGACCGAAGGGGTTGCGGATGGTAAGATCAAAGCGGATGAAGAGAGGGGTACGGTAGTGTGATCGTGTCGCGTGTGTGTTATTACCATGTTCTCCAAATCGGGGTCCGATTCCCTACGCCGCTCCCGCTCCCGCATGCCGTCCCCGTGGGCGCCACAGCGTGGTCCCTCCGACTTGCTGCGCCGGGAAGGCCTCCAGTGCGGGCCTCGCTCCTCCGACTGCAATTAAAATGAATACATTTTCTTACAATCATGCCTTGACAACGGAAACGTATTCATTTTAATAGGCGATACGGTCAGTTCTTTCTTGCAGTCGTTCGTGTACCGTCTACCGTCGCATGCAGCACTCGTCCCGTTTAGGGTCTTTCATACTGGACTGGTTACCGGGTGCTGGCCCTCGAATCGATCTCCTTTCGATCGATGGCCCGGGATCGTCATGCAGGCAAGGCGGAGAGAGCAACTTGGTCTACTGGACTTACGGGTTTTGGTTTAACTACCGTCAGCGCCTAGCGGTCGACGCTCTCGGGAGCGGCGGCGGGTGCAATCACTACTTGCGTCTTGCGTGTGGCGGTTTCGAGACTTCACGGCGGTCATATTACGCACCAGAGTGCTTACGTATAGCCTTGCCATTCGTTTCATCAGAACGGACTTACGTTTGCGTTCTAGCTGGATTCGTTACAAAACGCTCTACAAGTACTGGTACTGTGAAAAATGTAGTACTACTTTTACGTTTAGCGGTTGAGCGACGCGCGAGGTAATAGACCAGATGCAGAAATGCGTGCACGATTTCTAAAACGCTTACCCTAGCTCTTGATTCCGTGTTGCAGACCCCGTTCGCTTGAATCTCCCCGTCGCTGATCAAAAATTCGTGGTGACGATAGGCCAAGTCCGGGTACTTCTTTCGTCTCGGCATCGCCGGCTCTAACTTCGGCACTAAACCCCAAAAACATTATTAAAACTAATTTAGGCCACCAGACTCACGAAATCGACTTACGTTCGTTATGAACGTCATCCTCTTGTTTGGAGGAGTGCTGAGTGTCATTAGCTTTTTCGCCTAAAACCGTCGACGTGATTAAGTGATGTCTGGGGGTAGTATCGATTTGGTAAACTATCGTGTCAAAAGGCTTACCGGCGGCTGAAGCGGCGTTCGGCTGGGGTGGCCTCCGCACTACCTCCTGCCTGGGCCCGGTGTACTCGTGCCATCGGTAAGTACTCCGGTACTCGGAGTGCAGCTGGAACGAACCCGGCTCATTAAAAAAAAAAATCAACGTCGCAACGATAAATACGAAAATCTTCGCTCCCTCTTACCTTATCGACAGGCATCGACGGGCAAGCTCTGCACAAATTCCAGAATGAGCCAATCATCAGGTCTAATGAGTGGACACTTGATTTTTTCCAAGTTTTAACTTTCGGCCCAAGAAGCCATACACCGGACAGCTTCGGGGTCGGCCAGAAAACGCGAGAGGAGACGGCGTAGGTCGCGAAAACTTAATGAGCCGACAGACTCGATGGACACGAGAGCTCGTGCAGCATGACAGGAGCCCCACCTTATTGGCAATCCGTGGTCTGGTCGACGACGGCTCAAGTGAAGCTAAGAATCAATAGACGGGCGCCTGCTCTATGCAATTCTATCGTTGCGCCAGTTGCGCTACAGTTTTTTTTTCTCCTCCTGTTTCCAACTGCGTTACTTGGAGCGCCATCCACAAAAAGGACACTGAATTATAAACTACACTTGATGGACTCTATGCTGATGCCGTTGCTTTATTTAATTCGCCTCGGTTCGATAAAGAGGCAATTAACCTGAAACAGAAACCCTTCTAAAATCGCCGACGACGCTCATTCCGGGCGACGAAATTCGGGAGCGAGGTCAGTGACCCGAAATTGGCAGAATGTCACTACGTGGAAATGAAGGGCGAACGGTCAGTGGAGACGTTCGCCGACCTATCACCCCTATTTATCACATTTTTCTCCACATACTTTTCGCCCCCGATCTCCTCCAGTTTTATTCATTCGTGTCACCTGACAGCTAATATAATTTATCTCGAATTAGTAGCATTTCCCAAATAACTCCGGAATATTGGGGAAATGAATGAAAGTTTTTAAGAGTTTAATCATTAAAACTTTGTAGATTTATTACGACAAACACGACATCAGCATCACCTTAATTAAATGAAAATTGAACTTGGTTAATATTTAATTAGAATACTGATGGCATTACGAACACGCCATTAGTAGCAAGGACGTCTCAGCCTGTATTCTTATTTCACGTTACGTAATACCTTTCAAAATATTACGTTTTCCATTTGTAAAACAAAAAATTGTGAAATAAATTTCCACGGACGTTACATGAATAAAACAAGGGACAGAGTGGTCCTGTGAGATTTTGTTTCCCAGCTGAAAAAAATCGTATATTTTTAGAACGAAAGCAAATTTATAGTATCGTTTCTAAAGCACACGAAATTATGAGCCAAAATTGTAAAACAAAATAATAATATTTTTACGTCACATACAAAATTCGAATATGAAATATGTCGTCGGGCGACTAAATATGCAAATTTTTATTAAAATCAGCAATTTTAGATTAAAGCTGGAACTCAAAGACAAGATAAATCGAATTGTGCAAATACGTACGAAATACAAAATTTATAGGAAAGAATTTATTTACGAAGAAGCTTTCGAGTGTCGTTGTTTGTTTAAACAATAAATCAATGTTCGCATATCAGACAGTTCAACGTATCGATAAAATGCATGCGCTTTGATACGATTTGAGTATTTGTGGTGAGTACCAAACCACTTTTTCGACAAAATCGTGATATAATCTAACGAAGCAAATTACTTAACGACAACGCAAACTAAAATAATTTATTTTACAATTTTCAACGCAGTTTTCTTTTCGTAAATACTTTAATAGCGTAATAACATGCCATTAAGTACGTTATAAGAGCTGTAATATGATCATTTCCTCATTGCGCAGTAATAAGTTAACACCCTACTTTGGTGACACGTTTTGACAATCGCATACTGAAAAGTGCAACTGCTCATTCTCAGAATTTGTTTAATGGCGTCTCATGTTTAGTGACGTACGCTGTTCAGATTTACGTAAATTGAAAAATTGTATAATTTAGTATGAAATTTGCTATTTTTACACCACATTTCCTTCCAACTCGGTATATTTTCTCTATGAACGCCGTTATTGGTTTTTATTAATATTGTATATGGCGGTCTGACATTTCCTTCACATTAAACGACACGATAATTTTTAGGTCAAGATGACATAACTGTGACTTTTTGTGCAACATTGCAGTAAAGTCAGTTACGGTCTTTTGACTTTAACGTATAAAACAGTAAATTGCATTACCTTTTTTTACATCCGCCCTAAAAGAATAATGCGGTACGATTACCTTGTGCTTTTAAATTCTTAATCGGTGAGTACGGCCGTGAAATATCTCAACTTGTCGACGCAAATTGTTTTGTTTATATAATAATTATGCACTTAAATAGTTATAGCAGGGGAATTTATTACTGTGCAAACAGCAAAAACTGGGTTAACATGTGTAATATTTAATATACGGCATAGGTAACAATAGGTAGGACCTTTCCAGTTGATTATAATTATTAATTACCAAGCAATGCGGGTCAACTTAATAAACTTTGGTACAAAAGGGTAATTCATTTAATCATCCAAAGCGAATAAACATGCTCACAAAATAAAATATTTACTTGCTCTACTCTGACATTTCCACCTCATAGATTTGATAATTTCTTCGGTGATCGATTTTCGATAAAATCGCCTGATATAAGGACAGCCGTCTCTAACTAGTCCTATAGCAACTATAAGGAAAATAGATAAACAAATTGTTAATACTGAAACAGCTGCGCGCTAGACTAGTACGCTCATCCGCATACATCTAAATGAACTGATTTAACCTTGGACGCACAAGTAAATTTTTATCAGTTTAATTATTTAACATGGCCCACAAACCGGATGGCCTTTTCGAGTATATCCTAATTCACTACAGATGGGTTTTTGTTTGTTTATTTCTCCTACCGGCTTCTTTCCTTTTTGACATTTGGCTGTATTTTCGAAATTGGATTGTTTTCAAGCTGAGCAGTGCACCTAAACAACACAATTCCAAAGTCAAACACGTGCAAGAACAGGTAAGTCCAGATTTTTATATTTAAATAAAGGCAATTAACAGAACCAGTGGCCGGGCCAGAACCAGAGCATTCCAGGCGCGAATTCATCATCATTATTATTATTATTAAAGAATAATTAAAATATTATATAACGCTATAGCTATATTGTTATTAAAGGTACGAAAATGGGCCAAGAAGGGCAAGAAGCAGTTCATTTGTACTGCAAGGCCCGGCTGGCAGACCGTTTCTTTCCGCAGACCCAAATACAAAAAAACGATGTATAACATTGATGTGAACCTCGTTGATGTTTTGGACATAGACTTAGATAAAAAGGTAACTGCGTACTGACAATAAAACGACAACAACTAAAATGTTGAGACAGACTGTGCGTGTGGAGCCTTTGGTAACCATGGGACAGTTAACGGCGACCTTAAACCCTCTGGGTTGGACCATCCCGGTAGTACCAGAGCTCGACGATTTGACAGTTGGAGGTTTGGTCATGGGTACAGGAATAGAGTCGTCTTCACACCAGTACGGGTTGTTCCAACACATATGCACCTCGTACGAACTAGTTCTTAGTGATGGGATAGTCGTAACGTGTTCGTCGGAAGAAAATTCAGACTTATTTTATTCAGTACCGTGGTCCTATGGTACTTTAGGGATTTTAACAGCGGTTGAGATTCGCTTGATTCCAGCGAAGAAATACGTAAAGTTAACTTACAAACCCGTGCGGCAGCTGGAAAAAATAACACAGGAGACGGAACTGGCGAGCAAAAATTTGGAAAACGAGTTCGTCGAAACGTTGGTGTATGGAAAAGACGACGCGGTAGTAATGACAGGGGTGCAAACCGACGATGTTGACAACCGGAAGGTACGACTAAGTCAAAGTGTGTTAATTTTAGTTGAAATTTTAGGTAAATGCGATAGGGAAATGGTACAAACCATGGTTTTTCAAACACGTGGAGGCAAGTTTGAAGAAAAATAAAACCGTCGTGGAGTATGTACCTCTGAGGGACTACTATCACAGACACACGAGGTCGATTTTTTGGGAGCTTCAGGTTCTTTAATCGTGGGAGTTAACATAAGTGTGACCGTGTGGTTTTAGGACATTATTCCTTTTGGAAATAATGTAGTGTTCAGGTATTTGTTCGGGTGGGTTGTGCCTCCTAAAGTGTCTCTACTAAAACTAACACAAACCGACGCTATAAAAAAGCTATATGAAAATAACCACGTCATTCAGGATATGTTGGTACCAATCGAAACTCTTAAAACCAGTATTGAAAAATTTCACGAAACTATGGAAATATATCCCATGTGGGTTTGTCCGTTTAAACTGTTCGCAAACCCAGGAATGGTACATCCCGCGAAAAATACTGCCGCTGTGTATGTTGATATCGGGGTGTACGGCGTTCCAAAGGCCACCAATTTCTCAGCAATTGAGGCCACCAGAAAAATTGAAAAATTCGTCATTGATGCCAACGGGTAAGTAAATATCGTGTGGTCGAAATTTCTTTAGTATGTCATGCCGTGTGTGTTGAAGTTGACTTAAATGTCATCGACGTATGTTCAAATTTGAATATAAAGGTGTAACTATTATTAACCGCACAACATCTGTATATGGCACCTAAAAATTTAATTAAAGTCGATAAAAAGTGACGTTTATAAATAGTTTTCCTGTTCAACTTTTTGTTCGAAAACACGACTTATAATGCAGGAAACAATTTTAAGTGGAAACAAGTAATTATATGTATATAGACTAGATAAGCAACAGTGTTGCAGTTATTAAATATTGAACTGATAACTATAAAATTTAAAAGCGTCTGTTATATTAATTACTGTTATTATCACTGTATAATGATTGTGTTTTTTTTTAATAGTGAGACACTGACAACAGTTATAATTTTGATGATAATAATAATAATAATAATAAATGTCTTTATAACTCCACCGGAAGGTATCACAGTGTGTCTCAGTTGTAAAACATTCGGAATTAATCATTTAGGGCGTTCTGCTGACCATCGGTGCGTGCTCACAGCTTGCGAATATTTCCAAGATGACTGCAGCAACTCGGTGGGTACATGATTCGCTAATTATTTAAAATATACTGAATCATCAGGCATAACCTTGTAAAAAACCGCATTTAGATATCTTTAATAATAATGCCGCTATCTTATTTCCGTCCCGTCGGCACACTTGAAGCACAAAAAGCCTAACCAACAACAGCCTTAAAAATTTCGCACAATAAATAAATCGAAATAATTTCACGAACAATACGCTTCGCGAGAAAAACTCGCGTCACGTATAAATGGAATCTTTAGTGTTGTTGAATTTGTAGAAAAAAAGTGGACCATCAAAAACTGTTTACGTTTTCTTATTAAAATAAATGTAAACCGCTTTGTCATCGTTCAAACAGATCGCCTGAAACGGACATCTCATTAATTTCAAAGAGAAAATATTTTCAGTTTACTGACCATCGTTTATTTCATTCGGCCAGAAAATTACGGCCCACTGTGCAATTTCCCTCAAAGATAGGCAATTAACTGGGAAAATAATTAGCACCCGAGTGGATTCGGGGCTAATGAAGTCGCCTTCGGCGATCCCTTGTTTTGTTTGTTTAATGGGGCTGCTTAGATTTCAGATGCTGTACGCCGACACTTACATGTCGAGGGAGGAATTTCGACGCATGTTTGACCACTCTTTGTACGACGAAATGAGAACCCGGCTGGGGTGCAAAGAGGCGTTTGCCGAGGTCTACGACAAGGTGAACAGAACCGCCCGAGATTAGTACCCACTATTACTCAATAAAAAAAATGAAAATTTTTGTTCTTTTAGTTATTTACCTTATAACATATAGAAATTTTCAAATTTTGAAAAAACTATACATCTTTGATTGTGATGATTGTGCCGAAAAATAAAGATTAAGCTTTCTGTCAACGAAAGAGCTCTAAAAATGGGAAGCGACTTTTATTAAAAAAAACTGAACATTTCTGGTAGCTTAAAATTGCAGTCCGTGGATCGTCGGTTGGTCGTTGATAATGTCGTTGATGTCTATTAGCTTAAACGCCCTATGAAAAAGTGGAGGATCCTCGTATCCTCTCAAGAAGCGCTTTTGTGGTCCTTCCTAAGCATCAATTTGATTGCGCTTGCGCCCGCGGCTCAGTACTAGCTGGTCAGTGGGCCCGTTCCATGCCGTTCTTCACTTCATTCATAACTCCGGCTTGTTCATTCAATTACGTTGCGTCTAAAGCACGCCGTGCACCTGTCGTGTTCTCTACCTGCCACCCCGGGGCCGACCAGAAACGTCACAGCCTTCGGCCCGCTCGGTACCATTGCTCGGTGGTACTCGCGAGTGACCAACCCATGTGCTGATCCACCCCTGCCTCTATCATGGACATCTTCTATGTGAAAGTGACATTGTTTTTGGCCGCCCTCCTCAGTCTATGTAAGTGTGCAGTGATTAATATTCTTGTTTATTTATTAGTCTGCGAAGGCGCATTCTTGCTCGGTGACTAAACTAATTTCGATCTCGAGGTACCGCGGAATGTAATGTCATGTGAAAAAATGCAATTACGGGCCAACATCTCGGCGAAGAAGTCGTCGTCAAGAGTTCTTTGTAAACGCAATTAGTCAGAAATTGGAGGACTTCCGACAGGCACAAGTGGAAGATCGCCAATTACCACTTCCTTAAATTGAAGGCTTCTTGGGAGATTGTAATGATTCATTAAAAATAAAACGTGATTCATATTTGTCTCGGAGGTCGTCCCAGGGGGATGTTCGCCTGAGGTTTACCACACAAATAAGGAATCGATCCGGATTTGCATAATTTTTCTGAGATTTAATGATCCCATTGTGTTCTTCCTAATGAGATTATTCTAACAAGTGGATTGAACCAAGCACAGTTAGTTAACGTTTTCACGAAACAATAATTGCTGATCAGATCAAGATGCTTGAGAATTATCAAACCTGAAAGGAATATTAATGATCGCACCAGCACGGTGCAACCACTTCGCTCCCAGTTAAGATTTTGTGATCTTATTTAACTGTATCTCTTTTAATTTAACCAAAATAAACATTCTTTATATTAAATAACTTAGCTAGACTTAAGTTAAAAAATCTAATTAAGTACTGCTTATCTTTATTTTTTGCTTACCGGCAAATTGACATTTGATAAATGTTCGTTTTTTTATAGAAAATGGTATTCTAAGCATCATGTGGTCTTCAAAATGAATTAGAATCATATTTCTAGCTGTCTCCACGTCTAGTGACGTAATATCCACATAGTCAAAAATCAGTTTTTCGTACCATTTATGGATTAGGATTCCTAGTTTGGTGATTTTTTATTTGACAATTTGCTTTTGTCACGAGAGAAAATAGCAGTTGGTGTATAAACTATTCAAAATGTGCTAAATTGGATGCTGAATATTTATGACCAATTGTCACACTGTCACAAATTTGGTAATTCAACTACGTAACCTATACACAATTTTGAAGTGTATCAATAAGTGTCAAGAGTGCTGGGTAGAGTTCCGGGCTTTGGCACTACCTGCTGAAGTATTGCGGTTAATTATGTTCCACACTTTAATTCTTTTCCGCTTTCCTTCCTACCTGTCAGGTTGGATCTCTTCCCGCCCAACGAAAATTTTTCAAGAATGACGTAATTCGGCGTTTAACGTGGGTTGTTTTAACGTCCGAAGCGAGGATTTGAGAGCCGGAAAGTCTATTCATATTTAGGAATTAACCCTCGACTTTTGTGCTTTTAAACTGGCGGTGGCATTCCGGGCTAAAATAAGCTTTGTGCTTTGTTCCGGGCTTTCATAATGCAGCTGCAGCAAGACTCGGACCTTTTATGTGTAAAAACTAAATGGGGTATTGCGATTCGTCGAGACGGTGTATACGCTATTAAAAAGGCCATAAGTAAGTAGGACGGAGATTTTCCCACCCCATCGAATCAGGTGCGGGCAATTTACCAGATTCCGGCAGTAAAACGAAATTGGTTCCCTTGGCACGTATAAAAAATCAATGATAGTGGGGTTAATGTTTCGAGTGAAATTTAAATATTCTGGGCACGGTGTTGTTGAACAATGTAGTGTTGTGGTCGCTTATGGTAATATTTTCACGTCGGTCTGGGTGCTCCTTAGTAGGAGGAAAGAATTCGTGGAATGAAATGGGTACAACTTGTTATCGCATGGTAATACGGTCGACCCACCCTATTTCGATGTAGTATATAATTTATTTGTTTTAATTTATCGGGGGTTTGCTCACGATACGGAAGAGAGTTACCAAGGAGTGCGTATTTGCATTTTGCGTCATATTTCGTTCCGCCTTGTAGGTTTTTCACTCCATTTAGTAAACTAAGATATTACTACATTTCCCCATTTACTTCAAATTTGATTAAAAAGGAAAGATTTAATCCCGGTAATTAAGGCTGAGAGTTAAACTTTTAATTAGTTTCTTTTCTGATTTTATCAAACTATTCAAACATCCATGTACGCCGTTAAAGTGCATTCACTCTTTATTGTTCGCAGATTTCCAGAACAACTGACCGATTTATGCCATATGGAATTTGATTCAAAATTTGCCACAATTAATTGAAATTATCACTAAAAACAAAATATCAACACAAAAATATACACACTATTTAAAAGTGATTAATCTTCACCCTTAACAATGAATAAAAGAACATAACCTTCACTTTTGTAAAACGTCAGAAATTAGATAGTCAGCGTCAAAAGTACGAATAAGTACAGTCGCATTTTTGCCATTCCACAGCCCACTGCTACAATTTCCAATCTACTTTTTCGTAAGACCGATTCGCTGTGTCGAGGCGTTTTTAACAATGAAATTTCTCGGTGTGTACGATACGCTGCGAAAATATTTAGGGTGCACAGTTATGTGTTTATTTACTAGAAAATTGTGAAAGGTAGAGGCAGGTAAAGTAATTCTATTCCGACATTCCAACTACCTGTGTTTCATTTAAAGAGGCCGTTCTAAATCAGTTGAACACCTGCCTGTAATTGTAGTACCTACCTGTACTACCTAATCTTGCGGCTTACGTATTTTAATGGGCTGAATTAAGTCTGTAGCAAGACTGCATCCAGTTTTTTCACGAGCAAAACCAGCTCCCATTTTTTTAGGATACGGCAATTTACAATTTGAAACAACTAAAAATAGTAATAAACGCCATTTAACTTTAAAAAACCGGAGTTTTGGTTGACTGGAACGGTGGAATTGCGTTTTTTGTTGTCGTTGAAACAATTTTAACAATATCGATAGTTTTGCAACCTCATCAAAGCAAACACTCGATGTACAGTTTCTTTTTAATAACGCGGGATAAATAACATACATTAATTTAATAAACTCGTTCAACAACAATGGGTTCCGAGAAGCTGCTCGCAACATAGTTCTGTATCTGTTTTACATAGTAATTTCGAGGTATTGTTTGCATAAACGGTACACAAATCAAATTTGCTCTTCAAAAACTTAACGCCCATTTGATCATAATTTCAAATTAAATTTATTTGAATTTTTGTTTTATTGTTATTTCGTAACATATCGAAATGTAGTTTTACCCATAAAGGAGTCGACCAGACTGAAAAGTTATGTCGTACCGCCCACTGGAGGACGACTAGAGTAGAAGAATCTCCTTTCTTGACTCGGTAATCTACCATGAACTATGTTACTGCTGACGTTACAAGATTAACCCCTTACATATTTTGCTCCCACATGTGGAATCGACTATATTTCGGAAACACGCCACGACTACCGCGTACTAAACAAATTCAAATTAATTGAATACCAACAAAATGGCACTTGTCTTTTCATTGTCATTAACTAAATTACACGAGCAATTATCTCACATTGTGACAATAGGTTTAAGTGGGTACCTATGTAAGTTGTAAAGATTAGATAAACATGCAACCCTTCCATTTAGCTGCATTATCGCAACAACCACTAATTATACGCCTATTTTTTCAATTTAGTTGTTATTATGCAAATTTTTATGCAATATGTGAATATGCTATGCGAGTCCATGGTGGGTTCTATCTCAGGAAAAGGCGTCTCAAGGTTTTCACAAAGTCGTTACATGGTAAACATCACGGATATTTTGGAACACAAATGCATAAGTTTTCATGTAACTCAAATTCTATAAGTATATTTTAATATTGATTGTAGAATACGTTTGGTACCACGATTTGAATGCAATACATACTATACATATTAATTCAAAGACACAAAACCATAGTGTGTAAGGAACAAAGACAGAGCATTTTTAGTATGGAAACTTGATATTACGTACTGCAAAACGTCAATATTTGCCCCAAGTACGCCATAAATTTCTTCCAATATTGTGTTACAAACTTTCCCAATCAAAATTACGTTATAGGTATGTGTAACCCACCTGATTGAACCGATCGAAATTCTCACCGAGCTTTTTTCTGTCTAAGCACAAAAAGTGTGAACGCAGTCGAGTATTCGACTATTTTTATTAACTCTTGAATTCCTCGGATGCAATACCGTAAAAGAATTGGGTTTCGAAGAATTCTGAGGTTTACCGGCGTAGAAATCACCATATTCCTACATGCTTGAAAAACTCCTCAAACTACGGTACCCCTTTAAATTACCAATTAAAATTCTAAAATCGAGTAGACGTTTCGTAAAAAAAACTTAAGCACCACCAGTCGAAGAAAATTCCACAAAAAGAAGATAGATTGATTATTTACTTTTTTTCATGGCGCCAAGCTTACTTTTTGTGTTAAATTAATTATACGGCTAGCGACTGCGTAAAATCGGTTAGAACGGTTTTGGAGGAAAAGTGCAAGCAGGTAGATAAACGCCGTTGCCGTCAAGTATTGAATTTGCGTTCAGTGTCAAGTCAAGCGAATTTATAGCATCCTTTCAGATATTGTTCCGGTTGCCGTAGCCGGAGAATGTTTGGTATTCATCTTGCAGCTATATAAGTATACTGTACTTCCATCAGAATAGTAGATAATGAGTTTTACGTAAGGACTGCAGAGTTATAAGGATGTTGCGAATTTGATGCACGTACACTATGTAGGCCTTAATATCCCACTGCTGCGGTAAATTAACCCATTATGTCTATTATTATAAATAGTTTATAGTTAAATTAATATCTAAGGTTTGTGGTTCTGACCAGAATTACAATCATTAGCGCACTGTTATTCTTTAAATTGGCGTGCTACCGCTATAAGTATCACGGTGTATTCTACACGTAGCGGGGGCATCGTTTCAAACGGCGGTATAAAAATTACGACTTTTTTCTTTTTATCTTAAACGTATTACAGGGTATCGTGTATACTTTAGTACTGAAAATTTATAGGCAATACTTAGAAGTTAAACACGAAACTTCCAATGTAGTGGATGTTATAGGATGTATATTCAGTGGTTCGCATTCACGTAAATCAAATTTAACCCCACTTTTAAAATACTTTGCAAAAATGCTGTCTTTCGTAAAATAAAAAAAAAATGTACAATAAACACAATTCAGGTATATGAATCTAGTAGGTCTTGAAAGTGAATCCTGCTGAAACCTGTCGACTGTGCGTATTAAAATGGAAAAGATTGATTAACTGGGCGGAGAAAGTGGTAATAATTATGTCCAGCATCCCGGTATCCCGGGTATCTAAACCGGTATTGCAGGTATTCGCCGGATGTCGTTGGAATCTCCACAAGGACGGAAATAAGCGAGCAGGATCCGGGGTATTTTACAATTTTACCTACTATCCATTATCTCTTAGCAATAACTATGGTAACTCGCCAGGCTTCGTCGCACTGCCGGTCGGTGACTTTGCGTTCATCGGACCATAACAATCCATCCATACTATGACCTGTTCTTATGCGAAAGATGGCCGCGTAGGCCATCTTATTACCCTCATTAAGGTCGCGCGGCCTAGAGATCTGGGCCCATTCCCACTGAACGATCCCAAGTCGGTGAAGCGTTGCCCAAATTCCCAATTAGTTCAAGACCAAGATGAAATACTTGACCAGTGAGGCGAAAGAAAACATTGTTTTTGTTCCAGGGAGAGCCTCGCAGGCTGTGTGCTACTTCCCGCAACAGTTCCAAGGGGAATTCGTCATGCAAACGACGACGAATCTGGGCACAGGCGTGCAATACACCACTGTCAATGTCACCTCCACGTCCATTCCCATTTGGGGCACCTGCCATCGGCGCAAAGGCAACAACAATTTCATACTCATGCTCAAGTATGTTAAGTACCACAGTTCTACTGGTATTCCGTTTACCCAACTTTACTTTGGTTGTTAAAAACTTGACCAAACGATTCGCTGTTCTTATTAGTGCATAATAACCGGCTAAAAAAGCGGTCAAATTATTTGGACATGCTCTATGTAACACGCTGACATTGAAAATTGATATTTACCAAGTGGAAACGCAGCCAAAAAACTTTGATTGCCGACGTAAAAACGTTATATCCGAAAGCCATTCGATGACAAATTCGCTTGCACTACGAAGAAATCGGATTTATTACACTCTAATTATGCCCCATTATGTGGGGGCTTAAGCCCGTCTAATGATTGCTACATCCGCGTTATGTAAACAAGTTGTCTCCAAACTTCATTAATTCACTTATTAATTTTCATAGTATTAAAAGTATCCGCTTCACTTTTTTCTATAATGAACCAGATAATGGACGGAAATGTATTTTTGCTTAAATAACTTTTGCAAACTGAGGTGATTAAACCTTTAATTGCTCCGCGGAAGATGAAGGTCAAAAACCATCTTAACCCGTATGGGCATGATAAGTTTAATGGCCATGCCCAATCGAGAGGAGGGAGTCCAATCCAGGGTGTTACCGCCCAACCCAAAAAACTAAAAACAAAACCACGACCATTCTAATATGCATTTCGTTAAGTTGGCAATGAATATTCAACCTTTTTTTTCGAAATTGATATTAAAAACGCGCACATTGTATTGGAGTCACAGTCTAGAACGGGAAACCGGGAAATTCTTTAAGGTTGTGTGCCCTAATGTGACTTGAACAAGACTGCAAACTGTCAACGGTGCTTTGGGGACAATTATAACTAGACAGACACTTTGGAGGTCCCAGGTCCCAGATCTAGGAGTGTATTTTCCGGGGAACCAAATGTGCCCACGGTGCGTTTTTTTCCGCGTGATAAAGACTGAAAGAACGAACCGATACAAGGTAGATTTTTACAGTTCGTTGTTTTAACCGGTCTTTACAAATCCGAACCAACAACGACACGTCTTCTACTTCCTGCCTATTTATTAAAACCGCGACTAACAATGTACTTTGTTTAGTGTAAATTAGTCTTCGTAATTTGGAAAAACTCACGAATACCAGTGGAACTGCTACCAAAATTGTTCCCATGAACTCATCTAATTAACGCGTTCACAGCTACAGGGAAACAAGTTGTATTCGTTGTTTACACCTGAAATTAAGATCCGCCAACGTTTTACAAGTGTTTATACTAAATCAGGAAATCATTTCGAAATGCTACACGAATGAAAAGTTAGCGGAAGAGAATTGTCCTTCCGAGGAATCTTTAGCGAATCGTGAAGCAGCGGAAATATTGCTATTCAGTGAGTTGCCTTTAGATGACTATCACATTTATATTACAAGGGCGTTATTCTAGAAAGGAATGGCTATTACACACGGAAAGAATATTGTCCGATTGATGGTAAATACTCCATCACGTACAAAAACAATAATCCCGAGCAATCCAACGAGTGTACCGGGAATGACTCGAGCATGGATTCGTGTCCCTCGGGGTCTATACTGAATTTTCGCCTGAGAGGTTGCACGGCCACCCCCAATACCTTCGACTTACGATTCGAGTGCATGGCAAGTTGGAAGGGTCCGAATAACGAGAACTATCTCATTTTTTCCGATAATAACAGACAGCTCAATGGGCAAAAGCCGAAATATCGATGCGCTGTAAGTACCGACATTGTATACCCTTTTGTTCGTTATGGTACAGTCTTCAATCAAAACTCTTGATACAATTTTGTATGTTGTGAAGTGTATAATCATAACGGACAAGACGGTTTCGGTTCCGCGAGTTTGTCCAAACCGTTAACGAAAAATTTCAGCTGTACCACCACGAGTACCGCACCGACGAGATCCAAATGGCGCTAAGCCGCGATTCCACTTGTACCACGGACTTGATTAATTCCACCCACGGTTTCGAAACATTTCTACTGACACCTCGGGCGGAGAATCTTTGGCCGGCGGAAGCGTCCTTCGGAACGTGTAGTTTCCCAAAATGGATGCACGGAACATGGGAACACGTTCGAGTCGACGATGATACCATGATCTACAAGGACCACTCCTCATTTAAAACTTATACCATCAAGTGCGTTGGCGTTCAGGAAGATGAGAATAAATACTTGGTCTTCAGTAGGACGCAATGGTATGGTGTTTACGGTACGATTCGATCTTTTGACTAACCGATATTCCAGCGACGAAGAGCGGTACAACTGCATGCGTATTGTGGAGAGGAGCGACAATATACTAGAATTTCAATTAGGTTCGAATGCTAGTACTACCAAAGACGTGTTCGTATTGTGTTCAGACGATAATTTCCAAGATGATTCGTGGATTACTCAAGGGCGTAGGTGACGGTCCGGTGCGTGGAATGTATCTGATTTTGATGTTTCAGGAACTGACGCGTTGGATACGGTGCCCACGGGGAGATGTCCAATTTCAGGAGAATACGTCGGCGTGATTCCGGACGGGGAAGACTTATGTGCCAAATTGTGGTCGGACTGCGATACTTCCGAACTGATGTACTATCAAGTGTCTCATTGCAAGACGAACGAAATATACGAGGAGCGAGAGTATAAGTGTTTAGGGCACTGGCGGGAGTCGGACTTTTTATATACCTACACACAAAGGCGTGATGTGGCTGCTGGGACGTACGAGTGCTTCGTCGGTGTGAAAATGTCAAATAGAGAAATTTATATAAAGGAAGCGGGAGAACATTGCCAAAGACATATAGATCCTCTGCATTACGGAATGCAGTTGAATAAAACTAGTTTATATACATGTAATTATAGCGACTGTGCGTTATCTCTTTCTAACGTTTTAATTGTAGGTAATTATACGACGCCGCGGAATCCTCCAGGTCTTAGAACTTCTACCAAGATCCCAAGACCAACCAGCGCGTTACCGACTGTCAAATCCACGACGAAAGTGTGGAATTTTGGTAATTTCCTTAATTATTATCCGTAAAATTACTAAATGGGTGGGGCTAAGTGACAAAAAAAGACAATTGTTGGCACGCAATTACTATTGTGATTTTGTTTCAGATACGGCAGGGGCAGAGACAAAGAATAATGACAATGCAAGTTCAGCTACGATTGTTAAATCGACGTACTTACTGTGTATAATTGTATATATACTTAGATATTTGTGAGAAAACGAAACCGAGAGACTTAACGTGTATTTATTAGATTCGTAAACTAGATACATACAAGTTTTTTCTTGCCAAAATACTTAAGAACTGTTGAATCGACAACCACTTTTTATACATAATTTATTTTATGACTTTACTTGCTCTGGGAGCATCTGCGCCTTTATTAGTGATCATTATACACTATTGTGATGTAAATTATTTATATGTATTTAAATAAAATAAGTACTTATTTCTCGTTTGTTTGCTTTTCACTTCAACTAATTAAACCTACTCTTTGCACTCTTGGTGAGTAAACAAAATACAGAAAATAGGTTGACATAATTGTCGACGATTCAGTGTAACTAAATTTGCCGCTCGCGTTAAATAATTCATGATTATATTTTGGTCGTATTGATGATTTCATCGTTTCGATTTATCTTCAGTAAAAAAATAAATGATAAAAATAAAACTGCTTACGGAAAGTTGTAGATAAAAAACACCTGTAACACCTACTCAGAAATGATAACACGACTAAAATTTATCTTCTATCTTTATCAGGATTTTTTTCAGTCACATGTTTTAAGTAAACTTTTCAATTTAACTCAAGGATGTTAGTACCACAAGGACCCAACATTTTTTTCTACGTAAAATACAGAAATTCAACCACAGCACTTTTTAAACGTGGTAACGAAATCGTTTTACCATATAATAATAAATTTACGTAAGAGATAATCATACAAGGCTTTTCTAGTCATAATGTGAGAAAACCTTCAGAATGTGGCTCGTTTTCTCCGAAACAAACATAAAATAAAGCATTTTCGACCTTTTTCATAAATAATCGTGACATTTTTAAACACTAACAAAATCTCCATCCAAAGTCATTAAACACTTAACTTTTCTGTAAGATTGTTACTCAAACATATTTGCTTAAAATGATTAAGAAGAGCAAACATAATTTAAAACATCCGGTTTGGCGCGGCATTCTTCACATAAAATACGTAGTCAGCGGTAGCTACGAAAAGCTCCGTGAGGCGGCAGCACTAATCGGCCAATTTTGTTTTGACAACAAAAATTGCGATGCGATGAGTAAATAAAAGAAGTGGGGTTATGTATTACGTGACATTGGAATTAGTAATAGTGATTAAACCACAACTTGTGATGATATGAGAAAAAGTCGTCTGTTTTAAAGTCGTAAACATGTCTCAGTTTCCACAATTAAAAAATGACCGAATTCTAAAAGTGGCGAGGGGCGAAGTCCCAGATAAGCTCCCGGTATGGATTATGAGACAAGCCGGGCGTTATTTACCAGGTTTAATTTAAAATGTTGCGTTACCACAATTAATGATTTTTATTTTAGAATTTATGAGTCTTCGCCAGAACCATTCATTTTTTGAAATGTGCCAAAACCCAGAACTTGCATGTGAAGTAACTTTAATGCCCATCAAGCGCTACAATTTAGATGCAGCGATTATCTTTAGCGACATATTAGTTATACCACAAGCTTTGGGAATGGTCGTTGAAATGAAACCAGGAGTTGTATGTATTTTACATTGAAACTATTTGGAATTAATTTTGTGATATGCAGGGACCGGTCTTGCCAGAACCTCTAACTTTTGAAAATATCTCAAAATTGGAACCAAAGGGTGTTATTGAAAGATTAAAATATGTAGGAGAGGCAATTACCTTAACACGCCATAAACTAGAAGGAAAAGTTCCATTGTTTGGTTTTACAGGCGCTCCAGTATGTCTTTCAGATAATTATGTAATCATATACTAATGTTTTTCTTCAGTGGACACTCCTGGGTTACATGGTTGAAGGAGGGGGCTCTAGAACTTTGAGTAAAGCAAAAAAGTGGCTTTATGCTTACCCAGAGGTCTGCCATAGATTAATGTATCTGCTAACACGAATAATAGTTGATTACCTTGTTATGCAAGTAGAAGCAGGGGCCCAAATTTTGCAAGTTTTTGACAGCAGTGCAGAGGTTCTTAATAAAGAACTTTACACCAAGTTCTGTCTACCATATATCAAAGACATTAGAGATTGTGTGCTTGTAAAACTTGAACAGAAGAATTTGGAAAAAGTGCCTATGGTAGAATTCATTTACATATAAATGAACATTTGTATAAATTCTTTTGTAGGTTTTGTTTGCAAAAGGTGCCCATTATTGTCTTCCAGAGCAAGCTGATCTGGGTTATGAAGTTCTTGGAATTGATTGGACAGTGGACCCCAAAGTTGTTAGAGAATTACTAAAAGGTAAAAACGTCACAGTTCAGGGGAATCTGGATCCCTGCGCTCTCTATGCTTCTGAAGATAATCTGATAAAATTCACTAAAAAAATGATTGATGACTTTGGGACCCAAAGATATATTGTTAATTTGGGACATGGGATATACCCAGATGTCTGTCCTGACAAGGTTTACTCTTTCATAGAAACTGTGCACAATGTTAAAATTTGACTTTATATTAAAGGGAATCAGTTTTTGTAGAAAGAATTTTATTGACATTACACACTAGGGTGAAAAGTGATGTTTAAATTGTGATAATTTGCCATGGGTTATGATAACATCTGCTAGAACAAATTGGCTATTTTTTTCGTCTGGGATCTCACAGATTACAGTTGAATTTTTATAAAGCCACCTAAAAGGGAAGAAATTAAGGGCACAGGAATAATTAATATGACACTAACCTTATGGCCTCGCTCCCTATTGGTACTCTGATTTTTAACTTCTTTCTGTTGGTATTACTCAAAATACATTCTTCTAATTTGAGTCTCAAAACGTCGAGTCCTACAATCACGTATTTGTTGTTTGAAAGATCACCCCAAAACTTACCAATATCGTTCTTAGATGATACTTTTAACATTCCCACATTTACTTCCCTTGGTACTAAGTCACACTTATTGCCTACACTTACAATCTTATTCAAAACATGAGAAGTTTGTGCTTTAGCTGCTAAGTCTCGTAACGTATCCAAAACATGTTTTCTTTTAAATTCAAAACATGTACTTGCAATATCTTCAACATGTAATATTACATCCTACAATGTATCTTTTTATAACACAGACAAAAAAAGAAAATTCGTCTTACAGCTAAAACCGCATCTTCTAAAGTTGCTACAAAACACTCAATTAAATTTGTAGGAATATCTGAAATAAACCCCACGGTATCCACATATAGAACTTTCAGTCCTGATGGTAACATCCCCTCGTGCATTGTAACATCCAAAGTAGCAAAGAGCTGATTCCTAGGCTTAAGCTTCTCCTCTCCTGTTAAGGCTTTAATGACAGAAGTTTTCCCCGCATTTGTATATCCAACAACAGCAACCACTGGATAATCAATTTTTTGTCTCTTATTTCTCAGTAACGCTCTTTCAGCTCTTAATTCTTTAATTGCATTTTTTAATTTCTGTTCCCGATTTTGAAACATCAATTTGACTTTTTCACGCTCTGGCTTGCCAAAATTCTCTTCCCGAAACGTCGTCCTCTGCACATAATATAATTCAGCTAAAGCTACTTGTAACTTGGCATGTTTAGAAACCGCATGTAATTTTAAAATTTGCATAACGATTTTGTAACGATCGAGAATCGGAACACCGAATTCTTTTTCTAAATTTAACAATTGAGATTTTTTTAATGTCCCTACGTTGATGAATATGGCGTTAACACCAGCGTTTCCACGTATAAGTTGGCGTAGTTTTTCTAAACTACCGGAACCGAAGAGGGCTTTCTTGTCAAGGGATTCTAAAGGGACTGTTATGGTGTCTTCTACATCCCAAGAGGGGAGAGTGTTGACTAGGGCTTTAGCTTCGTCTAGTTGTTCCTCTGGGGTAATCCCTTCCTTTTTCTGGGGGCCCCATTTCACGTACGGTTGGATAATGTAGCAAGTCTTGGAAGGGTCTAACTTAAGGTATTTTTCTGTGAATGATAAATACTCGCTGAAATGTCAAAGTGGTGGCAGTTCGTTTTTTGTTTGTAATTCAAAGCATACTGATGTATTTTTTTTTATTTACCTGTCGTCGTTCAAAATTTCATCGTACAAACGTTCGTCGTTTCGTTTTTGCGAAAAGAATCCCTTGTGGAGGGTTAATTTGGGTTTGATTTGCGTCACGAGAGGGAGTCGCCTCAGAATGTTCATTTTTGAAATTGGCGCCTCCGCGGGTAATTATCATCCAAATGGTATCCAGTGGAGCGGTGACGCTTTGCTCGTAAAAGGGTAATAAAGAAGTTGAATCACTCCTTAAAACAAAAAGTCTGTCTTCTAAGTAACCCTTGTCCTTCTAACAACGCATTTCTCTTTATAAATAACAAGAATAATGACTTAGAATTAGTAATAGTCGAAAAACATAGTAGGCTGTAACATTCCAATAACAAACTGAGTGCGCATGAGCATGACATCCCCGCGCGCGAAAATTTAAAATTCAAACTTACCGAGCGCAGCGCGGATGATTTATTTCGATTGGCAAAAAGATGAAACGATGTATGGGATGGACGTTCCGGATGTGAATTATCGTCTCCTACGCTAAGGAAGTTCTTGGTGCTCGGAAACGATAAAAATATGATTGTGGTACATTTTGTAGCGCGCGTCAACGATAGCGTGAAAAGATGTTGTCCGGGTCTTGCAAGCATTGTAACAAATTAGTAATTCTGGGGTGATAACAGTGTCGAAGATCAATCACTGGAGTCAGTGTCCTCAAAAATTGGTTTACTGGCCGAAATTGTTGTGATAAGGGTTCGAAAGCGTCTTTTGCGCGCCGCGTCCCATTCATCTGCTCACAAGTGTACAACACATGTTTTCTTTAACTCAGATTACCACGAGTAAGCTGAGCTTGAGCGCATTTCGCTTCGGTTTTAATTTGTAGCAGGAATCTCGTTGTGTAGGGAGGTAGGAGGAGGACGCCCCAGGCGAAAGAGAAGACAGACGGCCAACTTCCCGACTGGTAAGTCCATAAGACCTTGTGCATGTTTAAAAAGTGTTCATCCGACTCCGATGCCATAAATCCTGGCCAGGAAAGAGACAGTGCGGCCGTCGCCCTCGGAGGCGGATAAGCAGTGATATGTTTTGTAAATTTGCATTTTCAATAGTCGTGTGGTGTGATTGGTTTAAGTTTATTTCAGTCCATGTGCACGTGTTTTCAGGTAAACACGGAGGTAAACAACCTCCGGACCATGCTGTATTTTCACGACCACTTTATAATTATTCTAATAGGTCTGCATCTAAACATTGCTTCAGACCAGTGATGTCATTCATCACATTTATTGCTAATGAATGAACTCATCTTCAACCATTTCAGACTTTTTTTCGCGGCACAATATTCGCTATTGCCTTCTATGTTCATTCGTTCCAAATTAAAAAACAGAACAACTGTTTATAGTTTCCATTTTAGAACGGACGCTGAAACTGAAACTATTTTAGAATCTAAAGTTGCTGTGTTTTAGCATTAAGCCATACATTTTATTGTTTTCTTTAGGGTGACCCGTTCGTCTGTCTGTAGCCATGTCGCGGCCCAGAGTGGCAATGTGGACTCCTCTCGCCCTGATTTTTCTCCAAATAGTACAAAATAGTACGTATTTTGAATCACCGTGTATGTCATATTACAACGACTATTACAGATTTCCACGTATTTGGGCAATATCCGGGCGCAAGGATACGAGGAAATCCAACCGGAGGTATTTTCCCTTTTTTTTTTCTTGTTATAATATATGTGTTGTATAATATTTTCCGTGACGCCACTTTTTATAAATTTCGATCTATTTTTAGTTCGTAAAATTTACAGCTTTATTACACGATAACTTTTTCTATTGGCTTTACTATGTCTAACTGAAATAGAACACCAATGTTGCTGAATCGTTATCTAACACTGATAAAAATATGTTGAAAACGGTGAATACTTGAATCTAATTTTCCGCTCTTCTGTTTGTTGTCTTAGATAACTTTATATTTAAGTTGCTGATTAAAGTTTAATGAACAAGTTATACAGCACCGGTCGGAAGTCGCTGCCTTGTTTGTGTTTGTCGCCTGTTTTATTGACAGATGTGATGCACACTCTCACCTTATTGGCCCCTTGGAAATAAAAAAATCCACATTATAGTTTTTAAATTTAACATGTCAATAATTTTGTAATCAAAAATTCACCAACGGTTTTCTTGTTTTAACAAAAAAAGTGTCTAGCAGTACTATGAAATTAAAATGGAACGCCATTCCCGAACCAAATTTGTAAAAATAAAATCGCAATATTTTCAACTATATCGTTTTATGAACCCAGGACTGAATATGGCCAGACATAACAACTGAAACTCAATCAGCGAAATTAAAAAAAGAACGCACCAAAAGTCCGGAACAAATTGCCCCTTTCACGTATGCGTTCATTGCAGCTGGAGATTATTAATAGAGTAATAGCAAGCCATAAACCTCCCTCATAACATGTACCTGAAAATACACTCGAAATGACTTAAGTACCTTAAAATAGTGAAAATCTACTGGCCTTGATTCAGTCCACCTTGCCTGCAGTGTAATAACCGAATGACCTTTTCTTAAACATATAGCCTTTTGTTCAATTAGCGTCAATAAAAAGGGGTGACCAACCGCCACCTCCTGATATTGATAGTGAATACCCAGAGGGCGACCTCCTTCATCCCTTGACCGACGTCTTCAGTTATCGTCGACCATACGGGTTCGGTCATAGTCATGGTGGGTGAAACTCATATAAAAAAATGAGGTGTGGGCTTTTTATCTGCTACAATCACTAATAGTTGAAGCTCATAATGGTGTGACGATTGTGGTGTCGGTTTATCAATAACCAAACTAACTAGTCTTTCTTCACCCTCGTTTCTGCAGTTTCTTCACTGACTTCGTTTTAGGTTACGTGCCAGTAAAATTGCACCCATGTGAGCAAAGTTCGTGTTATCCAGCAACAGGAAACCTGTTAATAGGTAGAGAACCCCAGTTGTATGCTTCGTCGACTTGTGGTCTCCACGGACAGCAGAGATACTGTATAGTGTCGCATTTGGAAGAAAGGAAGAAGTGTTTCAGATGTGATTCGAGACCCACGAACAAACCAAATCCCTTATTTAACCATAATATTAGTAACATCGTTTACCGCATGTACCCAGGGTAAGTTTTTCAAAGATGCGAAAATGGCGCAGTCAGTGGGATTTTTACAGAACTCGACAAAAATCATGGTGGCAGTCGGAAAACGGCAAAGAAAACGTGTACATCCAACTGGACTTGGAAGCCGAGTTTCATTTCACTCATCTGATTATCACGTTCAAGACATTCAGGCCTGCCGCTATGTTAATCGAACGATCTTACGATTTTAAGCAAACTTGGCACGTTTATAGATATTTTGCGTATAACTGTGCTGAGAGTTTTCCTCATGTAAGAGAACGTTACCCTCATAATTTAACAGACGTCGTTTGCGAATCTCGCTACTCCGGACTTGATCCGTCAACTGACGGAGAAATCATCTACAGAGTGTTACCGCCGACGCTCCATATCGACAACCCGTACTCAGAACAAGTCCAAAATTTGCTCAAAATGACCAACTTGAGGATAAATTTCACGAAATTACACACTCTCGGTGATGACCTTCTCGACAAGCGGGAGGACATTCAAGAGAAGTATTATTATGCCATCACTGACATGGTAGTCCGAGGATCGTGTTCATGCTACGGTCACGCCAATAGGTGTCTGCCACTACCAGGAATCGAACCTAAACCAGACATGGTCCACGGGCGGTGCGAATGCACCCACAACACCAAAGGCCGGAACTGCGAAAAGTGCGAAGACTTTTTCAACGACTTACCTTGGAGACCAGCCATAGGAAAACAAACCAATGCTTGTAAAAGTGTGTAAGTAATCCCGCCCCCAACTCAGTTTTACTGTGTTTTTGTAGAGTGCAACTGCAATAACCACGCAACTAGTTGTCACTTCGACGCAGCTCTTTATGAGATAACCGGACGCATCAGTGGCGGGGTTTGCGATGGCTGCCAACACAACACCATGGGTCCCAACTGCGAACAGTGCAAACCCTTTTTCTACAAAGATCCAGATCGGGATATCCAAGATCCAGAAGTGTGTCGACGTATGTAAAAGTACTACTGTGTTTCGAAAATTGTATTCTTTTTGTAGCTTGTGACTGCGATCCTGACGGTTCTTTGGACAACGGGATTTGTGACTCAAACACTAATGCAGAAAACGGGCTGGTTGCGGGTAGTTGCTACTGTAAAGCTAACGTGGAAGGACGCAGATGCGATATTTGCAAAAACGGGTACTGGAATTTCACGGAGAGCAACCCAGAGGGTTGCCAGGAGTGCACTTGTAACATTTTTGGAACAGTCGACAATCAAGGTTGTAATGTATACAACGGAGAATGCACGTGTAAGCGGTACGTCACCGGACGTGACTGCAATCAGTGTCTTCCTGAGTACTGGGGACTTTCTGAAAAACGCGACGGTTGCCAACCTTGTGATTGCGATCCTGGCGGTTCCTACGACAATAACTGTGATGTTATTAGTGGCCAGTGCCCCTGTAGAGAACAGATGATTGGAAGAACTTGCAGTATCCCAAAACAAACACATTACACTGCAAGCTTAGACTTCTTGTTGTACGAAGCGGAATCTGCAAGGTCTTCACCCGTGAGTACCTATCGTCGTTTGGTAAACATCTTCCTGTAACCGCTTTCTAGAATTGCCAAGTCGTCATCCGAGAACCCCCAAGAGATGGTTCCGAAGTTACCTGGACCGGAATCGGTTTTATGAAAGCCTTTGAACGGTCCTTCATCGAATTTACCGTTGATAATATACAAACTGGAATGGATTACGAGATTGTTGTCAGATATGAACCCACGTTGCCGAGTAACTGGGAAGAAGTGGAAGTAACGTTGGAACGTCCTGGTCCTGTCGATCCGAATGGTCCGTGTCGTGATGCAAGAGACGACGTGCGAAGAGTAGCTTTACCTTCTAATAGCCGAAGTGTGACGGTGTATCCACCGATTTGTTTAGAAGCCGGAAGAACTTACAAGATCCGTTTGACGTTTAGGCGGTCGAATTACGAACGAGATACGCCGTCGGCCTCAGTCCTGATTGATTCGGTAATTTTTTCAATCGTGATGTTGTTTGTGCTGCGCCAGCTGAATTTTACGCTAACTCAGCATTAATGCGATATTCACACCACAATTTTATTTTGTTTTGTATACAATACGAATACGGAAGGAGAATAACCTCTGCATAAGCATAAAACAAAGCGGAAGTCTTGAACCGTTTAACGAGATTCATCTTACACTGACTCAGCATGTATTAATTTGTAATTTGTGGCATTTCCGCAGGTCGTGCTGCTGCCAAGAATTGAAAAAATTCCGTGGTTCTATGGCTCCGTTCCCGCTGAAGCCCGACGCGTTGACTTCGAACGCAATCATTGCGGGTCGTACTCACCTTATCTAATCCACACTGGTCAAATTCCGGAAGTTTGTAAAAAATATTACAGCAGTATTGGAGCGTACATCTTCAACGGAGCTTTCTGTATGTTCCTTCTAACCTACAAACCCTTTTATTTCTAATTGTTGTTATAGCTTGTCAGTGCGACGTTACGGGTTCCGTGAGTAAAATCTGTGACGAATATGGGGGTCACTGCAAATGCAAGATCAACGTCGTGGGTCGCCGTTGCGACCAGTGTGCCCCGGGTACCTACGGTTTCGGGCCCGAAGGTTGCAAAGCTTGTGATTGTAACAGTATTGGGGCTCTTGACAACTTCTGCAACGCAACCACAGGCCATTGTAAATGTCGCGCGAACACCTACGGCCGTGAATGTGACCAGTGTAGAACGGGCTTCTGGAATTTCCCTAACTGTCAACGTTGTGACTGCAACGGCCATGCCGACATTTGCGATTCTAAGACCGGCGCTTGTCTCAACTGCAAAGACAATACTGAAGCACATAATTGCGACCAGTGTATCGAAGGGTACTACGGAGATCCGCGCTTAAACGTGGATATTCCATGCCGACCTTGTCCCTGTCCGGGTATTCCAGGGTCCAATCACTCCTACGCCGAACGGTGTAGCTTAGAGGTGCACACCAAAGATGTCATCTGCGAGTGCAAGGAAGGATACGCAGGCTCGCGATGTGATGTCTGCGCGGATAACTATTTCGGAAATCCAGAAGAACCAGGCGGCTCGTGTCAGCCGTGTGAGTGTAATGACAAGATTGATGTATTGAAACCTGGAAATTGCGATCCTCACACAGGAAAGTGTAAGCAATGTTTGTATGACACCACGGGCGATCATTGCGAGATGTGCAGACCCGGGTACTTCCGATACCGAGAGGACCAAATGTGCGAAGGTCAGTCATTCAAGAATCCATTGTGATGATGGTTATTTTTTGTTTTTTGTAGAGTGCGTTTGCAATCCGTTGGGTACTAATAGCTCGGCTGGCCCTTGCGATCCATCTTCAGGTCAATGCGTTTGTCTTCCTAACGTCACGGGTCTAGAATGCGACGGTTGTATTCCAAATCACTGGAAGATAGCTAGCGGTGTAGGCTGTGAAGCTTGTGATTGTGATCCGCAAGGGTCATTCCGTTCACAGTGTAATTTGGTACACAAATATAGCACTTGGTTTACCACGATACTCAAATGAATGTTTTAGTTCGATGGACAATGCGATTGTAAACCTGGATTCGGCGGAAGACAATGTAACGAATGCATGGCTCGGTTCTTTGGAGATCCTAAAGTGGAATGCCGGGGTAATTACAAGTCGTGTGAAGTCACACACATTGTTGTTTTATCTTTACAGAGTGTAAGTGTGACGCAAGAGGCTCCCGATCTTTGCAGTGTGACATGAAGACGGGGGCTTGCAGATGTCTACCGGGAATAGGAGGGTACAACTGTGATAGATGCGACAGGGGTTACTTAGGGCAGGCACCCGAGTGCACACCTTGTGGAGAGTGTTTCGACAACTGGGACCGCATTTTACAGGAAACACGGAGTAAGTTCTCGGAGATTCAGACATTTTGACTATATATTTTTTCCAGATCAAACTTTAGACATGATCACCCGGGCTGGTGACATCAAAAAAGTCGGTGCGACTGGGGCCTATACAAAAGAATTTGATGATATGCAATTCCAGCTTGACGAAATCAAACAACTATTGAGTAACACTCACGAAATTAATGTAGATGCGATTGACCAAGAGCTCGAGAATTTACGCGCGGAAGTGAACAAAACTGATCATGAAGGTGTCAAGAAGTTAGATCAGTCTATAGCCAACACCAAAGAGAATATGTTGTTAACAGAACTCAAGCTCAAGAACCTGAAACAAAGAATCGAAGACCTAAAAAACAAAACAAAGGAGCTGGAAGTGAACGGTACACAACTTCAAGAAGCTAACGTTCAGGGGGCTTTAACGCTAATACAAGATGCGAAGGTTAAGGCCGACTTGGCAGCTCATAAGGCGGAACGAACGGAGGTATGAATACTAGAAACGATTTTTAATAAGTTATACACTGTTTGCGGCGATTTCAGGAGACGATCAGTGATGCTGAACGTCAGATTAAAGCCACGGAAAATGCAATCAATGAAACGTTAAATAACTTTAAAGAGCAACGACAAAACAATGAGAAAAAGTTGGACGAGTTAAATGAGAAGTTGGATAGTCTTAAAAAAGACTTGCCGGATTTGAATGGGTTAATTTGTGACGGTAGAGGTGACCCGTGCGATTCGATCTGCGGGGGTGCTGGTTGTGGTACCTGTGGTGATTCGATTTCTTGCGAAAACGGAGCCAAACAACAAGCCAAAACTGCGCTGACTTTGGCAAATCGTACAGAAGCTGCTTTGAGAGAGAAGGAGGCAATGGCTAACGACTTTATCCGAAACGTAATTAATTTAAGATTATTGTAACGTCTAAAATAACTGTGTGTTTTAGGTGTCACAAATTAATTCTACAGAAACTAGAAACATAGCCCAGGATGCTTTCAGTAAAGCGCAATCTAACTTAATCCGGTCGAACAATACGTTGAATAGCGCCCGTAATTTGGAAAAAGAAATTCGGGAGTTCATGGCACAGAATAACACAAAACCTGAAGATATAAAGAACTTGACGAAACAGATTCTTGCGATGAAGATTGATCTAGAGCCTGAGAAGATTACAGAAATGGCGAATAAAATAAAAGAAGCTGTGCATCATTTAACAAACATAGACCCAATTATTGAAGAAACAAAGGATGACTTAGCTCTAGTTAACGAACTAAGAGAGAACGCCGAAAATGCAAAGTAAGTTTAAATAAAAGATTCGTTGAGAAAACTAATGACTGTTTGCAGGTTAAACGCCACCAGAATTTTAACGGGTGCTGAAGATGTGAATACGGCTCTTGAAAGTACGAATGTTGCGCAAGAGAACGCGCAAACGGCCATTAATAAAGCTTTAGAAGATATTGGAATTGTTAAAAAGCGCTTAGAAGAGGTATAGTGTGTTCATTGAAACGTTTTTTAGAAATTTATGTGCAATTGTTTTTTGTAGATTGACGGACAAACTCAATCTGCACAAGAAAAAACTAGTACCACCTCAAATGATATACAGCAGTTGGGAGACCAACTTAATCAGCTCCAAAGAAATATAACGAACAATGGGCTGTATGCTAATCGTGTTGTTAATGAATCCTCCGACATTTTAGAAAAAGCTAAAGGTACATACGACAACTTTAACGGCCTACAAGCACAATATACTAAAGCACAAGTAAATTTGTCCTCGAGTTTAAACAAAGTACAGTTGTCCAAAGACAAAGCTACCGATTTATTTAAGAGAGCTTGGGATTTAGTTGCCAAAGTGACAAGCACTGAAGAAGAAATCAATAAGTTAGAAAACAGTTCCCAAAATGATATTTTAGAGAGTTTAGAGAACAAACTGCAAGAGCTGATAAGGCTAATGAATGGCTACAATGCAAAGATTGGAGAACGAGTCCAGTACTATAAACAGTGTAATTAATGTCATGTAAATATGTAGCTTTCACTGCCTTCTTTGACGTACGTAGGATTAGGATTACTTTTTTGTTGTAACCAGTAGTGCCAATGAGCTTGTACATACACGTTTAGCGTTTTATACTTGAAACTTTTTATGTATAATCTGCTAATAATTTTAATAAAATTTCATCTTATTTACTCTGTTTTGTAATAAGTCGTACGTTGTTATAACCTATGCCACTAAAATTTTTACATTGTGATTGTGACTCATAATTTAGTTACACATCTGTCTTTTAAGTGAGGTTAAATTTGAATCTCAGACAATAAAACGCACGCAGCATCGAACTGCCTTTAGATGACGTTGGTTCAAAGTTCTTTATGTGCATAGACACACTTTGGAAGGGGGTTTAAAGGTTAAGAGGTTTAACCACGTTAAGGAGCATCAGCGCACGTTTACAAAATGTCTGTTACGGAGTAACAGATCAATTTGAAGCGTGGATCAAACTGACGCAAAGGAAAGAACTGACAAAGGTTTGACTGTTTATTAGTTATTAAAAAAACACTTATTACATACATTTAAATTATTTAATATCATTAGTAGAGATTGCTAATATATTTACAATCGACTAGAACATGTTGCTCTCTCAATAATTTAACTATTTACAAATCCTTTACAGGCAACATTAGAAGACAATTATCAAATGTTCAATGCCATTTAAGACAGAGAGCTGTTTTAAGGCAACCTTAATGTTGATTAGCCGTCAAACCGCCGATAATAAATATAACAAATACAGTAAAAAGGACATTAAGTTTGCCTTTGTAACAAGAAAGAAAAGAAAAAAACAAATTAACAAAAATTAAGTAGTACGCACTGGGCGAAATTAGACAGCCATAATTAATATATTTGGTAACACTTATAAATGGTGAAAGTGTATTTGGTTATTCATAACATGCACAAGTTAAATTTCAAAAAAGAACTACACCTATACAGTCAATATTTGGATTGTTCACAGTTACACTTCGGTCGACTTCACCACCACACTGTTCGGTTTTTTGTTAAAGAGGCCTCCTAGGAATGATTGATGATTGTGCAGACCTGCTTTACCTTTGTTAGCTAGTTTATCAGAGCGGGAACAAGTACTAGCTGACGTAGACTGGAATGAAACGGACATACCGCTATCTAGCGAACCCACACTACCTCGGCGCTGCGCCTTTTCTCCTGCAACTACACTGACAAAATTACTAATTGGTTGGCAATCCAACGCAAGCAACTTACATTGTTCGTGGATATCCAACAACGAGTTACTGAGAGCCGAGCGCTTGATCTGGGTGTCATGACAGGCCTCTTCCGCGCACTCCGACCCTCCGAGCGCCTGGTTCTGAGCACACTGACACTGGTAGGAGCACACTTCCACGTCGGCCACCCCGCTGTCGCGATTCTCGGTGCCTGCACACACAATTTCGAAATTTATAGCTGAAAAGGTGCGGCCCCCGATGGGAGCCTTGCGGGACACCCACCTGTCCGTGTTCCTCTGTTCGACTTCTGCCGCTCCAGCTCCGCTTCGATCCGCAAGTTCTCCATCTCGTCCATCTCACTGACGGCCTCTTTCAAGTCTTCCGCGAATTTACACCTATCGTGCTCGTTCCTGGCGTTGAACGTAACCAAGATCTTCCCATCCACCTTCTGACTCAAACGTATGCCATATGGGTAATCTAAACAAAGCGTGCTACTTCACAAAGTCGTGAAAAAAAGTCATAAACTTACGGGGAGCCTCAAATAAATTAACCAACATCCCACACAAAGGGAAACTATTTCTGAACGTGTACGTAACCGAGGATTTCTTCTTACTTAAGATTTTCGTAATGACGAGTAAATCGTTAAAAAGGAACACTTCTCTCTGGTGGACACCAGGTCTTTCTTTTTTGTAAATATCAGGAATCTCGTATAATCGGCAATAACAAACTAGTCGGCGATGCGGCAACGCCATATTCGGTTTTTTACCGACGATGGTCGCTTGGACCTTCATCACTTGTGTGACGTGATCCGATCCGGGCTTGAATTCGTTCGCTTTAACTCGTTCATAAACGCCCGTGAGCATATCACTGTCTATATCACCGCAGTCGTCAATTCCTCGTAAATTTTTGATGAAGTCCTCCAGCTTCATGCGACGTTCAGGCTTGATGTTTGGTGTATGGAGGTCGGTGTTTAACATGATTATCGCAAAGGCGAGAACAAAAATCTGAAACAACAAACAGACGATTACGTGCTGCTCGATGCCAACATACTGTAAGGGCCAAAGTCGCTAGACCCCTTGGAGACTTTGACCTTTACGTCAAAAACAACAAATTTCATTTAAATCAACGACGTTATTGTAAAACAGTCGTTCTCTCGGTATCAGGGAATGGAGAAAGTTTCAAATTCGGTCATGTGATTTTTCAAGCAGAACGCCGTTGACACAAATTATGTTGCTGGTTGAAGATTTAAGTATTTTGTGCATGAATTCTTTGACCAATAGTATGCAAATAATGGCTTTTGCATATCGCATGTGCGAAGATAAAGACAAAGGTGTTGCCGCGCTATAAAAAGCTTTGGTAATTCTGTGGAATTTAACCGTTGCGCTATTTACTTTTTACTTTACTCTCAATATCTTATCAGTGACTCACCGTATCAGGAGATCTTAAACGTGCGACGATATCTACGTTGCATTGGCAGTACCTCTGCGAGAATATTTCCATAAGTCTTTCGATCTTTTGTGCTTCCCCGGGCATCCGGAAATGCTGCTGGAATTTACGAAGTGCCACGTCCACTTGCATACCCGACAAATCTAACTCGTTTGAAAAACATTCCAAAACGGCCATACAAAACGGATTTTGGAGATTTCCTAAATATTCACCTATCATTTGTTTACTCAGTCCTTTTCTCGAAATTAAGAATCTCGCCACACCTTGCGGCGAGTTCTCCAAGAAACCTCTACGTATCAAATACGTAATACCCCTTTCTGGTTTCTTGTTAAATAAGTTAAGTCCCACTCTATATTGTCTCTTTCTTATAGTCTCAGTTATCTTGTAGCTAGTGGGTGCTTGTTGTTCATTAACTCTCTCCAGAGTGTACGTAGACGTACTAGTGTTAGAGATACTCCCTAAGCTTGTTTCCAGAGTCGGTTCAGCGTACTCAGAAATGTGATTTCCTTTACGTTTCCAAACTGGCGATCCCGAGAACTCGCATTGCACTCGTTCGGTCGATATGCTACTGTCACTCCCGGAACTTTGGACACTCGACAGCGAACCATTTTCGTTTGTTTTGGTTAACCCGTTCGTTTTGTGATGTCTGGGATCAATAGACCTCGACGAGATACTCGAAGTTCGTTTCGGTACTTCCGGCGGTACTTTCCTACTGCTTAAATGTCTAGTGCGCGTGTAACCGTTCGTGGAAGTCGTGGGAGTACTACAGGAACTAGGACTTGCGGTGACTTGAGTTCCGGCAGAGTCGGATTTCGCGTCTACGGGCGAATAGTAATGCTGAAGAGAAGAAGAGGAATAGTTCTCCCAACACACGGTCGGAGTACCGGATTGGCTCCGTGGAATCGGCATATTGTCAATGTTTCTTCTCTCCCTCAGCGACATCGATCTAACCGGAAGAACCCTCACAGTCGAACATTCGTGCCCTTCGTAATTCCTAACGTACTCAGGGCACTGTTGTTCAGTCTCACCGATTGCGCTACGACAGTCTTCAGTGTTCGGAGGAAAGCGGCGACTAATACGTTTCTCGGCTTTGGCCATAGCTGTGATAGCTGCGAATTTTTTAAGGAGCGTGTAACGTCTGAACGCTCTCTGGATCGTGAGGGCTGCATTTCGTGCTTTTACACCGCCGTATTTTCGTTCTAGCACTTCGATCTGCTTATCGAGGATGTCTTGAGACAGTTCGTATCTAAATTCATCCAAATTAGGTTTGTCCCAAAGGCTGGCTCTCATACTTACGTTGTCTGAACCCTCGACCTCTTCAAGACGTCTCCGTTCCGCAAAGAGCCCTTCTTGTGAAGGGGTTGAAGAGGCTGGCTTACATTGACGTACGTAGAATTGTTGGGGGATGTTCTGGCGTAGATAGGGCTCGGAGTTGGAGTGCTATAATTCTGTGCTTGTACGAAACTCGGCGCTTGAATGTACGTTTGTTCTTGAATGTGATCAGAAGAACCCATCGAATTCACTATCTGGGACCTTTCCATTTTCGGTGGAAAGCTGAAAAAATAAACAATGGGATAACGATCACGCTGCAAGAACAAATAGTGTAAAAAATATCGCGGATAACCTTGTAGAATTCAGCTGTGAACTTTCTGTTATTGACCTGTTACCACGCGAGCAACAAAACCATTTTAATGTCACAACTGTTTTATAAACACAGTAAAACAATCATGGAACCTGATAAACGTAATGTCATGAAAATAAAACAAGAGAAACTCAAATTTCTTTACCTGGTTAAATTGCACAAAAAGACGACTGTACACATAAATTCAATTAAGCACTCGAATCAACGACGGAAAATTTTATAACAGACACGACGCGACTCATATTTCTAAACGCCCCTCGCACGATTTTCACTATTGAAAATCGCGTTGCGTCATCTTGACGTCTTATATTTGGATTAATTATGTTTATGTACAGGGCTCGGGTGTGGCGAGGGCTCGGAACCAAACCAATCCACTAAAACTATATTTTTAGGAAACGCGAGGGTGCAGCGGGGTCGGGATTGCTTTTACATAATATTGCAGCCACTACGCGCTCACGCGGCCAAAACGAACCAAAACTAAAGGAAAGACGGACGCCAAATCAACCGCTTCGTTTACGCATGTATAATATTTGTCGCGATCGTCGACAATGACAACAATAAACAGATTTGTTTTATTCAATTAAGTTAACTTCTTGCTTCGCCAACTTGTTATCAGCCTCCAATAGGGAGCTTCGCTCACTCCATATCCCTCAGGCTGTTCTCTACATTATTGAATTTCTTAAACACAAATAGCAACGTCAAGAACCCAAACTTCGCTAAATCCTTGTCGCCTGTAGCGCCCTTTGCTGTTTCTGACATCGCATCTAATTAAAAATAAGCTTCTCCATATGTTTGTCTACGATTTCTAGTCTAATCCAGATGCTTATTATATTTAATAAGATTTTTTTTTTTTTTTGTTAAAATCAAAACGAATGTTAGGTTACGTTTACTTACCAGGGAATTCGTTTTAGGTCACGGTGGACTTAAAAAAATGTGAATGACCGTTAGATCACCCGTAAGAATAATCCTTACAATGTAAAATGGCATACTCTGAAACGTTGTCGCAAAAACACAACTTATATAAAAACTATGTCTTAATCCCATGAGTGACGCAACAACCAGTGTAGTTGTAGTAATAGCACGTTAAAAACAATACGGGTTTCATGGCTCTCGAATAATAATTTTATTAAGTCCATATGCGTTTTCGTTTTTTGAACTAGATCGTGGTAAGTAGTGTTTAAGGAAAGTATTAATCGAAACCACGTATACCCACGACCTATTAAATACATTTTTGTCAAACGTCACGTTTTCCGGAAGTGATTCCAACTTAATGTTTATTGTTGCAGCAATATAACCACGAAGCAAACCAAAACGCGTCATGATTGTCATTTTTTTTAAATCCGCGTCAAGATTAGATAGTACTACAAACCGAATCAGAGTATTTCTCAACATGACGGATATCCTTGAACCTTGAAGTTTCTATTTTTAAATTCTTGTGAAGCATGCACCGGGGTTGATTAATTTAAATATTTTAATTACGAAAAATTAAAACCACGGTTTGTTTATATTCTGCTACAGGATGGATATAATTGAGAGAATAAATTATCATTTCTGCATACATTAGTGATGGATGAAACCGCGAAGAGCCGTGGGGTAAATTTTATTTCACTTTGACCACAACGAAAAAACTAATAATAATAATAATAATAATCTTACTTTCCCACTAAAAATCCTGATATGCATATAATCATCGTGAACACCACGTGAACACTGGCACATAAAACAAAATAAACATATACAGTTTGTGGTAACACAGTCTCGAGTGTGTACACCCTAAGGAGGCAGCTGGCGAACTAAAATCAAGATGGTAATGGTTCCAATCCCAAATCACAGGTAGTCAGATGAAGCATAAAGAAAAAATAAGGTCGAAGAAGAGCAGCTGGCGCATTTGGTAACACGGGCATCATGTGTTTGTTTCATCATCACAGAAAATTTTCAAGCGACAAACGTGACATAACTCTTAAAACCTGAATTTATTACATTTTGAGCAATTGGAAACATTCAGTGACATTATTAGGTTACTCATGAACAAATAGACAATGGTGCCGCGACCTTTAGCTCGCCATATTGCGGGAAATCGCCTCTTTTTTCATCGACAATGTGTTTTTGCTATCGCAACATCTCACCAAATCTGGCCTTGATTGTGGGATTCCAGGAAGCGACATTTACCGAAATTATTAGTTGTGTGGACGTTTTTTATTACACCAAAATCATACACGGCGGAATAATTGCGAAAGTGGTACTGACAGTACGAGCTGTTCCAAAAGAACGGAACCAAATAACACGATCGCCACTCTTGCAGTTACCGTTTACAAATTCTACAAATATAGTTCGGACACAACTGAGTGCGATTTTACTGATTCGCGTTTATGTCTTCTGTTCCGAACACTCTCCGCTCGGTCAAAGTCCACAATTAAATTGGAGCCTCTGCACGTCGAAATTACTCCATTTCTGTCGAACTCGCTGTACTTTCGGGGAACGAAACCCCCCAGGTCCGTCGGCCGTATTTCTCGAAGATACGACACGTTGCACGTGTCCAGCAAGCACGTCACGCAACCCCTGAGGTGAGGCGTAAAGGGAGGGGTCGGCAGGTGGCGGCCCTAAGCATGTGTGGCGTGTGGTGACCGAACGAAAAGCAGATGTTTTCGAATACCTTCGTCCCCCTTCCTTCCCTTATCCACTTTCTTAAAATATTGACATCCTCTCGTCCGAAAATTTTCACTTTTTAAATAAAACCGACCGACATATACTTGTACGGTTTTACGACCTCGATAATTTGCAGCAATTTCCGCCCGCCTAATTCAGCAATTAATTTTAAAATTAGCCACGTACATACGCAACGAAATACGTTCGAATGTAATAATGACGGACGTCAATTGTGTGTTTTTCTTTTCCTCGTCGAAGCGAAATTAATTTGTTGACTATTTCGGGATGGACGGAATGAATTCGTGACGAAAATGTCGACTGACTTTATTGGCTGCTGAAATCATAGAAAGTTCCACAATATCAGTTCGTTGCATAAGCGACAACTTCCATAAACCAGCTGCCGGAGAGCTGTAATGTTACCAAACAAGTGCAAAAAATATCTGTCACTAATTCGATAACAAATATTGCAAATATTCCGATAATTAGTCCCACTCCTGATTCTGCAGCGGTCAAGTGACGCAAACGGGAGCGTAACCGCCTAGGACACGGAAGACCAGACGAACGAATCCGGCTCACGAGCTAGTCGATAGTCGAACCAACAAAAAACAAAAAAAAAAAAAAAAAATCGGACCCAAAAACCTTTTCCGACTTTATTTTAATCATTAAAAAGTTCGCTACAATGGTTTGCTACACAAGACACTCGGGTTCAATGCGTTCCTAAGCAACTAAACCGATAACACTACCTTCGTGACGTATGGAAAGTCAAACTGTTTTATTGATCGCGACGGCGTTAGAAAATTGTTACAGTTCAGTTGGAAATGTTAACGGCATAAATTTAACGCGTCACTTACAGAATCCACTGCATTATCAAAATTTGGGTCAGACTGATCGATAAAACGCTAAAAAGTGATCAAGGCTGGTCATGGATTCTAGTTCGTTTCGGGTTTTGTTTCTGGTCAAGGCGTGAACGGTTTGTTTGTGGAAAAATATAGCTCAAATTTAGTTGTTTGGCGAACTCATAATGAACGACCTAATTTCGCGCATGTATGGCGATGGTGTTTTGATTTGAAATGGAACTATGAAATGACACAAGTTAGTTGTTTGTATAGGCAGTACAATAACAAAATGTCAAAGTGACGTTCAACAGTGATGCGAAGACGGAAGTTCGCCACAAGCAATGCATATACAATCGATACGATGCACATAATAACAGTAAACGATATGGCATTTATGTGTAAATAAATTCAAATTAGGAAAAAGTCCGTTTGTTTTACATTCTAAAATTGCGTATAATTAAACGATAAAGGAGAAAGTTGTTCGAATATTCAACGTTCGTGTGCTATGACAAATGTAGATTTTCTAAATCTGTGAAAAAACATCTGTCCAACAGGTGACATAACGTTACGAGTTTTATATATTATTTGACGGGTGCGTGTTAATGCTTTGTGTCTGAACAACTAATTAAGCGTTACCAATTAGCGTTACAGTTACTCCATTTAATTTATAGATCTCGATACATTAATCTGATTTAATTAACGAATTAACGCGTAAAGCCACTTTTTTCCTCCACTCAACCTTGATTTCATTACAGAAAGTTTGCTTAACTAGATACTGCCCAGCATAGTAGCATGCAAGCAATTATTATAATAAGGTACCTACATTCCGCTTATCAAACTAGGGTACCGACTATATCGGGACGCCGTCCGATACCCTCATTCGCCACTTTCGCATAGTTGCCACGTCGCCGGCAACCCTGTCACAGCATAAACTTACAAATTGCAAAATACGATCAGGGGCGTGAAAAACCAGGCTTTCACAGTGAAAACTGTCTCAGTAAAAACCGCGTAACGTGACCGAAGTGTTACATATAAAACGCAATCGACTACAGTTAAGCAAATGTAGGTTTAATGGCGCATTAGCAACCTAGGTACAAAGCAAAAATAAACTAATACGGTAGGCGCATGTTAATTACCCCAACGGTACATGCACAACGAGGTCCGTGCCCTCCTCACCCACCTATACACCATGATTCATTGGAAGAGCCAATCGAACCGACGCAAAATGTCACACTGCCTCACATTCGGATTTAAATTTTCGATTTAAAAGGTACAAGTGACTCATCCAATGTTGTTCTATGACGTAAGAACTACTAGAAAGAGAAGAAAATTTCGCTCTGTTATCAAATTCGGTTTGACACTAAAAACGACTGACAATGGTTTAGTTCAAAAAGTGTCAACATAACCTAGAAATCAATGAACTGTTATTTGTATAAATTAGGTCGCCAAAGTTCACAAACAACCAAAAAATGCGTGGTACTTTCAAGTTTATGTCGCCAAACAAGTGGAGAATAGTATTTGTTATGTCAGAAAAACTGACAAACGCAGATGGGACTTAAGTGATGGTTTAACACCTTTCCGTCAAACGTAGAAAAGAAACGCCCCCGGCTGGTATTGTCAAAATCAATTTTATGGTGAGGGCCGTTCCGGTTAATGGGTACAACAAAGGCTTGCAGGTTTTAACATTGTTACAATGGTAAGCTGTTAACCGTTTGTGCAGAAAGAAGCTTTCACAATATTGAAAATCCTAATAGCACACACTAAAATCACAAAACAACTACCGATACGTAATATCAAGACACTTCGATCTTGTGGTTGTTCATGCACAGGTGAGCGTTTTCGTTGCAAAAATATTAAAGATTCAATATTATCATTATCAAACAATGGCATGATTCTAATTTGCGAATCCAAATTTGTGACCTTGATTAGTTTTATCTCACTGATCGATCTGTAGTACTTTAGATACACATCTATTATAAATTTCATTAAGTGTATCAATATTATATTAACTGCGGAAAATTTGCTTTTCGTTATAATCGAAACGGATTTTTGCCATCTTCCATTATCTTGGGTCACAATGCCTATAAATTTTATGCGTTTCTCTAGACTGAAGCAACGACCCTCTTTCGTTTTGCAACACGTCGTTACTGGTATCTATCAGGAAAGATGGTGGTAATAAAAATATTTCTCACATTTTATGACATTTGTTGTTCCTCGCCACAAAAGAGAACAAAGAGTCTATGAAAATTCGTTCCGAGCGGCAAATCCTGTATCCATTTTTATCCGTCTTTTTGTAGCAAAATAAAAGAATTTCGATAGTGTAAACATGTTTATTTTCGTTTTAGACCCATTGCAACAAAGTACTAAAATATTTTTTCAAAGTCTAGTCATACAGTGAACAATATTCGTCTTATGCGACATTGTTTAACGTTGTGGTTACCACTCTGCAAATTTCTGATATTTTCCAGTGTAGTTTTTAAACTTGTTAAACAAACAAGTGTCGCTTCCATGAAACAATTACACGACTGCGTGCAAACAAAATTTTTTCAAATTAACAAGCAATTACATAGATTGAAAGCACCAAATAGGGACATCCTTTTATATAACACTATTTAAACGCTGTGAACCATCCAAACACCACCCTCTCTTGCGAACTCGTGCGGCTGCTTTTCTCGGTATTTATTCTTCCAGCCACACTTAAAATATCTCCTTAATGCCGAAATTAACTAAAAGCAAACAAACTCGGGAGGATACACAAACACGTCTTTATTAAGTGCCATTTGTGGCGGCTTTTCTCGTGACTGAAATCACTTAGTCACGTAATCGTAATGTTTTTAGTAGACTCGGGCGGATTGTCACGGGTATATTTCGACTTTGGACAGACATCCATCCGAATTGAAACTTCCTCGTGTCTCGTCATGTGACAACCATGTTGAATAATTCATTTGTGCAACAAATATGATTGCGTTTCCGTGTACAAACATTAGCCGTGGTCCTTCTACAATTAAAACTCGTGGAGAGTTTAATGGACTCCGACCGCTCTATAATTTATTCAATGTTCTATTTTCTTTCTCGTTTCGGTTGTCGCAGCGATAAATAAAAGTTGCTACCCTTCCGAGGCGAAAAAGTGGTTCGGTCAAGAATGCGTTCAATAATTTATTCATTGCTCTATTTTAGTACTTAATTATATTAATAATAGAAGTGTGTCGCAATCTGTGGCAAGTAAGATAGCGTGCAGAGACGAACAGGCTAGGATTGTTTAGCGTTATCAATGCATTAACCACTTAACTTGGGAGAGTTAATTAGCAGTTTTTTTTATTAAAGTTTCGTGATAAAACAGCAACAATGACGCGCAGCTTGTACTGTTCCATTATCCTTGTTAAAAACATAATTGAAACAATTTACCAATCAACGTCATTAACCAGTCGCCATGTAAAAGTTTTTCCAAAAACTCGGTTCAGGTCTAGTGGACGCGGTAACAGTTATATGGTGTACCCAAATGCGTATAAACGACAATTTGCCTGAATCATTTCCTTCTTGAGCACTCGTAATGACATTGAGAAATCTCGGAAACGGCATTACCTGATGACAGTGACATGTTTCCTGAAGGGTGGTAGGGTATGACAGGCGTCGGTGACAGTAACCAGTCGACTGACATGCTGTCTTCTGGTGGTACAAACAACCCTGATCCGCTCCTGCTGCACCCCCGTGCGTCTAACCCTGACGACAGTCCGATCGCACACGTCGACTGCATGTACGGGGGTCGTTCTGACGTAGGGCTGGGGAAAACCCCCTGGCGACTGTCCACGCATTACAGCACTCACAACACAAATTTCATGATTACACGTCCACTCTCTTGCACGGCGATAGTAAAAGTGGTACTTTCTACTGGTTTATGCCAATCACTGTTGGCCGGAAATGGGGGAAGCACAGGACCACGCGACCATAGGGTTGTTAACGTAGAAACTGCGATTGTAAATGTCAGCTGACCGTGCCTCGGAACGATCGGCACAGTTAAGGAGAGCGGGGTATTTGACGTCACTAAACAGTCCTTGGTGTTACATCACCACACAAACAACAAGTTTGTGTTGTCGAGGTGGAAGACTGGTAGCGCACACACACACGAACACGAATTGTTGGGGGGCTCAAGGGTGGAAAAAGTCTAATGGGGGTACCAGGAGGAGGACGCGACATGTGCGCGAAACAAACAAACGTCAAGGCTGATGCACGAGCAATTACCGCGAACGTGTGGGTGCGTTTGGTTTAACCAATACCAAGAAACGTACAGTTAAAGGATCGCTTGAAAAATGACAGCGCTATAGAAGTATAGACTAGCCTGAGGATATCCGTTCACTTTCCCCTTATTTAGAAATCAATACGTTCGACTGTGGCATATATGACACTTTGTGGCACCATAAGCGCGTATTTCCGCGACCAGGAGCCACCAAAGTGCCGAGGTTAATGAACTGGTGGTGAAAACCAAAAACCCCTAACAACACAAGCCTGATGTACACCCAATCGGGTCGTACGTCACCACCAATCGAAGTACTTAAGCCCATTACGTTAATTTAATTAAAGCCATGTTCTTTGACCGTGTGAACGGTCGGCGTCGCGACGTTCCCACGCATGCGTACTGCAGCCGTGTCAGTGGGAGGCGTCGTTTATGACATTTTACAACATCCTTGTCCTAGAATTATAAATAATACAACCACAACAAACCCAACAACAAAAAATAAACACCATAAAACGACTCAAACAACTATCTTGGCCAATTTATCGGCACGCTTTAATCTAAATATTTGCAATACAATCAAGCTAGATGCAATCTATAAATCTTATCTCGGGCTGACGTGACCAAACTCGCGGAAACCTTCGCCCTTGATGCCCTAACGATAAAAATCGCTGTTTATACCAATTTTTCACCCATCTCACCTTTCTTCTTGCAGTCGTTTCAGCTCCACCATTTCCAATTCGAATCTGAGGTTGCTGTTTTCACACAGCAGGAGATCTCTTTCGCTAGCAACACCATCCAGTTCTCGCTTCAGCCGGATTATTTGGTCCCGTTGTTCCCGAATAGTGTTGTCTTTGTGGGCCAACAACGAATTTATATCGATATCCATTCCTGCCATTGCACTCTCTTTTTGTTCGCACTACACAATGCTATTATGTTACGGTACTGTCCAGATTTTTAATAACACGGACATTTTCATTCACGAACCATACGAGTTTTGATTTGTTTCTAATACAACAATTCGAAAAAAAATTATGACATCATATACTGAAACGATATTGACAGGCCAAATACAACGCGCCGTACTGTTCCAGAGTTTTTGTCACTATTATTCGTCCATCTCTCTTACGTCACATCTTACATGCATGAGACAAAACGGGATAAAGAAGGTCGCACATGTGACGCCATCTGCACACTTTTAATACATATATTTTGACAGGAATTACAGCAAATTTTGATATCGACAGAAACCGTTTTCACATAAAATCGCACAGAAAAATATCGATAGAATCTTCATAAGTTGAATTTTTATCCACCATTGAGAAAATATAGACAAATTTTGAAACGAGAACAAAATAATGTGAGTATCTAAAACTTAGATAATATTGATTTTGTTATTGCTGCCAACAGATGACAGCATTATTGCCACATCGACGTTCAGTCATCGCGGGAGACCAGCATGTTTAAAGAAAACACATCAAATCAAAAGCAAAGAACAAGAAAGGGTTTTTTTTAACAAAAAACTATAGATTATAATTCATTTATATTGAGCGCTGACGTTTCTAATGTCCTAAAGTGGCAACTTTTTGATAAATTATACAACTTGATTTCTTGAACTTTATTTTCCCTGTAACTTAAAATCGAAGTAGAGGCTTAGATCATATAATAAATAGATACCACCACGCCGTGTTCTTTCCCTAGGAAAGCCTGTGACGACATCCTCCTGTCACACATCTCTCTCGTGCATGGAGGGATTACAATGAAGCTATCCTTGCCTGATCACTATTTGAATTTTGCGCGCCTAAATTTTAGGAAGTATGTCTGAACTAACTTAGGAAGAAAGATGTTGACAGCTTGATTTTATAAATAATTCACAGTAGATAACGAAAGGAATAGTAAATTATTGGGCAGCAATTGTCATCCTTTATGACTACATCACCCATAGGATCTTTGTTCTAAATTCTAAAATTGTTTTTTGTACAACAACTCGAAAGAGAGGTTAGAAGAAACATCTGTCAAAAGCGATTTGTTGCGCTGGTGCGGTACAAGGATGGAAGTGAAATAGACATATACAGATGAAATGCATATAACAAAGATGAAGATGTGGTGATCACACAAGGATAGCATTATACTACTCCCCTTGACGTAGAAAACGACAACAGATAGCTTCATGTCTAGTCACAGCTTTCAGTTTGAGTATTGGTATCTATTTATTATATGATCTAAGAGTAGAGGTCGATTATTAAACAACAGTTACAGAAACAGGTTGTATGTTTCAAATAATTTAAAATTTTGTGTACATATATCATTGTGCACGGGAATAAACTAAAAGTGGTAACAACAGCATTTTGTTTCTAGAATTTTAGAAAAAATAGATAAGTCGTTTTTTAATTAAACATAAAATACCCCACTTCACAATTCTGAGAAACAGCGTTTTACCAGCTACGTGATATTCCTAATACTATCTTTGCCATTTTTATTGAAACACCATCTGTTGATTTTGCTTAAAATTTAGTAACAGTTTTCGATTGATTGTGAATGGTTGTTACCTAGAAAATTGTCTGAATATGAACGTTGCCAAATTTACAATCAACAAGTGGTATTTCAATAGCAATGGCAAAGACTATATACATACAAAATTGACAACAATCGATCCGCAAATTACGTGTCTGATAAAATGGATACAGACGACAGACAGACGGAAACGGAAACCACTTTTTTCGTACTCTAGATAGAGATCATGAGGTCATGACACATCGAGAAACTATGAAAATGGCAGTTCGCTTGATGGACTCAATTACTATACTTTTTTATTTACGCTCGATAAGTAAAATTGAATGGAATTTGCATAGATAATTTTGATTGAAACGACGTTCTCAAGTTGTTGATGGAGATAATCAGACAAATTTTGACTAGCATTTGATTGTCTACTAGGGATATACCGACTAGTGGCCGACCGGTCGGATAAGCCGACTATTCGGCCGTTTTTCATCGTCGGCTGCAGTCGGCGACTGGTCGACTAATCAGCCGATCGGTCGGCTTTTTCTATTAAAATTAAAATAGTATATAAAACAATTAAACCCGGTTTACAAAACCTCAATTAAATATTTAATTGCGATTTAATTTTTAACCCCGCGTTAAAGTACCATGTGACCGAATCTACGCCAATCAGACGTCGCTAATGACTAGGGATGTACCGACTAGTGGCCGACCGGTCGGATAAGCCGACTATTCGGCCGTTTTTCATCGTCGGCTGCATTCGGCGACTGGTCGGCTAAACAGCCGATCGGTCGGCTTTTTTTATTAAAATTAAAATAGTATATAAAACAATTAAACCCGGTTTACAGAACCTCAATTAAATATTTAATTGCGATTTAATTTTTAACCCCGCGTTAAATTACCATGTGACCGACTCAACGCCAATCAGACGTCGCTAATGACCTTGTTAAATGCGCGATCAACTTAATCTCAGTTAAAATATTGTATAAACTGGCCCTAAATTGTGTTATTCTTTATTTTTGTACTGAGTTACTAAAAAAAAATTAAATGTTAAAATTATCCAAACAAATTTAAGTAACACATTTTTTGGAAAACAAAGGAACTTTAGTTATTCCTTTTATTAAAATAAAACAAATTTTTAAGGTAGTCAGAGAAATAGAAAAAAAAAACACACTGTCTGTCACATTTATAAACCGGTTTTAGCAAAGCCGAACAGTCGGCCGACTAGTCGGTTTTTACTGGCCGAACAATCGGCTAGTCGGTTAGTCGGCCAGACCTACAGTCGGTACATCTCTACTAATGACTTTTTTAAATGCGTGATCAACTTAATCTCAGTTAAAATATTGTATAAACTAGCCCTAAATTGTGTTATTGTTTATTTTTGTACTGAGTTACTAAATAAATTAAATGTTAAAATTATCCAAACAAATTTAACACATTTTTTTGGAAACAAAGGAACTTTAGTTATTCCTTTTATTAAAATAAAACAATTTTTTAAGGTAGTCAGAGAAATAGAAAAAAAACACACTGTCTGTTGCATTTATAAACCGGTTTTAGCAATGCCGAACAGTCGGCTGACTAGTCGGTTTTTACTGGCCGAACAATCGGCTAGTCGGTTAGTCGGCCAGACCTACAGTCGGTACATCTCTATTGTCTATTGGTCGGAGATTTGCTGTCAAACAAAATTACATGTCAATTGGACCTTGTTACAGCTTCTCCATCTTACTCCGCTAGGGTAGTAAAAATAGAAACAAAAAGAATATTTAGTTTTAATTGAGCCATGCACAACATTACTTATAATCTTTCATAATGTTTTGCTTTTACAAAATTAAACGAAAACGGACATGTTGATTCAACAAAATCTAAAACTCCTTTAATATGTAAGTTAGCTGTGGCATATTTAAAATATTAAACTTTTTTCAAACGTAAACCGAAACTACTCATGGTTTTTCGTCATTTTTAATGGATAGAATCGATACCGTAGATGGCACTGTAACCACAGCCGCCTTTTGACATTTAACTAGTTCGAGTTTCCTGCAACAACTGAATTCATACTTGCCACAAATACACAAATATTTGTAATTATTTTTAAATGTGAGATTAAACTATTTCATAATTTTGCATATATTTTTCTATTACGATAATGGTTTCTTTTTGTCGTACTTATGACAATTTGAATTTTCGTATGGATAAAACTATTTTCAAATTTGTTGATAAAAAAATATAGTTTGCTTGTAAAAACACAGCCCATTTTTGTACAAATTTGTTCAGTGTTAAGATTAACGAATTATTGCGAAAATAACAAAAATAATAGTAAATAGTTAAAGTTTTCCGCAATGTGGCAACACTGTAATCGCCATGATGAGTCACATCCGGCTCGTATAAGTACGAAAACTTCTTCCAATACTCCATTTTGTTACTGTTGTTAGTGGTGTAAGCGTGTGGTTGTGTATCTTCTTAGAACACACAACCCACCTAAAAAAAAGAGAAATAATATTTACAAAAATCCAAAAAAATATAAAAATTCAATAAAAACCCCAAAAAAATCGAAAAACAGTGGAAAAAAACGAAAATAAACGGTTACTGTATATTTTTCGTTTCTTATGTTGTCGCGTAGCATTTAAATCTGTGTAGTATCGAACAAGTGAAGATCGTGCAAAATGAATCCGGGCGCTCCAAACTACCCCATGGCGTCCCTTTACGTGGGGGACCTCCACACCGATATCACGGAAGCGATGCTTTTTGAGAAGTTTTCCACTGCTGGACCAGTTCTTTCGATCCGTGTTTGCAGAGATTTGATAACGAGGCGTTCTTTAGGTTATGCTTATGTGAATTTCCAGCAACCCGCTGACGGTGAGTCATCCACGTTTTCCATGTTTCGGGAAACCCCTTTTGTGTCCGTGTTATGTTCCATATGGTATTTTATCGTTTCATGCGCCTTGAGAATAACCTTCCCCCCCACCTTTCCCTCGATCTTACAACTTCGCAACATTGAGACATCGTTTACAATATGCGAATTTTTTTACAGCTGAACGTGCTTTGGACACTATGAATTTCGATTTGATCAAGGGCCGCCCTATTCGCATCATGTGGTCCCAACGCGATCCATCCCTTCGCAAATCCGGAGTCGGAAATGTTTTTATCAAGAACTTGGATCGTTCCATTGACAACAAGGCCATGTACGATACGTTCTCGGCCTTCGGAAATATTCTTAGCTGTAAAGTAGCTCAAGACGAAAACGGCACCAGCAAAGGCTATGGTTTCGTCCACTTTGAAACTGAAGAAGCGGCCAATAAATCCATCGAAAAAGTCAACGGTATGTTGCTCAACGGTAAGAAGGTCTACGTTGGCCGCTTCATCCCACGTAAGGAACGCGAAAAGGAACTCGGCGAGAAGGCCAAGCTCTTCACCAACGTCTACGTCAAGAACTTTGGAGAAGATTTGACCGAGGAGCAGCTGCGTGTCATGTTCGAGAAGTACGGCAAGATCACCAGCTACAAGATAATGAGCAAAGACGACGGCAAATCCAAAGGATTCGGATTCGTTGCTTTCGAAAATCCAGAAGCCGCGGAAACTGCCGTCGAAGCTTTGAACGGTAAATTAATTTTTCAGATCGTTTGCATGTTGAATGACCCAGAATTCGCGTAGTTCCTAGTAAAGTAGTCTATGCGAGTTTCAATTGATATTTCTTGGCATCCTTAATTGAGAATTTGTTTCGCCAACCACAACTACGTTTGTTTGCATGCAAAGATAACGTTATTATTAAAAGTACTGATAAGAGTTTCCAAAATGGCGCCCGTTCTAACGCAGTACTTCATTTTGTGTCATAAAACGGAATAATGGAAAAACATGTTGATGCTTGATTTAACAAAAAGTTGTAGTTGATAGTGGCGATGGTCGCCATTTTGGAAATGGGTACGCCATATGAATGCGTTGGTTTGTTTTTTTACGTTGTACCGTCCGTGTTGCTATCAATCTTCGGGTCATGTAGCACAACCGATTTGCATGCGTATGTATAGATTTGTATGTGGTTGGTTGGTTAATTCGTAGCTACGTTCGGAATGTTGTGTTCGTAGGAACTGCGTAAATAGGGTTAACCTGTATGTTGTTTGTGTTGTTTAGGTAAAGAGATCCTTGAAGGCAAACCTCTGTACGTGGGTCGCGCTCAAAAGAAAGCGGAGCGTCAGCAGGAGCTGAAACGCCGCTTTGAAGCCCTAAAAATGGAGCGGCTGAACCGCTACCAAGGAGTGAATCTATATGTAAAGAATTTAGATGATACTATAGACGACGAGCGTTTGCGTAAGGAATTCTCCCCATTCGGGACAATAACTTCGGCCAAAGTAATGATGGAGGATAATAGGAGTAAAGGATTCGGTTTTGTTTGTTTCTCGTCGCCTGAGGAGGCCACAAAGGCCGTGACCGAGATGAATGGTCGGATTGTGGGCTCGAAGCCTTTATACGTGGCCTTGGCGCAGCGCAAGGAAGACCGCAAGGCCCACTTGACCTCCCAGTACATGCAGCGCATGGCCAACATGCGCATGCACCAAATGGGCCAGTTCATCCAGCCCGGGACGTCAAGTGGGTACTTCGTGCCGACCATCCCCGCGCCGCAAAGGTTCTATGGCGCCGCGCAGATGGCCCAGATCCGTACCAATCCGCGCTGGCCGGCCCAGACCCCCGTGCGGCCCGGCGCCCAGGGTAGCGCTAACCCATACGGTACTATTCCGACCACGTACAGAGCCGCACCGCGCCCGCCAAACCAATCAGCCGCGATGAGGAGCAGTATCAATGTGCCGAGACCCATAACGGGCCAGCAGCCGCCGAATATACAGGGACGACCCTTAGCTAGCCAAGGCGTTGTAGCACCTGCAGGTAATCGCCCAACTACTTACAAGTATACAGCAAATATGCGTAATCCTCCACAAGGTTTAGGCATCAGCAATGCTGCACCCGTCCAGCAAGCTGTCCACATTCAAGGCCAGGAGCCTTTGACAGCCACCATGTTGGCAGCTGCCCCGCCTCAAGAGCAAAAGCAAATGCTGGGTGAGAGGCTCTTCCCACTTATTCAACGCATGTATCCTGATTTGGCGGGCAAAATCACCGGTATGTTACTCGAAATTGACAATTCTGAGCTGTTGCATATGCTGGAGCACAATGAATCCCTCAAAGCCAAGGTGGAGGAAGCTGTTGCTGTCTTGCAGGCCCATCAAGCCAAGCAGGCCGCTATCAAAAAGGAGTAAATACATTCTACACAGATAAGAAGAAAATTAAAAAAATTGCAAACATGTCATACGACAAAAAAAATATATAAAAATCGCAACACTACTACTGTTCAATGCTTAGTTTTAAACACTACTACTATTAAATATTAAAGCTAAATTTTGAACAGACAAAAATAATCTTAATAATGAAACTGTTAATTTGTTTGTGATTTTTGCTTGTTTGCAATTTTCACTATCTTAGTTTCATAATGACATAGTTTAATTATTTTTTTTCAGTTTTTTTCTCATTTTGACTTAGTTGAACGTTATATTAACTGTAAAATTATTATGATCCTTATGGTAAAGACAGTTTGTAAAATTTGATATTTCTAATTTAATTTATTCCCTACTAAAGGTTTAATTCCTTATGTTACTCTTTTGGTTTTTGGAATTCTTTGAAGTAATAAATATTCCTTAATTATATGTTTTCTTTCATTCATTTCTTACTTAACATTTAAACTAACAAAGTGTTATTAAAATGCAAGTGTCCTGAGTTCTAACTTCTAACGCTGCTAAAAGCTGCTGTGTGGTGCTCTGTCTAATATAAACTTAACCAGTAGAAGCAAAATTTCTCGTAAAAATAATAGTGCAATTACAAGTGTCCTCACAAAAAAAGTGCTGTTTGTAAGGATAGAGAATCTTGCTGGAAAATTTTAAGCTGCATTAAGTTGAGTACATATGAAAGTTGAGCAGAGGTATGGCGTTATAAACTACCAAGTAAGTACACACATTGTCTTAATGGAAGAATATGTTCCATGTTTAGAGACCACTTTATAGTATAGAAACCATCTGTATTTATATGAAGCTTGTAACTAAATAAAAAATGGTTCCTAAAATATATTTTACAAACCGTTCCTGGATATAAAGCAATAAATTTTAATAAGACTTTACTAGTGAATGTTTGTTGTTTCAGTAATCCCTTGTAAGGATTTGTGTTCAGTTAAAACGAAATGAATTTCTTATATTAAACTTCAGTCACTAACACACTACACCAGTACTAAAAGGCAAAATTACAAATGTGAAGAGTCCAAGAAATTTCCTCAGACATCTCAAACGACTGTGGCAAAGTGAAAAACGTAGAATTAAAAAATAATAAAATTTTACAACCCAGAAAACCAACTACAAACATTTTAACCCAACTCAATGACCAAGATGGTGCAATAAATTATAAATCAGCTGCACTGCACATGCGCAGCAGTCATTTTTCAAAACAATGTCAACTTTTCTTGCGGGAAATTTCAACTTTACGTCTGATGATTGAAAACATCGTGAGTCAAAATTTAAATCTAATTTATTATAAACAAGTCAATTACACAACATCAACATCAGTAAAAAATAGAAACACACAAGACCTTGGAATGAACACAAGAAGGCCCCTGAAAATTCTACCAACACGAACCGAAGTGCGCATCGAAGGCTGGCGCATGCGCCCTTAAACCTAAAACAATATCACATTTAAACAGCATTGGCAACTGCTTTTTTGGCAGCATCGTCAAGATCTTCAGCAGTTTGGATATCCAGTCCTGATTCCTTGATAATTCTGCGGGCTTCGGTAGCGTTGGTTCCTTCTAGTCTAACAATTAAAGGCACTTTAAGATTCATGGACTTCATGGCGCCAACAATTCCGTTAGCAATAGTAGCGCAGTTAACGATTCCACCAAAAACGTTAACCAAAATGCAACGGACGGTTTTGTCGGCAGTGAGGATGTTGAAAGCTGCCCGAACTTGCTCTTCCTTTACGCTACCGCCTACGTCTAAAAAGTTGGCGGGGTCACCACCATGGAGTTTGATGATATCCATGGTTGCCATGGCCAAACCGGCGCCGTTTACCAGGCAACCTATGTTCCCAGTCATTCCAATGTAGTTCAAATTATGCTTAGCAGCCTCCACTTCGCGAGGATCGCTCTCAGCGAGGTCTTCCAACGCGAAGATATCTTTATGGCGAAATTGCGCATTATCATCAAAGTTGATCTTAGCATCAACTGATATGACTTTGTTCTCGTCGGTTTCAACCAAAGGGTTGATTTCGAGCTGAGTGGCATCCACGGCCAGGAAAAACTGCCACAGTTTTTTAATTTCTACGGCTGCGAGATTTGTCAAAGGACCTTTAAATTCTAAAAACTGAGCAACTTCATTGGCCATTGAGTCTGTGACACCTTCAAAAATATCAATGGGAATATTTTTGATAAGGTGGGGAGTTTTTTCAGCCACGGCTTCTATATCCACTCCACCAGCTGGGGATGCAATAAGAACAGGACCATTCCTTTGTCTATCCATCAAAATGCAAACATATGTCTCTCTTTTGATAGTCACGCTTTCAGCAATCATGATTTTTTTCACCTCGATGCCGTCTTTTGGGGTTTGTTTTGTGATAAGATTGTACCCAAGCATTTGCTTCGAAATGGAGTCCACATCTTTGCGACTAAAAGCGTCAATTAGTAATTTTGTAAGTCTGTGAATGTGAATACCTTGTGGTCACGTGTACTCCTCCTTTGAAACCGTTACTAAAATGACCTTTCCCGCGACCTCCAGCAAGAATTTGAGCCTTTATCACATATTCTTTCACGTCTAAAAAAACAAAGATAACATAACCTCAAATTTTGATTTTAGTTCTTACTGAATTTCTCGAATTCGGAGCAGCCTTTTTCGTCAATCATGCAAAAATCTTGAACAGCAACCCCATTTTTACGTAATAGGTGCTTGCTTTGGTACTCTAGAAGGTTTAAATTGCGAACCGGAACCTGTAAGTTTTGTAGGTTAGGTCATGTTTTTGAGAAGTTTTTGGCTAACTTACGGTAAATTGTTTGATTTGAGGTCGTAGTTTTAAAACACTATTCCACAGGGAAGACATTTTTTCCTTTTAACAGTACTAGGCGCTATCAAAGATAATTATCTAATTGAGCAACAATCGCTGACTGATGCACAAAGTCCACTATGTTATATATGTTGCGGAGATTATTGTCCATCAGTTCATTGTCAGTGGCCAATTTTAATGTAAAAACTATGGTTTACATAACACTGCTCAATGATTATTAACATTATTACGTAACACTTTATTATAATTAAAATTTTTGAGTTTGTGAGGTTATGTGTATGCTAACATTGTCCAAAGCCAAAATATTATATATTTTACATTTATTGGGTATATCGGTGGTTTTAAACCCTCTTTAGTTGTTATTTTGCATTAAACCAGCCATGACGCATGTTTTGCATTTTGACTGTATTTATATTTTTTACACCTGCGTTAATTAGGTTTCTGGGTTAAGAATGTCGGGATTTCGTTTAAAATAAACGCTCAACAAATAAATATCTCATTACTTTTTATTTGTGGTACAATTTTATTATTTTTAATACAACTATTTAAAAACTGTTTTTAAATTCAGTTGTTTTATTCTGACAAATAAGGTGCCTCCGTTTGCCTATGTGTAGTATTATTGGTGGAAAGTATACTTTATTGTACAAACATGGGAGTCGTTTATCCAATGACAAAGCAGAGAGTATGTACAGTCAAGGTCGGAAGCAATAACTATTTTAGGATACGTATTTTTATACAGGGCGTATGAGAGAATAACATCCAAAAATAAACTGTTGTCACTCTTTCATATCTGTTGCACGCTAAAAGTAAAAATTTGAAATGTGTGTAAGTCTCGACTACATTTTTGAAACAAAACCCTTTTAAAAATATAGGTTTTGTTTTACTTTTCGTTTCACAGTTATTGTTTCATGGAAATAGACAAATAATGATTAATCTAAGTTTAAATTGTGTCATAATTACATCACCAATCAATTTTATGAAGTGGAAACACTCATCTTCTTCTAATCTGATGATTTGTGATTTTTCCCCCACAGAACATAACAGGTACGAACCAGTCTATGTGGACTATTATAATCTCTAGAAAATTGTTCTCAATATCCCATGTGCAAGTGACTTTCGCGTTCTTTAGACCTCTTCTTTAGTAAAACAATACAAATTAAAAGTAACGCTAACAACGCAATAACAAGTGCTACCAATGTGTACATAGCGTGTCTAAATCCCGCTGCTGGATCTATAATTTTAAGTTATAAACAAATTTTTGATTAATCTTTTCCTACCTGGACTAGTTTGTAGCTCCTTTGGAATGTTATTCGACAAACTATTTTTAACATTTGCAAATTTTGGTATAAGCTGATTCCAAAACGTCACTCTTTGAACCCTTTTCTTATTCTCTTCGTTGATGTAAGAAACCACGGGTCCAAAATTCTCGATATAAAAGTCCCCAGCTGTATATTTTCTCCACGATTTCGCTTGATTGTTGGGAGTAGGGTTGCTGTAACACTACCATTACTCAACTATTACACGTAACGACAACATTATACCCAAAAATGACAAAATTAGTCCACAATTGCTTAATCTGTCGGCTTAAATTTCTCTCGTTTGTGTTAAACCGTCTCCTGGGTGCTTGTTTAAGCAAAATGGGTCCAAACAACAATAATAAGTCGGTAGTGATGGTAGAATCCGTGGTGTTAAGAACAAACCCAATGTCGTCCATATAGTAAACATAAATTGGTTGCACATATGACGAAATAAGGTACGACAGTTGCAAAAAATGTGGAGCTTCAATTTTAGACTGGAACTCAAGATCTTTTAACTCGTCGTACAAAATTCTAACGTCTCCTTGATTCGCCGAGAAGTATTTCCATTTAATCAGATCATAAATTTGGTCTTTGTTTGATGTATTTAGTTTGTACAAACGAACGATTTCTGGAATTTTGGCTTTTTCTACATATTGTAACAACTGAGGGTAACCTTGACTAGCTAACTCCAACCATTGCACTGGAAAGAAAATGGTAAAACGTGACACACTTGCGTCAAATTTGTGTTTACTGAATTGTTCGTCGGCTATGGGTTTCGAAATTCCGGTCAGAATTGGTACTTGCAAGTACGTGCCATCTTTGAGTGCGTTAGTGGGGTCCAAAGGCAAGTAGCGGTTAGTCTCGGGTAAGAAAGTATCCACAACCGGCAAAAATTTATCATTCCAAGTGAAAGACTACAAAGTAATTTATATTTAAAGTTATAACGTTTTTGCGACACACCTCTGAATACTCTCCAAGTGCTTGCAAAATATGTTCCACTTTCTTCGACCGAAGACATTTAACAGGGTTAACCGTGTAAGCATCACAACCCAACATTCTTACTATCTGTTTAGAGGCCACAATCGGGTCGTTTTGGTGTTGCCAAAACGCCACAGCGCTTCCAGACGAGATAATCACCCTTTGGAAGAACCCTTAAACACAACGTTAGGTTAAAAGTTAGTGCGTAAGCGAAACGCACCGGCAGTTCTTGGCGAGACCATGTGAAGAGTGACACTAGCAGCCCCCGACTGGTGACCATACAGGGTGATTTTTTCGGGGTCTCCACCAAACTTGTTGATGTTTTCTCGAATCCATAACAAACCGAAGTACTGGTCCAGCATTCCCAAATTGCCCCTGGCTTCGGAAATACCCAAACAGAAGAAACCAAAAACGTTGAGACGGTAGTTCATGGTCACTACTACCAAACCTTCGGCAGCGAAGTCCTGTCCACTGATGGGAACTTCACTACTTTGGTAAAAATTTTTGCCTTCGAAGAATACCACGACCGGCAGCGGGGCGTACAAACCCGCATTCTGAAATAGCGTTTTTTGAGAGACAGTTGGACTAGTTTAAATTGTTTAGTACTTCAGGGGCCCAAATGTTCAAGTATAGACAATCCTCTTGATCATTGACGCCTGGTTTTAGTGGTAGTTGGGGGCAATGAGGCCCAAAGGTGGTAGCCTGTCGCGTTTCATTCCAATCTGGGTGTTTCTGGGGTGGCGTAAATCTTAAATCTCCCACTGGAGGAGACGCGAATGGGATTCCAATGAAAGCGTTGACGATTTTGCCAGCATCAGTGATGATTTTGCTCTGTGGTGGTTCGTTTAGTAATGACCTAAAAATCGCAACTACTCACCCCTTCCAAAACCCCTTGTTGCACCCTAGCTGTAGGCCTCCTCTCCCGCCAATTTTGACACTGGATGATATTAAAAAATACGTAATATACTACAAGTTGCGTCAAAAACATATCACACGTTGGTTTTCGCGTCGAAAAATAAATAAATTTATTCTGTTACATTGTATTTCGTCAATGTTAAATCGTCGAGCAATGAAATAGTACATAACGATCATAACAAATTTCATGAGTGTCCATGTAGTGTTTCCGGTTTATCGCTTTTGTTGTGCTTCCGGCACCATATCGACCTGTAGCAGACGTGAAAAATAGTGTTTACTAACTCTGCTGATTTTTGCACGAATTTTATGAGTGATGACTCACTCAATTTCTGAAATCATTTTTTAATGGCAATTATTCATTAATTCGTTTTAAAGGTTTGCCAAATTATGAGTAAGATAAATAAAGGTGGGATTGGCGCGATTCCAGATCAGTTATCGCTGGTTTAAGCATGTGTAACACAAAGAATTCAATTACAAGAAAGTGTGCACGTTTTTAGATTTTATAAAAATACCAAATGCTGTGTGCAGCACATCACACAAAGAATAGATTTTGTGGTTGTTATTATTGTTATTATCATTTTGCAACACACAGTCTTAATTAAATATACTATCATTTGTCATAATTGCAAAATATCAAATGTAATATTTTTAGCAAAGTTGGTCTATTTCTCTTTTTTGTCTTTGTCTCATTCGTCGTACTCGCAGTATAGGTAGTAAAAAACATTTGGTTGAGTTCGATAAAATACCATTGGCACATTCTGTATATTAATAAATATCCTACATTTGGCTTAAGGTAAATTACACTAAAATAGGTTTGTCATGACTGTGAAAAGAAGATCTAAATTTATTTATTCGTCACTAAAACACGATAAAATAAATTCACTTTTACAGCAGGGTTAACATTTATTAAAAAAATCTAAAAGTATCAAATTTGATTGTCCAAATTTATTTTTCTGGTATTGTGGAAAAAATGGGTTAGCAAAGGTTAGGTTTATTTAGAGAAATATTTATTTGGCAGTAATTTGAGATGACGTCATCAGTTTGTTGCATTGCATTAATTTTGAAGGTAATTTTGGAAGTCGGACACTATCACTCGATCTGTGAAAAATGCGAATGGCGGATTTATGAAGATTGAAATTTCGAATTCATTCCGGTGGAGTTTTTTACGTAGTGAAAAAGGTAATAAAACTGCAACGATGTTGATTACGAGCGATTATGTTTATTCTGATATTTCTCTTTTGCGCTCTTATTACTCAGTTCCTTTGTTCTAAGCTGTTTCCAGCCTCTTGGTGAGCGATAACTAGCGTTATTTTATTTCATTTTTTTATGAATTGTGAAGTGAACAATAGAATGTTAAAAGATTGTTGATAGTTGATAGTTAGTGGAGCTCGTAACTTTTGTACCAATAATGTATTGCAGCACTGAGACGTGCTGGAATTACCTATAACTTTTTAGACATTAAAATTGCAACTAGGATTAAGTATTACCGATTCAAGAACTGCATTTATACGTAGATGTACATACTTAAAAATAAATAAATAAAATAAAAAATGATAATGCGTTTTTGTGAACACATTTTTAGTATTTCCTAAGTATATTTGGTCGAGATAAAATTAACTATATTGTTGTACATTTTTGACCATAATCATTCTCCTTTGAATTTTAAGGAAGATGACCTTCACGAAATTGCTAGCAGTGACCACAAAAGATAAGCAATTAACCGGTTGCCATTTATTTCGTTACTGACTATAATTTTATCGCAATGGTGATAATTCACGTTCGCATTCTCGTTTTTTGTGCTAATTACTGTATGTAAAACTAGCACAGAATAATAAAAAACAAAGGATAGGTGACCCGAACAAGAAAAGAAAAATCGTCCGATAAAGTTGTTTGTGTGGCCACAGTTCAAAAAATAAAAAACAACATATGTTCGTCGGAGTAACGTACGAGTAAAGATAGAATGTAAATTTCGCTTTCTTCCATATAAGGCGCTGAAGCTTAGTTTTCAGGTCATATTACTCACAATATAGACAAATATAGTTTAATTACAAAACGCAATCCTCGGTGGCGCAAAAACAGAAAATAAGCAGCCACCACAAGTTATTTGAAAGTGGTCTTCGCGCCGCCAAGTGATGCTCCGATCGTCCATAATAAAAATGATGGGGCAATAAAAAATAAAAAACATAAAAGATTATGTTGTTGATGTTTTTGAGTAAAAACGTCTCGAGAATTTTAACAGTGGTTATCGGTGCATTCTAGAGTAATCGCGCGGGGTGTTTTAGCCTCCGGAGTACTGGCGATAGGATATCTAAGGTAAGTAAGGTCGCACACCCAAATAAATTTAACAAAATCTGACATGTGGCACAAAATATGGAGCTGAAACTGAAAAAAAGTGGGGTTAAGTTTGAAGACAATCTATAAACAACCAAACTCATGGACGGAGTTCTATTCTTAGTTTCACACATATCTTTAGTTCGAGTCGTGTTCAGTCTTTCCACTACATCGAAAGTGTTATAAAAGTGCAATGATTTTAAGGAGGATTCTCTAAATATTAGCGCCAATTAATCAAGTAAGTTCATTTCGTTCTCCCCTCTTTTAATTAGAAATTTTCAAATGTGTGGGCTCATTGTAATCAATCGTTTTTGTTTTCGTGATCCAGCTTAAATATAGATTTTTCGTCGTATTTGTTGCAATTTTTCGCACGAAAAATATAACTTTTTCGAAAAATCTATTATTTGCAAACTTACGCATTTTCGTACTATTTATAATTCGCAAACGTTTATCATACAATAATAGATGCTTAATTGTGCTTTCATAACATTTACACATTTCTATTAAATCTAATAAACGAAGACGTTATTATTTTATGAAGCGCTCATTTTTCATTATTAAGAGCCACTTCCATTGAAGTAAAGCGATATACTTTAGTGTCTATTATTAAAAAACATGAAACGCCGCAACCACATCCGCCAAAACAATCGCACTGGAGACTTGTGTCTTTTACCAACAGTGATAATTTGTAATGCAAGAATTCCGATAAATAGGCAACCCAACATACACCGCAATTATTGCAATTATCGATCTCTTTACAAGTAAGTGGTCGTTACGCCCTTGATAATTTGTTTATTTATATAAAGAAAAATAATTGGATGGCATTCAAATACAGGACAAGTTCGATATAAATAGACTATACACAGGAGACGTCTTTAATTATGTCAGGTAATGCACGCTTTTGATCAACACGAAAGATCTCTTTTACAAAGAAACTAACAAGGGCAAAAGAGATTTTTCATTTCGTTCGACAAATTACTTTTTTTTAGAAATCGCCGCGTTTCCAGTTACACGAATTTCAGCTGAGTAAGAAGGTGATACAAACATGATTCAAAAGTTTACAAGCATGACTGCTACTGAACACCTGAATCGACTTACACACGGGTAAATCCGCATTATCTCCAGAGATAGAGTTTTATATTTGGCAGATCTTTTAATAATTTTTCTGAAAAATTATATCCAGCTGTCAGCGCACGATGTTCCGCTCGTTTATTTCGCGTACCTTTTGATTAAAAACACTCGTTAAACAGTAGTTACACTTTGAAAATTAATCTGCATATTTTGAAAGTCCATCACTGGCGAATAGAAAGTGTACTGTGTTCAAGGACATGCATACACAAATCGAAATTCGTATGAATTGTACTTACACCGTTAAAAATAGTGGCACACTTTTAAAAACAGAAATTATTACTCAAAAATTCGTCATCTAGGGAATGATAAAAAATTTAGTTCAAGCATCGATTTTGCAGATTAGTTCTTGGTAAAGGTGACTGTCTGATAAAAATTACTGGTGCGCGTATCGTTGATTACATTTTCTATAATTCGTTAAAATGTTCTTATCGATGCAGCTGATACTTTATGCATTTTAGATAAAATCCACGCGTTGGAAAATCTTTCGCAATTTAAATTATAGTACGATAGTTTCGTGTTTTTATTAGAAAACAGCAATACACGATTTTATTATTATTACCACGATTATTTCACCCACTTTATGAATCACTGGGTTTATTAGGTACCAAATTTAAATTCGTGGCTGGTTATGTCAAATAAAAGCAAATTAAGCATTTTTCCAAAATTATTGTGACGTCATGTTAAAACTATATGTGTATGCACTAAAACATTATTTGAAAAACTGAATAAATTGTTATATTTTCTTCTAAATATTATAGGATGCAATTATAAATGTCAGTCTGATATACCCATGTTAATTTTTGTGATATTATTTACTTTGTCATATTTAAATGTTTGTATAATCAATATGGCGTATCTGTAATACTTCTTAATGTGAAACGTCAGGTATTAATTTGGTACTAAATAAAAGGTTTTTGCTTAAAACAGAATCGTTTTATTTATTCACAACTTTTTAAATCTTTTATATTATTAAACATCATAAAATATTATTTTTTTTATTTTCCAAATTGCCAATAGCAAGAGACAAAAATTCATAACACTATAATGTATTTGACTTCATCAAATTATCTTTAGGTATGAAATCATCTCAGTAATTGTACAGAAATGACTAACAAACGATATAAATCACGGTATTGTTCACAAAACGACAATATATTTTTACGACAAATGCTGGACGTACTTCTTTTTGGCGATTCACATTTTCGCAAACTCCATAGTTCTATGCTGTTGAAAATTTCCGTGACAGAATGTACCTGCAAAGTAAAAAATTATCAAGTCTATTGAAAGAAATATTTGGACTGGATAGACGTAAACTTATCGGCGGTTAACAAGAATGTAAATGTTCTACTAGTAAAAGATCTCTACACTTTATTGGTTTCCAAACCGGTCCTGCAGATAACGAAGTATTGTAATTGTCCCTTTACCGTCACTTTGAAATTAGGGGTTTAAAATTTTAGGGTTCTAGATATAAACATTTTGCGTTACGTTAATGCGACAGTAGTTACAATTTTCAATATTAAGTTTTTAAGTTACGTACATAAACAATCATAAAAACCACCAACACAACAAATTTCGCTTATTAACTGTAAAATCTTTGTGTGTAACATTCATCTCATAGGACACAGAAGATTCGTTCCCCATTGGTTGAATTGTACACAAATTACACAGGAATACTACAAGAAATAATTTGACAAAAGCAATATTATGTATGTCAGTATTACTAGGTATAATTTACGTACATAACAGTTGATAATAATAATAAATTAGTGATAACAAGTCAAATAATTAAAACAAATTGAACTTTTCACTAGATCAATTTGTTTTAAGCAAGAGAATTAGTCGAAACTTTTCTGATTTTAACTTGATTTGATTTGAGTGCTTACTAGGTTTTATTACATAAGGCATTTTTCATCTGACGTAAAGTAATCAAATTATTACGGTATTTAGCTGTTTATCTCTTTTGTTTGCTGTTTCTAATTCTTTTGTACATTTTAATGCCAGATTTAGCTTTTATAACACATAATTGGAGAGAAAAATAAGGACGTTTTAAAACATGGATCCTCAAAGTAATAATTATAATAGTAATAATTATTATTAGCGAAAGACTTTGTGTAAATATCTGTAGATGTATTTGTCACAAATATGTCTTATTATTATTATTATTATGAATCATTTGTAGAATGCAGTCAGTATTTAAGGCGAAAAAAGGTGTGAAAATAGAGTAGAAAAAGATTATCGGAGTATATATTGCGAGAAAAAGATCGTTAAAAATAAAAATTTTTGCAAAAATCGTTGGAAATAGGGGCGTAGCGATCCTGCTATCCGCAGGAGTAGCGTTTCTTGTGCCGTAGCTGTATCTCGTCTGTGTTTCAGAGGGGTCATAGGTGAATTGATCGAAATTGACCAACGAGTAGGCATGGCTCAGTGTCCCTACCAGAGCTTCGAACCGGTCGAGGCTTGCATACAGCGCGATGTAGACTATTGTGAGTTTAATGACGAGGACGAAATGGTGACGACCGAGCGCGAGTTGGCTGAGGACGCACAGTGGAAAAAAATCCAGCAAAACACCTTTACGAGATGGGCCAACGAGCATCTGAAGACTGTGGAAAAGCACATCGCAAACTTGGAGACTGACCTTAGTGATGGATTAAGACTAATCACCCTGATCGAAGTCCTAGCAGGGAAACGTCTGCCCAAACACAACAAGAAGCCCTCGTTCCGTTCGCAAAAACTAGAAAACGTCTCGGTGGCCCTCAAATTCCTGCAAGACGACGAGGGAATTAGAATTGTTAATATCGGTGAGTGGATCGGCCCTGCTCTGCTCTCGCTCGGTGCTTTTTCTCGAATTCCTGCGACCCTCCAGACCACATACCATTCTTTTCGCCTTTTTGCTTTTGCCGCCGTGCGCTCGCCAAATTTTTTCCGCTCGAAACCCCAACAGGAAGCCCATTATCGAAAACCGGATATTTGAAAATCGGGCATGAGGGTTTCCCGCCAAAAGTGTCGGGCTCGTCAACGAAATTTTCTACTAATCGGATATTTGCACACTGTTATCGGTGTGCACTAAGGTGTTTATTTGCTGAATTTTGTCGTAATCTACTAAAAATAGCGTTAACATCATTATAAACGCTTACCGGAAAGGCTAGTTTCAACGGTAAAGAGGAAAAAGTGGCATTTGATGAGCCCACAGTTTGTTCTGTCGATTTCGCACTTCAGAAACTGCTGTCGATAAAAGTGTCATGTTTATAAATAAAACAAATCGGTTATTGAGAGTCAAACATTTTTCTAGCATTCTAAACAATAATGGACGTTCAAGGCTAAAAAACGACAATTTCTAAACCCGTTTCCACCTAAACCAATTTCTATCGGATCGACTTTTTCCTGTGCGCTGAAAGAATGCATTGTAGTCTTCATGTGAGAATGTGAATTTTATCAACGAGGGTCAAATGCACGCCAGAACTTCCCAACGTTGAACAACAACAATTTACGTGCATTCTATTCGATTTTAATGATGTAGATAAAAATTATTTATTGTTCTTACGCTTATCAGCATCCCATTTTGTAAAACTATACCAGATAAAAATTACTATCGCGTTTTGCTCGGTTAACCTGACCCATGCAATATCTGTAAGAAGCGGCAAACGACTTGTCTAGACAACAAATAGACTTCCTCCAACACCTGATGTTTACGCTCTTCCTATGACATATTTTCAAATCACCATATGCAAAAAATCGAGACCTTCACGCTTTAAAATCATTTACAAAACCGCAGTTCTTCAACCAAACCGATGACAAATAAATGTATGTAATTTTGTGAGAATTCAGGTGCCTCAATGTTACATAATGATAAATGTACCCGAGTGACGTCATTTTTAATTAGGCTGCCTAAAAAATGCAATAATCCGATCGGCTTTTGTAGATGACCTTGAATTTCGTGGCAGAGTTTTTATTGTCGAAATAATTTGTTGCATCCTACAAGTCAAATCACGGCAGTTTTTCAACGGTGATAAGAATTTGGTGATTTTCGTTCTGATTCGGTTAGATAAATACTGGGTGGACTATCTTACGAATACACCCATTGTTTACTTTCTGGGAATGATCACGTCGGTTTTCCCATTTTGTTTGTTCTAGGTAATTATTTGTTTAGAGAAATGATTCTGAATGACAGTTTATCCCTCTGTACGGTTTGTTTATTAGTAAACAGATGGTTACACTGATAATCATATGGAAGTACTAAATCGATTATTCGTATCAAACTTTTGGGAAGCAAACATGTAAATGTATTTTGTCAATAATAAAACTTTATGACTATGTATTAACAAGAAAACTACACACTAGAAATTCTAGACGTGATAGTACCCGTACCCACGCATTGATGATTACAGAGATTTTATTTTGTCCCCCTATAACATATATTTTATTATTCTCAAGGTTAACATGAACAATCGTAATATAATCAACTTACATGTAACTGTACAATTATTCAAGAGAAAGTTCGAATCAAAATTCGCTACCCATAATAGTTATAAGACTCCAGAGATAAGCGAAAATAAAAACAGTTTCACTTTCTCGTAATCAGCTCTAATTGAAAATGAGTGTTAATTCGTCTAATTGACCAAGAAGCATCTGAAACATGTCACTTAAGCCGTTTTACTAGTTTATTTGAAACTGTGTACTGTTTCCAGAAAAAAAAAATTGTTTTCCAGTCGACTAATGAATCTTTGACATTGAAACAAGCTGATGCATTAATTGTAAATTACTTATTATTTTGTATTGCTTGTGTGGATGTAGTCAGTTTGCGAATTAGCTGTGTAATGTTTTGTAATATGTACTTAAGTCTTATCTTAAGAAACATAATTGCTCTTTTTTCAAAAACAAATTATTTTATAATGTTATATGCGACGATTTGAATTTCTGAATTAAAAAGAGGAGATTAAATCACTTACTTGTTAAGAAAATAAGTCGATTAAGCTTGACCAAAAAACTTTATTATGAGTATTCTTAAGCCGTGTATTTTTTTTTTGTCTTGATTGGTAGGTAATCCGTTTCGAGTGTTTTGATTAACTTAGATTTTTCGCATTTCTCAGATTACTCAGATAGCACTATATTTAACATATAATACTCAATAACTGTGGTGAAGTGTTACAGAGAAAATATAGATAACAGAACGAAAATGTTTTTTTTTATTAAATGTGCAGACTGATACGAAGTCTAAAAATATCAGTCAACTTTGATTCATTTATTTTCAGCTATAATTGGGGTCGTTATTTTTTGAGTCATAGTTACAACCTTGGTTAATTGCTAATATTGTGTAAGGATCAACTCTGAAACAGCAGGAAACGTTTCAAATACACGCGGATCTTAGGCGATTTATTTATGGCTTACTATTTTAGTAACAAGATATAAAAATTACTTTAATTGGTACTTTTACGTAATAGTACTACCATTTTTAGAATCTTACAATTCTGACACTTGTTTTAATAATAAGTACATCTCTCGTGTGGAGCAACCTCTTAATAATTGATTGCAATTTCGCCATGCTTTCAAGAGTTGCAAGAGGAAGTTGTAATTTATAGCGTTATCGTTTTCCTTTTTCGATAACCGCACTGGTCGTACCGCAAAGAATTTATTTCTTTTTCTGGAAAAATATAGGTGTAACGTTGACATCATAGATGACTAAAACATTTCCTTCAAAATTCCAGGAAAGTTGATGTGTATCTTGAACAATTTCTATAAGTGTATATAAATAACAGTGACATCACGCTCGGTTTAAACCATATTAGTGGAGGCGATTCGTGTCTTAGAACTGAGTTAAATTTGAAAATGCATTAAACTTTCATCGACCGTTGTACATAACACCTTATATTACAATATTTTTATTTGGAAGCTGACGCCATCGACCTTGTAATACTTTATCTCATCTCGTTTATACTTTTTCGTTCAACACGGTTTATTTTCAAAAATAAAAACTTCGGTAAAAATAAATCGAAGGGATTTGTGGGTCAGATTAATTGAACTTTGCTGTCTAAATTTGTGCTGATAAGGATTCTATTAAAGCGACATTGAGTCGGTATTACGTAAGACTTCTTTGAATCCAATCCAACCTGGCCAGTCGTCTGCTGTGTAAACGCTCTTTCATATATGGAAATGATTGCGATCTCTCTTCTACACAATTGTTCTCCTTGGCCGTCTAGGCAGACCCAGTTACACCGTTCTACATTTCTCTATACACCTTAAATAGGCTAAAATCCCATGCATTTTACGCATTTTTTCTCACAACAGATGGCTCCTTTTTCTAGTTCTCGCGAGATTTATACACAACTCGCCAATACATATCTATCACCTGCGGCCTGAATGCACTTAACGACTTTCTACTCCGCAATCATTTACCGCTAAAATTATCTCACAATTCTGGTTTTAGCCAATAGTAACGAAAACCTCTTATTGTTCCAGATTCAAGTCACATTGTAGATTGTAAATTAAAATTAATATTAGGTTTAATATGGACTTTAATTCTGCATTACTCTATATCGCTGCCCATGTGGGAGGGCGAAGACGATTTGAACAACAGCGGATCAGAACCCACACCGAAGCAGAGGTACCCCATTAAACAAATTAGTATATATAATGACTTAAGTAATAACACCCTAGGCTGATGAACTGGATACAATCGAAATTGCCAGACTTGCCAATACATAATTTCACCACAGACTGGAACGATGGTAAAGCTGTAGGAGCCTTAGTTGATGCCGTAGCACCAGGTCTTTGCCCCGACTGGCCGGTAATTACCCCCTTCATACACAAATAAACCCACGGGAATTGGGTCCCCGAAATTTCGTGCCCAATTCCCGACATAATTACACCCCAAATCATTGATAATCACGTTGTAACAGGATTGGGACCCGAAAGATTCTGTCGAAAATGCTTCCGAAGCAATGGGACTTGCAGACGACTGGTTGAACGTCCCACAGTTGATCAAACCTGAAGAAATAGTTAACCCTAATGTCGACGAACAATCCATGATGACCTACCTATCGCAATTCCCTAACGCAAAACTAAAAACCGGAGCCCCTCTGCGACCAAGAACTAGCCCAAACAAGTAAGTACACATCTACATTAATAGGTTAGCAATGGAACCGCCGCTCGAATCTTGTACCACATTATTAATTGATTTTCTCTGTTTTGAATTTAGACTCCCCCCTCCTCGGTAAGTTTGGAAGTCAAAGATCATTAACGCATTAATCCCCACGATTGGTTTTCTTCTTCCAGAATAGAAACCTAACAATTTCAAATTAATAAGTGTGATCGGTGTTTGTTTGTGTCCAATTTTCGTAAAGTAGACACTAACGGTTTGATTTTTTCCAGAGTAAGAGTTTACGGTCCTGGAATTGAACCCACGGGGCCTGTTGTCGGAGCTCCGGCTAACTTCACCGTTGAAACCTTCTCCGCTGGTAAAGGCCAAGTTGACGTTATCGTAGAAAACCCGAAAGGACAGCGAGAACCGGTTGAAGTACGCTTTAACAACGACAGAAACCTAACGTACTCGGTCGCGTACACGCCCCAGTTGGAAGGGAGTCACAAAGTCTCCGTTAGATTCGCCGGTCGCGAGGTCCCGAAGAGTCCCTACAACGTAAAAGTCGAAGGTCATGCTGGAGATCCAACGAAAGTGACCGCCTCAGGGCCCGGGCTTCAACCAGACGCGGTTTGCGTCAACAGACCGACGTATTTCGACATTTCGACCAAAAGTGAGTCGCGCTGCACTCGCTAATTTCATATTAATGAGCGTTTTCATTGATTGTAGATGCGGGCAAAGGTGTTCCTGAGGTCATCATTCTAGATCCATCCGGAAACAAAAATTCCGTTCCCGTTAGCGTGCGCCAAACAACTCCCGACGTCTGGAGGTGCGAATACCTATCGCCGATCATCGGTCTACATTCCGTTAACATTTTCTTTGCTGGGCAACCCATTCCAAAAAGTCCGTTCGGTGTTCGAGTGTCTCCTGTTTCTGACGCGAAGAAAGTCAGAGCTAGTGGGCGAGGGCTGCAACCTGCTGGGGTTAGAGTGAAAGATGACGCCGATTTCAGAATATACACGGAAGGAGCGGGTGAAGGGGTTCCTGATGTTCAAATTATTGGTCCCGGAGGGATTAAAGAACCCTGCAAGATCACTAAAATCGATGGTACCACCTACAACGCCGTGTACCATCCGATGAAAGAAGGAAGATACAGGGTCATGGTGACGTTCGCCGGACAGGAGATATACAAGTCGCCGTTTGAAGTCAACGTAGGTCCGTACAAAGAAACGCTCATTCGGGCTTACGGACCAGGATTAAATGGAGGCGTCGTCGGGTACCCGGCCTTGTTCACTGTAGAAACGAATGGAGAAACCGGAGCCTTAGGATTTAGTATCCAAGGGCCTTCGCAAGCTAAGATTGAATGCCATGATAACGGAGACGGATCTGCTGACGTTAGGTACTACCCCACGGCTCCGGGAGAATACGCCGTACACATACTATGTGACACCGAAGACATTCCGAAAAGCCCTCACATTGCTCAAATTTTACCCAACACGGACTACTACCCCGAGAAGGTTGAAATTTATGGACCGGGAATTGAACCATCTGGAGTCCAGAAAGACGTCCCTGCTAAATTTACAATAGATGCTAGGAAGGCCGGATCTGCGCCTCTTGACGTACGAGTAACAGATGTTAATTGCAAATCTGTTGATGTTAAGTTGACTCAAAGACCAGACGGAACGGTTGAAGCAGTTTACGTTCCACATGGAGGAAATCGGCATACTGTTCAAGTCAATTATGGTGGCGTCTCTGCGAAGAACTCTCCTTTCAGGGTTTACGTCGGGGAACCTCTTGATGCTTCAAAAGTTCACTGCTTTGGACCGGGAGTACAAGACGGTGTTAAAGCAAACACGCCTACTCATTTTAATATAGATGCAAGGTAATTTAGCGTGCTTTTTTTGATTCGTGTGATAATTTTAACTTTGACAGAGATGCCGGTGAAGCTGATTTGGACGTCCACTTAGTGAACGAGGAGACCCGACAGGAGATCCCAGTTAAATTAACCGATAATGGTGATAGGACGTATACTGTAGATTACGAAACGCATTTGTCAGGAACTCATACCGTAACTCTTCATTATGGTGGTATGAGGGTTCCGAGTACCCCTTTGAAGTTTAAAGTGCATCCCAACGTCGATGTGTCCAAGATTAAGGTTGATGGATTGGAACCAAGTAAGTAATTTCTTTTTGTTATCTTTTCTTCCTCTGTATAATCATTTAATGGATGTAGCGGCCCCCGTGAATAGTTTACAACAGTTCCGTGTTATCACACAAGACGCAGGTAAAGCGGAATTTGCCATTTCGATAACTAGTCCGTCTGGAAGTAAAGTCAAAGCTCACGTTATCCCCACCCATGAGGGTTACTTAGTAAACTTCACTCCAACTCAGTTGGGTGAATATTTATTAGGGATTTCGTTCGGTGGTGAACCTATTTCGCACAGACCTTTCAGACTGACGTGTCTGACTGGAAGTGACCCCTTGAAAGTGAAAGCGTCAGGTCCTGGTTTACATAGAGGAATAGTAAACAGACCTGCTGAATTTATGATAGATACTAGAGGGGCAGGTCAAGGTGGGTTAGGTGTTACAGTTGAAGGACCTTGCGAAGCGGCTATTAACTGTCGAGATAATGGCGACGGAACGTGTTCCGTTGCCTATTTACCTACCGAAATAGGTGATTATGGAATTAACATCACGTTTAACGACGAACACATCCCCGGTAGTCCGTTTCAAGCAATTATTGTCCCTGAGGTCGATATGAACAAAATTAAAGTGTCTGGAAGTGGAATACAGTTACATGGTAAACTGGTGTGCGTTGGAATGCAAACACCGTAGCAATATCCACTGATCCAATAACTTGCCCGCTATATATTTTTCTGTGTTTTTTTAACAGCAATAATTCGTTTGATTGTATTGCATGCTTACTCGTACAAGTGGATTGAAGCATAAGATTCAACCTATTTTCTTTCAGGTGTCTTCGTCGAGTCACCCACCGATTTCTTAGTCGATACTAGAGGTATCCCCAAAACTGCCGACGACGGCAAAGTTACTTGCACAATCACCAACCCCTCCGGGGCTCAAACCGAAAACTTAGTCACCCCTTTGTTAGACGGTACTTACAAAGTTAGCTATACGCCTTTTGAAGAAGGCAGACACACTATTGATATCTTCTACGATAATGTTCCCGTCCCCGGATCACCCTTCATTGTTAACGTACGAAGAGGCTGCGATGCTAAAAAATGTGTAGCATCCGGTCCGGGATTAGAGCAAGGGTACTTAAACAAATCTAACGTTTTCACTGTCGAAACGAAAGGTACGTTTTCAGACGGTCAAACAAACACCTCGACTTTTTTCGATTCTTGTAGGTGCCGGAACCGGCGGACTTTCCCTTGCGATCGAAGGTCCATCCGAGGCTAAAATGACTTGCAAAGATAATAGAGACGGTTCGTGTTCCGTGGAGTACATCCCGACGGAACCTGGAGAGTACGACGTTGCTATTAAGTTCGCGGATCAACACATTTCGGGGTCACCCTTCAAGGTACGTACCCGAGTAGGTATAGAACTTGATTAACTAGTAGTTGTAGGTTCAAGTCGTGCCTGACATTGACGAAAAGTTGGTTCGGGCGTACGGTCCAGGTCTAGAAGCCTCGAATTGTAGATCTGGTATTCCTACGAAGTTTACGATAGACGCGTCGAAAGTAGGCATGGCCAAAGTGGCTGTTAACATCACCTCTGACCAAAAACCACTTTCGAGAAGACCGGATGTTAAAAATAACGGTGATGGAACCTTTGAAGTGTCTTATGTCCCGCCAAATGAAGGGGCGAATCTTAAGGCCCAGATTACTTACGACGGGAAAGATATTCCCAATAGTCCATTCCCGATTAAGGTCAGGCCAAAGGTGGAACCCGAAAGGGTCAAATTGAGTGGACCTTCTATAGATGAGAATGGTGTGCCTGCATCCATTCCTACTACCATTAAAATCGACACCAAGGATGCGGGCTACGGCGATCTAGACGTGCAAATTTTGGTAAGTAAGGTAGAAACGAAAGCCGGAAATGACGGCGTGTTTTAGGGTCCCGATGGGAATCTCCGACCTGTCAAAGTTACTGATAATGGGGACGGCACATACAGCGCGACCTACGTGCCCGATGATTGCGGTAGATACAAGATTGATGTTAAATATGGAGGCAAAGAGGTTACGAAGACGCCTATACCTGTTCAAGCTTATGCCATTGGAAATGTAAGTCTGGAAGGCAAGCTCACTTCGCTCGCTACATTGTTGTGGTGCGAACTCTGTTTTGAGTGTGTGTTTTGTTTGAATATAGGCAGAGAAGTGTAAAATTACCGAGGGTTTGGAGAAAACTTTGTCCAGCGGCGAGTCGTATTGTATTACCGTGAACACCGAAAATGCAGGAACGGGCGCTGTCACCTGCAGGATTCGTTCGACTAGTGGAAGGTAAGCAAACAGTGGCCTCTTAAAAGTAGCATTACAAATCGTAGTTGCAGTGATTTGGATATTAACATTGTGGATAACGGAGACGGGACCGTAAATATTTATTACACCGTGAAGGATGCTGACGATTACACTATCAACATCAAATTCGGCGGACAACCGATTCCGGGTGGATTCTACACATTCACGGTGAGTGATTGACGTTTACTTAAATATTTATTCACAAGTGAATTTTTATATGATTCGGGAAAATGTTTTTGGATATATTAATAGAACGGTGAAGCATTTAAGAGAGCGCGTTAATCGCACAAGTTTTAGTTTGACACTTCTTTAAAAATACAAATTTATTTTTGGACCACACATGGGAAGAAGACTATCAAAAATTTATAAACACATGCGACTTAAGTCACTACGAAATCATCGATTCTCTACCGATCGCGACTTGAATTTTCTCAGGAATTGTTTCAAGGCCGAAAAAAGTTTGCGCCGTCGTTCGCAACAAAGTTTTAGTATTGTTCGCTTTGTATTCAGAAACAATTTTATTATACACAACGGGTTGAACGAAAATATCCGGCTGCAACGATCTACGGGTGTCTTTTTATAAACTGGATTTGACACACCAATATCGTAAATAAACAAGTTTTTGACTAAATTATTTTAAGGAGAGGAATAATATCTTTCCTACGTGACCCTATTCATGCTTCAAACGGATCAAAAATAAAAAAGGCGCCAATTTTATTTTAATTAATGGTCGATTTGTCTCCAAAGGTTGTAAGTGAGTCAGATGGGCGGTTTTTATAGACAAATTATAATTAGGTACATATTGCTGCAAAAAATTGCTTTGAAATCGTATACGTTTGGGGCGTGTTAGCCCGGTTGCCAATTTTTGAGCTTATTATCGAATCCGGAGATTGTTTTTGATGCCGTGAACTTTTATTATAGCTTATCATCTGAAATATCTCGAATTTTTGGCCGGTGGCATATCTTAGTGTAGACAATTCTGTCGTCATAATTCCCCCCACCATCGCGCGACGAGAGCATCGCTCCACCCCCTACTTTATTCCTAGAAAATAGATTTATTTTACATTTTATGACAATGGACATGATTTATTTAATTGTACACATATTTGTAACGGAATTTGTTTAACTGCCGGGCTACATGCTTTTGAAATGCTTCTATTAAAAAAACTGTCAGCCATTGTCTCAGATTACCAATTTTTGATTAAATTTATATTGGCGGAAACAATCGAAAATAGCCGATCTCTTGAGAGAACACCCAGATTTTAAATTTCTATATGCATGTAATTTAATTGTCTTCAGTCTTGTGAACGCATTTGTACCGTGGTTGCTGACAGAGGTATGGCTTGTGTTTTTTTTTTAATCTTACCTTTGCTTAAGTTTACTTAAACATATTTAACTTAACTCCTTTTTGTTTTTAATGATTTTCTTTGAAATTAATTTAAGTGAGCCGACAGTAAGTTACAATTAGACAATTGGAAGTACAAAGCGACTACCTCGTGCTACGTTTTATTTTTAATTTAAATGCCCGGGAAGCTAAAATGATTTATAATTTTCATTTTAATAAGTTTCTCGCACCAATTACGCCCTTTTTCGACATAATTTATAAATAGTTAATACTTCGGGTTTCTTCCAGCGGTTAGGTTTATTTGGATTTGTAATCGCTCATTTTAAATATAGACACGCTATTTATACCTAATTGAACAAAAAAATAAGGGAAAGTATTAAGGATAATCAAAAATACTTTGTCGTTTTCCCATGTAGTGATTTGTCTGTGTGTCAGCGGGGAGTAATAAATGATTTTTGTATTTTTTTCAGATAGTTGCCAACAGAAAAGTCGCAATTCATTGACCCGTAAAATTGAAATTGTATTGCACTTTTTTGTAATTTTCATTTTTTTGTTTAAATTTGGCTCGCACAAAACGCTTATTTTATGTCTTGGCATTGCTCGAATAGTTGCATTGTTGTTTGCGAAAGTAGGAAAACTAAAATTATTCGATGTTTACTTTTGTTTGAACGTTAATTTGTAGTAAAACGCCAAGTAAATTGTCAGAGAGGAATTTTTTTGGTCCAATTTACGAAACAAAGACAATGTTTATATAATAAGCCTTACATAAAGTAAATCGCTTAATATATCACAAAGTCGAGGAAAGTATTCTTCCAAAATCGCCATCGGCCAAACAAAAAAAACCTATCTCGAAAAAAATTACTAAATAAAAGTTAACTAGACAGTGACAAATCTAGCGATTAATCGGCACAAACTCCCATAAAATCTTTCACTATGATTTTCATTGTATAAACAGTTTAATTAGTTCAAGACAATTAATTAGATTTTGTAGAAAAAAATCGAATGTAAGAGGAGCCAACAAAACAAAAATTTCTAACGTGCCGCCAAAATAGTACGACGACAATCCAAACTGAGAAATAGGCGACAGGTGGAACCCTAATAAATAGCACTCGAAATTTTCTTAATCTAAACGCACCTACAATATTGAGCTCTTTAATTTTGCGTGTTTTACATAATGTTACAACAACGTCCACACCTCTCCAAGAAATAATTCACAAAGGAAAGCTTGACTGATGGCTGAAATCAATTATGCTAGTTTTGAATCATTACGTACGCCCATTTTTCAAAAACACGCGTGCCAATCTAACAAAACAGTAATTGACATGTCAGAAGCCATTAAAGTAACCTCGTTACTCATTCACATTTCGCTTCGAGCGATATTTTCCGAGTTTGTTATATTTCAAATAACCAAATGTCGCAAAGCCTAAAATAAGCGTCTATTTTCAAGTTAATAGGTTTTGAAATCTGGATTTAATTACGTCCCGTGTTTGTGTTTGGATATTATACTACTAATAATATCCATTCTAAACTATGCAGTTTTTAGATCGAGTTACTAAAACTTGAAAGTGGAGATAATTATCTGCAAAATTATTTATAGGTGCACAGTTGGCAATCTTGAAACGAATTGGACTGACAATTACACTTTTACGGTCACTTACCGCTAACAATTCGCTTATTATCAAAATACTACAATACGTATTACAAAGAGAAGTGGAGGAGCCGAAAAATTATTTTTGTTTTATTGGCAATCAAAATCTTAGCTCAAAGCGACAAAAACTCTTCGATGATTTTATGACATATTAATTTTTATTTTGTTTATATTAAAACATTTCTATTAAAAAAAAAACACACTTAAACGAGGTTATGGCGCCACTAATTCTGTTAAAATTTTCAACGTTACGTTTAAATAAAGTCGCACGTTGTAGTTGTAGGTGAGGAGATTCCGACGTCCCAAGAATCACACTCTTACTATTGGGATTCCATAAATAAATATAATATCCAGCTACCACTGGAATTTGAATTCGGATTTTTCTAAATTTGCCGCTTACCTTTACTACGATGCTTACTACAATCTATAAATTGACAAATAACCTTTGGCATAAAAATTTCTTCAATATTTTTATGATTCATATTTTTTGAGAAGGCGGCAAATCTATTAGGTGTTTTATTTATAACGAATACAACTTTTTTAGTAACATGTTTTAACTTGTGCAATAATATAAGTACAGTTACCGTCAACCTGGGTGCATTTGGAACTCACACATGAAGTAATTTTGCGCCGGTACGGGTCTTAAAAGTGTCTGCAAGTAAAGTAATAATCGCGGAATAATCCTGGCGCGATTTCAAACTTTGTATAAAAAATGTAAACCTCAGACAGGAACCGCGTGAATCAGTTCGATGCTTTGACTTCCAAAATGGTCGCCAGTCGATGAATTTATGAGAAAATGCAGGAAATGGCAAGCCGGAGCAACGATATGTCTTGGCACACGAGTGCCGTTCTAAATTTCAATTTGTAGAAATGACACCAAAATGCACCAGCATGCACCTCTTGAAATAAAGAATCACATGACACCGTTCCAAAATATAAATCTCGAGCCGAGGTTTTAAGCTGTGACTCGCGTCACACCGATACCCGTCACTATTAATTATTTTATCATTTGTTTGTACTTTTATAGGCCGAGGAAGTTAGCAAATCTGAGAAAACTAGCGTTAGTCATTCGCAGACCGATTCGGTTGTCAAGAAAACTTCTACTACCACTTCTCAGTCGAAGCAGACCTTCAGACCTCTCAATTTTGACAACATACCCTTGCCGAGCACCGGGGGACACGTCACAGGTAAGAATTTTGTTTATCGATGCGTTTTAATTGAAGTGGTGCTATTTCGGATCGAGCTTGATGAGGCGAAAACCATTAGTAATCGTAAATTTTGTCGGAATGCGTCAATCCGCAAACGGGTGCAATCCAGACAAAAAAATGGAAAAAAATCGATGCGCTTTTCGAATGGTTGGAATTCTCTTACATATCTAATATTAACAACTTCTTCTGCTCAACCTAATTTTTACCCGAGAGCATATTTTGATATTTTTAGGTAGGAGATATTAAACACCTTATTTATTTCTTGCACTCAGCTGTCCTACACGCTCGTTAATTCAATTCCTACCTCAAAAATCAAAGCCGGGCGCAGTTGCAGCCGAAATACCCGCGAGTTAGGTCTTTAAAAAAAATTACCGATCGTCTACGAAGAATGTTCTAAGTACGGTAACGCAATGTTCAGGTGGTTAAATATTCCCAAAGTTCCTCAAGCGACGTGGCTGGAAGTTTCCAAACTTTATATCGAGTTTTACAAAACTGTAACTTACTCGGAAATCGACCACGAGGAATTCCCGGTCGTCTACAGAAAAGTACCTTCTATACCAATCGGTGGTAGAGGTTTCGGAGTCGACTTCACACCCCTGACGTTCCTTTCGTGCTTTTCGATTTACACCCATCTAGGTAATCACCGCAACCCTAACCCAAAACTGCCGCTAGCATTAATCACGCAAAAGCAACAAAATCGAGACTCGGGTCACTTCCATCCCGACCCTCTGATGATTTTTCATCGTTTTAGCCGAGATCAAAATGCCAAGCGGAAACGTCGACAAGCCCATAATCGAAGATAACCACGATGGTACCGTTTCCATCCGTTATGACCCGCGCGAAGAGGGTCTGCACGAACTAGCCGTGAAATTCAACGGTGAGCACGTCCAAGGTTCCCCGTACAAAATCCACGTCGATTCCATCAGTTCGGGTTACGTTACCGCTTACGGTCCGGGTTTGACCCATGGAGTGTCCGGTGAACCCAGCAACTTCACCATTTCCACGAAAGGTGCAGGAGCTGGCGGCCTTTCCATGGCTGTTGAAGGACCAAGCAAGGCAGAAATCAGCTGTCATGACAACAAGGATGGTACCGTTTCCGTTTCCTATCTTCCGACGGCACCAGGCGAATACAAGATTTCCGTACGATTTGGCGACAAGCACATCAAAGGGTCACCCTTCAACGCGAAGATCACGGGTGAAGGCCGCAAACGTAACCAGATTTCGGTAGGTTCCTGTAGCGAGGTGTCTCTACCTGGGAAGATTTCTGACGCCGATATTCGTTCGCTGAACGCGTCTATTCAAGCACCGAGCGGGTTGGAAGAGCCGTGTTTCTTGAAACGACTACCAACTGGGAATATTGGAATTTCATTCACCCCTAGAGAAATAGGAGAGCATATCGTTTCAGTCAAAAAATTAGGGAACCATATTACTAACTCACCTTTCAAGATTAACGTATGCGAGAGGGAAGTCGGTGATGCCCGTAAGGTCAACGTTTCTGGAAACGCCTTAAAGGAAGGCAAGACCCACGTGCAGAATACCTTCAACGTGGACACAAGAAACGCCGGATTTGGCGGTCTTTCTCTTTCAATTGAAGGACCGAGTAAAGCCGAAATACAATGTAACGACAATACTGATGGTACGTTGAACATTTCTTACAAACCCACGGAACCCGGGTACTACATCGTTAATTTGAAATTCGCCGATCATCATGTGAACGGGTCTCCGTTCACGGTCAAGGTAGGTCTAAATTTTTAACGTGGCACGTTTCTAAACCTCGTTTTAGGTTACCGGAGAAGGTACTAACAGGCAAAGAGAAAAGATCCAAAGACAACGCGAAGCCGTTCCGATCACCGAAGTCGGTAGTCAGTGCAAACTAACATTCAAGATGCCCGGTAAGTCTGAATCAATCGCATTTGTGTTAAAATCTGGATATTACATAACGGGGACCAGATTTGACACCTTTTTTCCCGACGGGTTTTAACCTTCTCCCCTTTAGGAATTACATCGTTCGATCTTAGCGCTACCGTTACATCCCCTGGTGGCGTAACCGAAGACGCTGTCATTAATGAGGTTCAAGATGGTCTCTACGCCGTCCACTTCGTCCCGAAAGAGTTGGGCGTGCACACCGTTTCCGTTAGATACAAGGACATCCACATCCCCGGTAACTCATCGTCGGTACCGCAGACGCCAATCCCTAACCTCTTCCTTTAAAGGTTCTCCATTCCAATTCACCGTCGGCCCGTACCGTGATCACGGCGCTCATTTGGTAAAGGCAGGCGGTGCTGGTTTGGAAAGAGGCGAACAAGGCGAACTCAATGAATTCAACGTATGGACCAGAGAGGCCGGCAGTGGTCAACTTGCCATTTCCGTAGAAGGACCTAGTAAAGCCGAAATTAACTTCACTGATCGCAAAGATGGATCCTGTGACGTTTCATACCGAGTTTCGGAACCAGGCAAGTTTATTCTAGAATGTTTCATAAATCTTGAAACGTGTCAGAATTGGCACGAGGCACAGGCGTAGGCGGCGCCGGAAGCGCTTATCGTATTATTTTTGCGAGCCACAAACATCTATACTCGCTTGAATTGCCGCTTCTGTGACAGGGTCGTCAAAAACGACGAAAACGCACAAGATGAAGAGTTATGATGGTTACTTGTGTCCCCATTCGTAATAACCCGGAACGAATAGTCATCGCATACCGGGACATGAATAAACAGCCTTAGGAATTTCTCTTCATGTACGTGTCGTTGTGAGAGGTTAAAAAATCACGCTCGGAATCGGCAACTTTGTACTAGATTTTAAAAGTGGGTATACGTCGATAAACAATATATCGATAAGTGTACAATTATCACCGTTCTGTATGCAACCTACTTAATTGTGTTGGCGGGAATCCCCTTTGCGTATTGCTGGTTGCATACGGGTTATGTTCGGAAACGACTGGTTTACGTTACGGTTGTTAAATATTGCGCGTGGTTTTTAAATGGGTTGGACGAGATTTTGGCAGGCCGCGCGGGAGCGGTATATTTTTGGAGAGTGACAAACAATCATGTGAATGAAGTCTGTGGGCACTTCCTATTTTGAAATATGTCCAGTTAAATAACTTAAGTCACTTCGGGTGGAGTTGACAAATGAAGCGTCCGTTTTTGCGCATAAGTTGCTTAGTCGCTTGACTTGTCGAGTAGGGGGATCCCAGACGTGTTGGCCGGTTTGTGTTCGAGTGGGGGTCTTTTGTGCAAATTTGGTAAAAATTTCGGGATAGTGGAGTAGTAAGCCTGCATGATATTTGTATAGATATATTTACAGAGTTTATTTTTACTTGGCAGCGTTCCAAGCTAAAATTTTGTGGCATGTTTCAAAGTGTGTTATGCTGTGACAAAAAAATAACTTCAAGGTAGTTTTAAAAGTTAAATATAGAAGATTGAATCATATATTTAATAGTTAGTAAGATATTTTTCATATGACTAAAGTAGTCAGCCAATATATGCTTGTTCCCATCGACGAGTCAATGTTTCTTTTATTGTTGTGACAATAAAAAATGTATAAAGTGTGCCACGAGATAAATTTGAACCCACCCTCACCTGTCGAAAATGAAGGTTCTAAAAATCCAGTTTTGTTTGTTAGTGAATTGGTAACATTGGTTTTGTATGACAGGTGAATACCGTATCGGATTGAAGTTCAACGACGAACACGTGCCGGACTCACCCTTCAAGGTTTACATTTCACCGGCCGTAGGCGACGCCCACTTACTCGAAGTGGCTCAATTCCCAGAGGGGTACATCCAGGCTGACAAACCCTCTCAATTCATCGTTCGCAGAAACGGTGCCAAGGGCAATCTCGACGCCAAGGTAACTATTATTTACCTATGCAGCAAAAAACAAAAGCATGTCGCGATTTTTCATTACCAACTACCAACATACTTCATGCCAAATTCAACAAACTTTGCTTAAATATAAACAAAAGTCTAAAACTCGCGTCCAACGACCAAAACATCACTCTGTTTTTCTTATTTATGTATAAAAAAAACTCGGCTTGTTTTGACAGTTGGTAGTACGTAATTGACAGTTTGACGTTTAGAGGCGCTAAACAACCGCATGGTTCTCAACAAACTAAAAATACATGTGTTTGTTTCGGCGTGCTAAAATCATTGAGGAAAACGCCAACTAACGTAAACAAACAAGTCTGTATAAAATTCTAAATTCTAGGGCGGTTTTATTACCAAACCCGTTTGAAAATTGGCGGGAAATAAGTATAACTTGTGCAGAGACTTTTGCCCAGAAAATATATCTTTTCTGGTTTGATGATTTTAGCAGAAATATGTGACTCCATGATCTGTCTGATACTGTGTCCTACCCATTAGACGCAAATCCGAACTTCTCGGACCGCAACAGCAGTTTGATCAATGTGTATTAAGACAGTTCACAGTTGCTTTATTTCCTGCCGGTTACCCTTCAAACCCGAATTTTTGCCCTAATCACCACGACTGTCATTTTGCATTTAAGATCATCGGTCCCTCTGGCAACGAGGATGACTGCTTCGTCCAGATCATCGACATGGAAGAATATTCCGTCCGCTTCATGCCTCGCGAGAATGGCATTCATAAAATCCATGCGAAATTCAATGGAGTGCACATCCCTGGATCTCCATTTAGCGTCAAAGTGGGCAAAGATACAGCAGATCCCGCTGCCGTACACGCTGCTGGAGCAGGTCTCGGTGATGTCAAAACAGGTACGCTTTCCTTGTCTTCTCCAGTGTAGTCTGAAACGGGGTATTTAAGGGGTCAAGACCGACTTTATCATCGACACTGTCAACGCTGGAGCTGGTACTTTAGCTGTCAACATCGACGGTCCGAGCAAAGTGTCAATGGATTGTACGGAAGTTGAAGAAGGGTACAAAGTAAGGTACACGCCGCTGGCCCCCGGTGACTACTACGTCAGTATTAAATACAACAATAACCACATAGTAGGGTCACCGTTCAAAGCGCAAAGCAAAGGTGAGTGAGGTAAATGACATGGGGTGTACCACTAACGCAAAAATCAGGTGATGCGAAGGTTGCCGACATCGGTGGTCAAGAATCGTCTTCGGTTGTGGTGGAAACAACAGCGAAAGTAGGAAAGGGCGCGAATTCCAACAAACCAGTGCTGCCGCACTTCAAGAGTAACGCCACGAAGGTTACATCTAAAGGTCAAGGTCTGAAGAAGGCGTATCTCGGGAAGCAGAATCAGTTTACGGTCTCGGCTCAAGATGCCGGTTAGTAAATTTTGACCACGAGTTTGAGCAGAGTGATTTTTTGATATCTCTAGGTACTAATATTCTTTTCGTCGGAGTTCACGGACCCAAGGGACCTTGTGAGGAAGTCTTTATCAAACACCAAGGGCGCAACCAGTACGCCGTTAGTTACGTAGTGCGAGAAAGAGGCGATTACATCGTCATTATCAAGTGGGGAGATGATCATATTCCAGGTTCTCCATTCAAAGTAGAAGTTTAGATTTTAAATCTTGAAATTTATTTTAAGTTTTTTCATTACTTTTTTCTTGAAACGGTTCGGTGGAAAATTGAAATGTTTTTGTAAATACTTGACTTCTTTTAAAACTTGTTTTCCACTAACCAGTACATGGTGCCTTATTATTTTAAGATACGATATAATTTTTATCAATATGTAGTAAGTTATTCTTAAATCATAATTAGTAATTTTCATATATGCAACAGTTATTTTATCATACTATTGGTATTTTCCTTTTTCAGTTAAATGTTATTTTACTACAATAAATTTATGCATAAAATATGAGATTTTTATTGTTCTTGCACGTCCGAACCAGTCAGAACATGTTTAGTCGGATTCAAGCATTGTGGGTAAACGGCAGTGTGGTAGGAATTCAATAAAAGGCCGGTTAATTCTACATTTTGTATATTTTTTTCATACACTGAAAGGATATTAAATAAATTTGAAGTCTTATAAACAACGAAATTAATAATAATAATTGATACAATTTAATTCCTATTCACAACAAAATATCGAAAATAGCTCAAGTCATAATTTCAGTGCAGTATAAGAAAACAATAAATAAGAATTACAATAACAGTTATAACACAACCTAAGTTAACAGAGTATTGAATATATTACTGTTTTGTTACAAATATAGTGAATATACCTACTAGAATAGGCTCCTAACAACGCTACTAAATTTTTAACCCTTTTCCTTATAAACATTACAAATAAATGATTTTATCAAAAATGATGTAATGAAAAATTTGGCACCTATGTCATAACAATCTATTGAAAAGATAACGTCAACGTAAAATTCAACGTGTCCAAACATGACAAATCTCGCAAACACGTTGAATTTTAGGTAATAATATATATTACAATGATCAACATATAGTACAGATGTATAAATACATAACATGATCTTCGCAGCTATTTACAATTTAAATACTCTTATTTACATCATACGCAACTGAACTTGATGCCATCATCACTGGAATAACAATTATGGCAGTGTAACTTTTGGTTCCGGACCCGCACGTCGGTCCCCATTCTTCCGTCACCGAGCTGCATATGGCAAACGCAACAAATAAAGCATTCCATGTGGTAGAAAAGACACAAACTTTCGATTATCATCGCCGCCCCTCGCCCTGAAAGCGCGCGAATTTTTAATCCACCCCAAAAATCACAAACAACACGTACCAAGTTCCTTATTACAATTAGAACACTTCTTCTTCCCGCTCACGCTCAACCTTCGATCTTGCGCATCTTCCATGGCAATGGGTGGCGGATAAGGCATCGGTAAGGCGTGACCCATCGTCTGGTTATGACTCAAGTATGGCTGCATTCCGTCCTTACTCGGACTCGTCTCGGACCTACACACACCATGAAAAAATCGCAAACCGCAAGGTCAAAAACGTACCTCCTAATCGCCTGACTTCGATCGGTTACGTCAGCCCTGTTCTGGGCCCTTTGGGTCAAGGTCTGTATCACCGCATCTGGCAAGTGTTTCTCCTGTCGAGGTTGTTGCCAAGTCCTGTTGCTAGGTGGGTTCTTCTGCTCGCTCAACCTCCGCAATTCGGCCTCCTAAATCGCGATTTTAGTTTCAGTAGCTACGCTGTCACGATTTTTCACTTACTTGGATTAGCCAATGCTGCTTCGTGTTTTTCTCCACGTTTTGCCTCGGTTGAATCCAGTTGTCCACCGGCAGGTGTCTATTTTTCGGGACAGCACTCAGTGCTTGCAGACTGTGCCTGGAAAGTTGCCTCGGTTTACCATTTGTGATCGGTACACCGTCCGTCAAGGCAGGATTCATCATCAGATACCTATCCCTTTGTTCTTTGCTCATGGGTCTGATGGGTTTCCCGGGCATGATGGGTTGCTTCTTCACGGTAGGAGGGCTCTTAAACGCAGACCTTTGTATGTCGGGCATTGATTTACGGTGGTCGTTCTCCGGTACCGATTTGTGATATTCGGGTACCGACTTATACCCATGTTGTATATCCGGCATTGATTTGCGGTACTGAACATCTAATTCCGGGACGGGTCTATAGACGCTATAGGCATTTGGTACATCTGGGAGGGATTTACGGTACTCGAGAGGTACATGCTGAAGTTCAGGCATCGATTTTCTATAGCCGACACCGTCGTGGTACGGCGAATACATATCGTCGAAGATGTTTTCAGACGAATGACGATTATTCTGTAGACGAGCCTTAGCCCGACTTTCCTGGAATAGCATGTTCTCGTGTTGCCTCTTGAGTTCCTCTCTTTCTAACTGGCGAAGTTCGTGTTCGACTTTCAACACTTCAGAGTCTTGGTCGTCTAGGTAGCTGGAAGGTTCCTGAAACCACACGTACAACTAATAGTTGGCAACACGAACACGTTATTATCCCCGCAGCAAATTGTAAACGCGTTTCAGCAGCTACGCTGTCTTCTTTGAGTGGGGGTAATAACGTGTTCGTGCTGCTGCAGCGGACGATCGTTCTAGATTTTTTAAAGTGGAGACGTTTCTGGAGAAACTAAACGAGAAATGAACATACCTTTGGAAAGTAAGGGTTATTAAAGCTTTCGCTCCCCAAATAGGGTTCATTCAGTAAGGTATTTTGGTTGTTCCTCAGGATGACCTGATTCGGTTTCTCGTTAGGCCCTAAGTATTCTACAATATCGCGCGACTTCTCTTCCTTCTCCACCATTTCAATGATTTCGCGTTCTTTTTTCGTAATTTCGTCTTCTTCAGAAGTAATACTGTTCGTTTGCTGCGTGCGAACTCCGGTTTATTCGAAAGGTAGATTTTTATTTGGGTCTCACTTACCTCACTGTCGTGCCTTTCGGGACTCGGTGTGTTGGAATCTCCAATACTGCTGCACCACGTGTCACTCGACAAGCGCCCTCTATCTATATCTAGACCCGAATCGTGGCTTTCAACTTTACTCAACATCCCTATCCGGTGTTCCTCTTGAGTTTTCTTGTACAGAGACTTCTCCAACTTCGATTCCTTCTGAAGAAACGAAGTGATGTCGGGGGGTTTGTCCACCCCTATCTCTGGGTAGATCTGGTCGTCCGTCGGTTCGTCCAAACCGAGAAAACTCGACCGCTTGATGTGCATTTCTCGCTTGATTCGCTTAGTAGAGTTGACCCGTTTCATTTCTGGTTCTATGGTCTCTATGGTTTCTTCGTCGACGGGTGGTGGTGGGGGCGGTTTGACTTTCGGTGGTTCGATCATACTCGGTGGTGCAAGAATATCATTCGTAATAAGCTCAATCGGGTTAGTTCTAGTTTCGTAATTGACGTTTTCGTAGATTTGTTCTTTCTGTTCAGGCTCTTCCGGTTTGCAGGGGACGTTCTTTTCGGCGAATAAATTTTCAGAGGAATCTCTTTGTAAAGCTTGTAGTAAAGTGATCGTGCACTCAACGATGTGTTTTTTGTCAAAATCAACGGGTTCGTTTTTGTCGCCTATGGCAAGTTCAGTGCTGGTCACATAGTTGATTTGGTCTTCATTCTTCGGCATTTCATCAAATTCGTTACGTTCCTGTATTGTCAATTTTTCGATGCAGTTAGGGATTGTCGTGGAGGCTAATTCTGGATCTTCGGCAGGTTCATCGGCTTGGCTGACAGAGCAAGACACATCCGCCGTGTGGATGCCGCTGTCTTCGCGATCTGAGGAGATCGTCATCAGTTCGGTTGACGACGTCGAAGGAGGATAATTCGGGTTGACGCAGTAATCGTCGATAGCGTTTCCCGATTTGCCGTACATCAAAGTGTCCAGATCGCGACTGAACGTTTTCAGATTGTCCATGTAGAGCTCAGTTTCGGGACTAGAACATCTCTCAATCGCTACTTCTTTCTTCTTCCATTCAGCGTCTTTAACTTCGCCGGTTTTGTCAACAAGGTAGCTGCTGATTTTCGCAGGTTTGGGTTTGTTGTTGTTCCTCGAGTCGTCGTTTTGTTTCAAGTTGTGCAACCTTTGTTTGACGGTTTGTAGATCACTCTTATCGGTAGTGAGCGGCTGGTCAGTGCACTTCTCTAAACTCTGCAATCTTTGTTTGATGCTTTGCGAGTTGACAAAATCCTCCGATAACCTCCGCGTAGTCGGTGACTCATAGTTGTTTATTTCTATCGATTTCTCCGATTCGAATAACTCCTTCCTTTTGAAGATCTCTCCTTTTGGTAACGCGGTCTGAGCCTCTGAGTATTCTTTGCTCTTGGCGTGGTCTTGGTTCTTGGTAAAAATCGATTCGTCTGAAAAAATTCTCGAACGGATTCGCGTCCGATAATCTTGTATCGCTCCTTCGTACGTGTATTGTTCGGCGTGGTCCGACTTTGTCTCGTTTTGTTTGGTTGTTGTGTATAAAATTGACTGTTTGATCACATTATTTGAACTCGGTCTGTCTCGTTTACTGTTAGTTTCATCTTCACTTTGACTTTGGTTTGAAGCACTTGAATTGTCTTTGTTACATGGCGATTCGAAAGAACGGCTTTCTTTCTCATCCTAAACGCAACTAGTTAAGTCTTGTTTCGAATAATACACTAATACCTACTAAAATACTGCAACTATCGTCAGTATCCACATCTTTGATGCTGTTAGTTTTCGAACTACTACTTCCAATGCCGTAATCGCTTAAGTCATTGGAGTCGTCGTCATATATTGGTATGTTGAACTTGTGGCGGCCTCTACTTCTGGAAACAAAAAACAAGGAAATTATCGTGAGGTAATTAATCGAGAAACTAAAACGAGTACCTGTCTTCCATCATTTCATTAAAAGTTTTACTTTTCTTTCTGTGTCTTTCTTGCTCTACTTGTTCCATTTTCTTCACTTCGACCACGCGCTCGATTATGTGTTCTTGGCGTTTTCGTCGGCAACTCTTCCAGTTGTCTAAATTCTAAACAAAATTTTTTAAGACTAATTTTCGAAAAACAAAGACGGTTGCTTACTTGTTGCCAATCTTCGGCCTCCTCCCTCACCTCCTTTCGCTCCTTTTTAATTTCTTCGACTTTTTTGATTTGTTCGTGGGCTTTCTGAAAAAGCGGACACGGTGCTACTTTGACGAATTGTAAAGGGTTTGTTGCTGGTTTCGGAGGAGGGGGTTTCGTTATTCGACATTTCGTTGGTATATACTCTGTGTTGGAATTCTGCGTAAACAGAAGTCGAATTAATAAAACCCGCCGAACACACGAAGTGTTGAGTGTGGTTAGTAAACATCTACGAAAATAGAAGCAAGGCGTGTTTACCTATATAGAAGGAGCCAAAATTTGGTTTGTCGCGATAAAAGAAACAATAGGTCAAGAATTTTTTAAAGACGTTTGTTGGACAAAGGCCAGAGAAATCCATCAAGCGATAATCAAGCTTGTCGCCTTTGACAAGTTAATTGGTTGACTTGACACGATTTACATAAAGGGCGCGACACAAGACGAGAACAATACAATGAAAATAATTTTTAAAATCCTCACCAGTCGTTCGGGGTTTTCACACTCGTAATCGTTGTTGTTATCCATTTTTTTCAACAATTACAATTTCATGCTTTTTTAATTACTCGCTATAACAAAGGAAATGAGCATTAGTATTAAAACTCACAGTTATACAATCAAAAATATAATATTTCCGAGACAATACTGGACGAAACAATATCACCTAACGCACATGTCTACATGCAACAGGACTTGTCCATTGTTGCGAACTATAGCTTGTAATTTCTACCTCCGTTCGAATACGGTATTTTCCAAGCCGCAACTTTCCTTCATTCAATTATGGATGTATTCGATCAATGCTGACACCCATTACAAGAATTTTCAACATTTTCAGACCGCATTCTTAACACTTTTTAACCACCGCCTCATACGGTTAACTTTTTCAAACTCGAACCCCCCACCAGAGGGCGCCACCTAAACATGCAAATCACGCGGATGATGCGACGTTATTTTTACACCGCGATTAAAAAACCCCGCAACACTCCCAACCTTGCAACTGATAGCAGGAAAATTGATCTTGGAAAAACAATGTTTTTCGTTTCGAAATACTGTTATTCATCGCAATTAGAACCGTGAGAAAAAACGCAACAACAATTGCTGAATAGCGCGTTTACAATCATAATAAAATTATGCAGGTATGAAAAAATGGCAACGTTATCTTTCGAGGCTGGAAGATGTAAAGCAGACGCTGGATATCTATATCTGCACACCACTTGATTTCCATTTCCATAAATAAAAACTGAGACGTTGCAAGTCTGTTTCGTACATAAAGGAAACGTACTTAAGTAGGGTCGCACATTCCATAGGAAACGAGTGTAAAGGAAACGGTTTTCTCTTGCGTTTTTGTGAAATCTTAACACTTGGCGGACTCTTGTTTCCGACCGTTCTTGCAAAAATTGAAACTGAAAGTGGTACGTTAGACTAATTGCGAAATAAAATTAAAACGTTTAGTGGAAGAAAGACTGACTTATTAGCATATATGGTATAATTAGCCATATTGGCAATTAAAATATATAGGATTTTCAATCGATCAAGAAAAAACTTTTAATTGGATCAAAAATCCTTGAAGATTAATCTCCTTATGTCCCATTATAATAAATAACCCAACCCTGAATTAATTGATCTCCTTATCAAAATACGAACGATAGCAGTCTTCCACTCCGCATCATATTGATCATTAAAATCTGACAATGTCAAAAATTCAACGGTACTCCTACGAAAAAAACGAATAAATTAACATCGAAACATTAATTAATAATACCTTCCAAGCGCAAAATTGAAAACCTTTGAACTTAGCAACATTTTACTTCAGAAAATACGCAGATCGGAATCAAATCTCCAGTGGGCGGTTGTTTAATAGCAACGCAAGGACAGTAAGCTACAATACTGTGTATTGAAAAAACCCAACACTTTCATTTGGAATTTTCGCCAAAAAAAAAAACGTCGAAATCCTTGAAATGCCACAAACAAAACGGTTGTTGTTTTTTCCGTTTTATTAATAAAAATATATCATTAAAATTTCTGGCGTTTTCGGTTACCAAATATTAAGTATCTGCCCACAGTCTACATATTTGGCGTTCGAATTTGCTTCTTTCCTTCTCTCTAGGAAAATATCCGCTGATCTCCTAATTGGATATGCCTACATGAAAAAATCATAGTTTTATTAGTAAAACTAAAACGACTTCTGGGAATTTCATTACTTGGGTGTGATTTTGGTTTTGATAAATCAACTACGATAAAGTCGCCTCTGCTAATACAAGCTTGATAATCTGCTTAGCAACTGGCTAACAAAAGTCAAATTTAACTAACTTTGAAGCGAAACCTAACCTAAGTTTTAGTCCGACAGGTGACAAAAAATTGAACAAACGACACGATATTTACGGATATTTACTCAATATGTCTTCGCTGACAAGCCGGAATGAGTAGTCGTTGAAAAGGTAGTCTGTTTAGTGTTTAGTGACATGTTGAAAAGCGGGAACCAGATCATCCAAATTCGTTTCTCTGAATAAAATGTCACTTTTAAATGAGACCGCTGTCGTCGTCGTCGTCTTCATTGTCTAATAAAATCACAACAGACAGACGGAAACGGGACTTATTTTTCGTCTTGAAATTACCCACTCGCCAAATGGACTCTATTCCCCATCAAGAAATAAGAATACAGTAAAACCTCTCTCGGACTCTAAAACTATTTCCGTAGACCCAAATGTACAGGAAATACGACATAAACTGGAACGAGACGAGGACGTCGAATTTCGAATAAGGTCGATAATTTGCAACAGGATTACCTCTTCAAACAAACAGATCTAGCTTTAAACCATCACTGCAGATAACAGCGAAAAAATCCCACAGTTTGTTTCAGCTTGTTTGTCTACAAAGTTTCAACAATTGTTTGTACATGATAACAAACAATGATTAATAATCTTTTTTTTCCATGATTTTTTTAAGCTTCGCTTATTCTAAAATACCTTACGTATTTTAGGTCAGTTTAGTGGTCGTAAACCGACACAGCATAACCTAACTATGTGCAATTATTAAATTTAATTAAGTTACACTCGTGATTGTTTGCCCGAAAATTTTAAAAACACTCTAAACAATGATCTCAATGGGTGCAACGACTCTTAAAAGTTGTGAAGTTGTATCACCACTCATAGATATAAAATAAGTGGTTAAAAATGGCATCCGTTGTGTAACCAGGACAGTGTTATAGTATCTAACAATCGTTATTTTGTAACATCATAGATTAGCGTGCTATTTAGTATGATAATTGATAAGTAAATAGGCGATCATTTATTTATGAGCATATTTTGCCATGCGTGTGCGACAAGCAGGTGACATAAATTTTTTCGCAAAACCAAGTGAAAATTTTTCACAGGGAAGTAATAAATCATCTAAATCCTGCAACCATGCGTGAAAAATGTGTATTTCTTGCATAACAATCTACCTATTTTACGTCAATTAGAAAGATCATTAATATTATAATTAGAAAGTGCAGCAGTGTTTGATTAAGTGTTAGGTAGTTCAAATGCAAATGTAACTGGCGCAATCTTATTTTAACAACCACAATAAATAACATAATTACATAATTTGTGTAAGTAAATATCACAGATCGTTTAGATCGTCGATACCTTATTCAAACAACTTCTGTATAGTAGAGGTGTCAAATGTCGATATTCCCCGACTACCGAAATAAAAACCCACCTCTATAGCAATAAATCGTGTGTATATGTGTGCAACTAGATAAATTAGCCGTCTTATCTAAAAGGTAACGATCGGTGTAATTGCAGTGTATCTAATAGTACTAAAAATAGAGGTACGTTCGTGCCAAACGACCGAACTAACAAGACGAGTATAAGGCCGATCTTGATTTGGTCGACATATAGGCACATAGGCATACCTTTACTCGCGCTGTGTCGCGGTATAAATATACTACGGGCAAGTACGCGTACTCGCCAGGAATTTAAACCATCTCTGTAATAGAGATGAATACGTGACGCAACGTGCAAATATGCATATCTTTTTTTTGACATTGCACTTTCAGATCGACCGTCCCACCTCCACCGTACCATACCAAGCGTTTACCCAAAATAGCGGAACCGGTTCCGGACGAATTTATCGACAGATAATTAAAGACCGATCGTTATGCAACGTAGTTTATACGCACGTGACGATAAGGCCCAAAACCGCGTCACACACAAGCGGCCGGCCCTTCATAGGATCGCGTAACTATGCAGCTATGTGAATTTATTTCAAAATTTAAAACCGTTAGAACGAAACGAAGCAAGAATACAATTATCAGCGTCGGGTATTTTCGGTAGTGCCGCCTCGACCTAAATGAAAATCTCTTGTTCCGCCACTGAAGCTCAGAAGAGTGTAACATTTAAAAGGCGTTAGTAAAATAATCTGATTTCGATGTCGCAACGCGAACTTTCACTACCGGTCTGCACCTCTAGGTGCATTCGCGAATCTTTTGTCTGCTCGTCTAACCGTTATTCAACGCGTTTCTAACTTTTTCACGTGTAATTTTACGAAGTATGGACCATAAAAACCGCAGCGGAAGCATTGTGCAATGGCTAGAAACCCAAAGGACAAATAATTGGTTACCAATTAGCGCACCGAAACATTTCTCCGTTTTTACGTTTCTGACATATGTAGAGGTCACGTGATTGATAGTGCGGCTTTGGGGCACACAGATTGTGATGTGTTTTGTTTTTATGGACTTCTCGTGCCGCATCGCGCGCTTATGTAACAGTACTTTGGCCACTGTTATGTTCTCCGACTTACGGTCGGACATTATTTTAGCGGTCCTGCTCTAACGCCAATTACTGTAATTATGAAACAGTTCCACGAAAAACACAAAAATCACATTTTCACTCCTAGAGGTCAGAAAAGTTGAAACGCGACCCCGTAATTTCTCAATCATCGTCATTTAAGGTTATTACAGACGCCACCACCGAGAAATTCCGTACGTGTTTTTGCTGCTCGCAGTTTTATGGATTCGGGCTACCGTTCGGAATATAATCCGCGACGAAATGACAGGAAATCGCTCTTTCGTTTGTTCGGATTTCCGCAATATTCACTGAGCTGTGAACTAATACGTTACAGATGACTTTCAAAACACAACATGCCAGAGTCATTATTGCAACGTTTCACAAGCCGACCATGATTCATGCAACATTCGTTGAATTTATTAATCGGTGAGGTTAACCTGCTCGTCCTCCGGAGCAAATGTCATTTTTATTATGTAAAGTGCGTTAACTTATATACGTATTTATGATTGTGTACTGAGTTTATTGCACATTATGTTGTTTGCGTGTCGGGGGCGGCGATAACGAAAGAACTATTTGAAAATTAATTAACTTGTTATCGAGATTAACAACAAACGAAATCGGTTATTTAATTGATACTTACGGTACGATTTTGCCACATAACATTATCGTTAACGTTAATTGGTTTTATACACATGCATTTATAATTGTGTAAATACGCATCGCATTTACAATGCATTGTTGAATCAACATACCGATAAATTTGTTTATTAAAGCTTAACAAATTGAGACAATGGAATGCA